AATAAGTCACGATATTGATTATTAAATTTGATTTAAAACCTAATGATATGGTCGTTGGCCACCATGTTAACAAACAGGCTCATATCTCATAGAATCATCATATACTGTAGAGTGATGTAGCCGTAGATGCAAACTGTGTGTCAGTCAACACTTTAAAATCTGTTAAGAAAAAATAAGACAAAAATAAGAGAGAAATATTTTAAAATCCCTAGATAAAACAAACATGTAACATTTGCTACTACATGCATTATTTTTTCGTAAAACGAAAATCACACCAACCCATGGCAATCCCTTTGGGGGGGGGGGCATATAAAAAATATATGTTTAAGAGTGAAAAAAATATCAGACCAAATAAAAAAGGGGATACATGTACAATAAGGATATGGAAATAACGAACAGTATTCAATCTCAACGTCCATTAAACAAATATACAAAACAAGAGCAGAGCAAACACGGACCTCCGAAACATCAGAGGTGGGATCAGGTGCCATGGAGGAGTGAGCATCCCCTGCTGACCGGTCACACCCGCCGTGTGCTCATTGTCATAATCATACAACATAAAGGTTTCTATATGTCGGAAAATGTACGGGAGAGCTACGGCCCTTCTCTGGTTCCCACAGTACAGGACTGCAACATACCTATAAACTATAAATTGCTATAACAAGGGCCGTGAGGTGGTCAATAAATACTAGAAAAGAACTATGATTCACACTTAATAATAGGTAAACACACACCATAATTTACAAATGTTTCTACAACTATTTTTTTTCTACGCTAGAAATACTGAATTGCAAGAAATAACCTTAAACATTATTAAACAGTTAAAAACATTTCCTTGATTTATATTACATGGGGATAAGGCAAGTTTATTTTAATGATGTAAGCATTTGCCAAATAATCACTATAGTTACATAAATACATGCCTAATACATTGTACTTACACATTTATCCAAACCTTAAATGTGTCTTTAAATTAACTGCATGGATGGAACTTTCCATTAAACGCATTTGGACGGAGCTTTGCTTCAAGTTTAGGAGACTGCAGTTTGGCATTTTTCCATCACATCATTAAAATTCCATATTTATGAAATCCTGCACATCTTTGTTGTGTCAAATTGGCCTAACTGTTGGAAAATGTGTAGTGATAAAGGCTTTATAAAATAGTTCGGGTTCGGGATTCATATATTTGTCACGTCACAATCAGCTGATCACTGATTTACCAGCATACTAAGCCAATTTTGATTATACCCTTAAATACAGACGTCTGACGACACTGTAGCGTCCGGAGTCCACAACTGAGGTTGGTTGTGTGGTATCGTAACAGATTACCATCGATGTTACCGGATTTAACCGAAGATATAATACAAACACACCATAGAAGGTTCCATTACTTTATTTAATTAACTCGAACATGAAAAAGTCCATTTCGATACAATACATTCGCCATAGTAAGACACTACTTCCTCTCCTTATTAAATATAAAGTTCATGGTACCTTTCTATAATTAAAAACAAATAACAATATTTACATTCGCTGTGTTTTTCTACTAAGCCAACTGTGAAATTGATTTGAAAATCATTTTCGTATATACTAACGCGTAGAAATATACATGGAGAAAGGTGCGTTACCGTGACGTCACAATAGTCTTTTCCCCCTTGTCACAAGCGGTCAAATTTAAAATGGCGCAAATTTAAACAACACAGTATCAATTCTTAAGCAGAACTGGGACTTGGCGAATTTAAAATGGAACAAATTTGTATTGCATGTGTTAAAGGGTGAAAATTACACGGGGCAAAATTAACCCTGTATACAGTACCACTTCCATGTATACTCAGAAACTCATGTCAATATGATGCTAAGTTACACACCAGTAGAGACCCACTCTCATCAGAGACTTTTGATTGCTATTTTAAGTTCCTTTCTTTTTGTTTTATTGACATAGAATGGAAGTGGTAGAAACTAATTATACTAAATAAAACTTTTTCTTCAGAACATGAACTTTTTTCTTTGTCATAAATTGATCTTTATGTATATCTTTAGAATCGCTGTTCATCAAATACCTGTCCATCCTTTTTTTATTTCAGAAAATGGCCAAATATTACATTTTAAGATTCATAATGTGTTTCTGAATTTTTAAACTGAGAACAGTCAGTTTGATAACCAGAAGCTTTATGAAATTGAAGGGTATTTACACAAAGGTCAAAGTCACTATTTGCACTAAAATTGCTTTTAAATTATATTGTTTTGAAATTTTATTGATTGTATGTTTATTATATGTTCATTAAAGCTTTTAAAATTGAAATTGCATTTTTTTTATTTTACATTTTCACACTTTTTTCGATATTTTGTGAAAAGAAATGCATAATTTGCTGCGTAAAAAACGTTTTTCCCCCAAGAAATGCTGAAAAAGAAAAAAGGGGGATGGGGATATAAAAAATATCAAAACTTTCTTATATGTGCACTAACCCCTACTATTCATGCTATGAATAGGAACCATTATACCTAAAGAAACTGTACAACAATTTTCTTAAAAAGTTTAATTATAGAAATATGTTTTTCTTTGGTTTTTCGAGCAATTTTATAGGGAAAAAATTGACTAAGGTGAACAATATTTTTGGACACAATTTATTTAAATGGTATTTATTTGCTCATATTTTGATTAAAAAATCAACTTTGCAATACTTTCAAGTAAATCTAAGCAAAATTAAGTTTAAATGGATTGTATTTATAAGTTTATGGGGGCATTTTATGGTCTAACAGTATTTTTAATGAAATTCCCCATGCTCCATTTTGGCCTATGTTCGAAGGGTTGAATCTCTCCGAGATGAACACTAACATACACTTTTCTTGTTTTTAAATTATTCCTTGGATATTACACTTTCAGAAAAATAGAAGCATTTGAAAAGTTTAATGCACGTTTTTTTCGGGTTACATCCTTAACGGAAAGAAATGATGAAACAGAAGAAAACAAAAGAATTACATGATTGTGCATTCCCATGGGTACAAATTGCGCTCCGTTATTAGCAGACTTATTTTTATATTCATATGAAGCAGAATTTATGCAAAATCTTTTGCGTGAGAAGAAAAAAACACTTGCTGTGGCCTTCAACTCGACATTTAGATATATCGACGACGTATTGTCAATTAATAATGATAATTTCCATTCCTACGTCGACACGATATATCCTGGTGAGCTTGAGATAAAAGATACCACAGAGTCCAACACATCTGCTTCATACTTGGATATTTTACTTGAAAAAGACACAAATGGTAATCTAACAACCAAGCTATATGATAAACGTGATGACTTTAACTTTTCTATCGTCAACTTTCCTTACTTATGCAGCAATATACCTTCATCACCTGCATACGGAGTATTTATATCTCAGTTGATTCGATACGCAAGAGCATGCTCTACGTATGAACAATTTCTTAAACGAGGTAAATTATTGACAAGCAAGTTGATGAAACAAGAATATCAACAGTCTCGTTTAAAGTCATCATTTCGTAAATTCTATGGTCGATACAATGACCTTGTCAGCAAATACAATTTATCATTGAATGAAATGCTGACTGACGTTTTTCATACCAATTGTTAGTCCATTATTTATACACTGAAATGACTACGGATTTTTTCCGTTATTTCCTGATTATGACAATGAGCACACGGCGGGTGTGACCGGTCGGCAGGGGATGCTCACTCCTCCATGGCACCTGATCCCACCTCTGATGTTTCGGAGGTCCGTGTTTGCTCTGCTCTTGTTTTGTATATTTGTTTAATGGACGTTGAGATTGAATACTGTTCGTTATTTCCATATCCTTATGATAAATACTATCCTATCAATATATATGCATAAACTGTGTAAAGCAATTGTAAATAAGCTGTAAATTAAAAAAATTTAAAAGAAGAATATAAAAACAGATTCACTATAAAATCCAAAATATAAAGTGTTGACACAAAGGGGTTTCCATTGAAAATGTTAAAAACCAACAGTATTGTTATGTTAGACTATGAAAACAACAGTGTTCCATGCTTTCAATACATTACAAAAGATATTCTTTGTAAACAAATTGCACACATTGTATACAAAAACTCTATAAATAGTAAAAAAAAATATTCGTGTATATAATAAACATAAACAACACAGGTGCACTTAAAGTGTGTGGCAGCATTAGTCAAAAATAAAGAAAAACAGGCATGAGCCTCCTTGTGTTGGTCACACAAAGGAAATAAACATAAGAAGTGAGGAATAAAGGAAAAGTAACTCCGGATTAACAAATAAAAAGATAACCCCGCATTATAAAACAGATTTTATTTGATTAAGAAAGATAGCTTTAGATATGAAATAAGTACTAGTAATCAAGGAAAATATATAAACATATAATTTAAATGCTCATAAAAATTACACCATTTATATACAAAAAGCCGCTTGCTGTGGACTTCAATTCAACACTTGTTAATGTCGACATTTTATGAATTAACAATATTCATTTTCATCCCAAAGACAATATTTATTTTTATTCCAAAGACAAAAGACCCCTAAGTTTAAGGAAGCAGAACTTTTTGATTTGAATCTCTATTACAATTAATTGACAAATTCATTGAGGTTTTTTGTCATTTTTATCCCTAACATCATTTTTTTTTTTAATTTTCAATGAATAGAGATTTTATGTAATTCAAAAATTAAAAACTTCTGTGATTATATTGTAAGCATAAAATCCATTTGATGAGATCATTGACCAAGAAGCAATGTTTTTTAACTTCGGGGGGGGGGGGGGGGTATAGAGTGAGGAAGTAAACATTTAATTTTTGAATCAGTATTTAGGATTAATTTATTATATTTCATTACCATATGTCATAACTATGCTAATCATGTGAGCATTGTTAAACAAAAGTATATTGCAGAAATTTAGAGCAAAGAGATTTCGTATGCATGGAAAGGAGATAATTATAAAGATTTTGAGAATTGAGTTCCTAATATATACTGGTATTTGAAACTATCGATGAATTGAAGAAGTTTCTGAGGAGGAACAAGACAACTGTTTTTCTATGCCAGAGGAATACTTGTTGGATGTGCTGAGGCTGGAATAACAACGTTTCTGAAGAGATGAAGAGGGCAAAGTCAAAATATCGGGGAATATACAAAGTCCACCAGGGAACTGGAAGTCCATGAACATCTTTTCAGTGTTAGAGATGGAATTTTAGAAGGTAATATTATTGATGATACTTGTTTATGGACATATTGATCTATTTTACTTATTCTTAGCAAATTCAATTTTCTTTTCATTAAAAACTGTTTTATATGCACAAGTGTTAATATCAGGTACAATATAAGGAAAAAAATGAAGCGAGGGTGTTGAGATTGATAAAATTAGATATCACTAATATTAAATTTTGATTGTAATAGCTTCTTTAGTGAGCATTTCAAAATCGCTCAAGTTACTTCTAGCTAAAAATAAAATACTGATTTTTGATGGCAATTCACTGCATTTGTGTCGAGCTAAAATGTCAACTTATACGGTACTATATTTTAGATTTCAGGTATTAAATGGGTTATTTGTAAGGGAAAAAATTGTTCATTTTCAAATTAAATAACAGTCAGGAACGGAGGAAATGATCATAGTATCCTGTAAATTTATTAAAGTGGACATAATAAATATTTTATTCAAGCAGAAAAGATAAAAAAAACATTCACAATATCTATTCAGCTTAGCGATCCCCGTCTCTTCGTCGGTATTCAAAGTTTCTTTAAAAAAAAAAACTATCTTGCAGAGGCCTTACATTTGGCATGATATACCTTTGTCAGTTGCATACAGGGTTTGTTTCTCTCTGTTGATTCGATACGCAAGAGCATGCTCTTCGCATGAACAATTTCTAAAACGAGGTAAATTATTGACAAACAAGTTGATAAAACAAGAATATCCGCAAATTAGTTTAAAATCATCATTTCGAAAGTTCTATGGTCGATACGATGACTTTGTCAGACAATCTTCATAAATGCATAAATTCATCATACTAATTGTTAGGCCATTATTTATTTTGTCGACGGATTATACCGTTATGGCTTGATCTTGAAATGGAGAACACGTCAGGTGTAACAGGTCGGCAGGGGATGTTCAGTTCATTATGGATCCTGATCCCATATCTGTTAATGTTGCAAATGTAAAATTACTTTTTTTTAGGAATTTGTAGACTTTGATTTAGAGATTTCTTTTTTAACAACATCAATAAATGTTGATTATTTTGATGGGCCCTTGAATGATAAGTTCATTTATTAGACTTAAAAAATTTACTTTGCTTATTTAGCATATAAAAAGTCTTTTTGTTTTATTTACCATGTCTATTAGGATTGACAGTAATAGAATTTTAAACTTTTTAAAAATTATTCTTGATAAAAAGTGATACGTAATCAGATACATGATATAAAACAGTCAGTGAAAAGTTGTAGTTAATCCTCCCAAATTAAATGACGTGTTTTGACCAAATTGATATGTAATTCAATATAATTTATTCATTAGATAAGTTTCCTTTTTGACAGTGGCTGATGATGACTCACCATTGAAAACCGTTATCAGGATAAACGCTGCAGATCTGAAACCAAGCAATTCTGTTGATATTTCTGATTAAAATAAAAACAGGGACAAATTGGGACAGAAAAAAATCTGATCGAGACTCTGAAAAAATTGATTTCACAGCAAGAGATAACTCAAAGAATGTAGAGTTGTCTAGTTATGTTAAAGGCACGGAAGTGGATCATAGAAGAAATAAAAAATAAAGAAAGGGATGTTGAGTTATCTACAACTCCAATTGAAAGCAGAGAAGAAGAAAATACAGAAGAGATAACAAACGGTGATGTCCTCCCAGAAGCACAAGCGATTTTGAAGGAGGAAATTTTCCAGAAAATCTTGCCTGAAAAAGAGAACTTACCAACTGTTAGCATTCTTGATTTTGCTGACCAGTTAGCGTATTATGCCTGTCACCAAATTTACGTAACACCAAAGGCCTTCTTCATCCTTGTCTTGGACATGACTAAGAAGTTTGAAGATGTTGTGAGTAAAGAGAAAGATAACCAAGAAGGATCAATCTTCTCTGTGTGGACTTATAGAGGTAATATATTTAAGCTAATGCTTATAATGATGACGATGAGAACCACAAAATCTGGCATGCAGAATAACTGGTTTATAAGACCTATAACAACTTCAATTGACAGATTATTGCGCTGTTATAAAGCAATGTAAACTGCATATTTTTAGCTTTCTTACTCAGATCATAAGATTTCTGATCGATTTCAAAAATATATTACGCAATTTTCTTTAAAATTATATACCCTGAGGTAAGGCCGGGGCTAACATCGAAAATATTTTTTTTTTTCATATTACAAGGGCCCCTTAGAGTTGTGTCAATTATCTATATTTCAAGGATGTAAAAATTTACATCTTTGATGTGATTCATTTTATTTACAAAGTCAACAGATTGACCTACATGTAAACTTTGCTAATGCATAACAAAGAAAACTCGTCAGTAGCTTATTTTGGTTTTACATATGTACATTTTATTCTTTAACGTTTTTTAAAGATCAAAATTGAATGAATGCTGCATCTTTAGATTACACAACTAAACTTTTACTTTACTGCGAGAATTTGCCTTCTTACACAGTAGATATATTTGAAAATGCAAACCAATCATTTTTTACTGCAAAAAATGGATTAAAAATACACACTTTAAATTAAACTAACCGGAGTGTGAATTTGCAATCGTACATCATCGTTCTGATCGCGTCTCGGGTAACCTAGTTACCATTTTCTATCTCTGGAAACCCTAAAATCTACTAGTCTGGTTTTGTTGAAAATATATTTAAAACGTAATTTGTTTTACATTACAATGTAACAAACACACAGTAAATTTCTTACTTTACCGCTAAACATATTTTAACATCTTTTGTGTTTCTATATGCCCTGATATTGAATTTGCACATGATTCAAACAAAGAATTCTAAGAAAATAATTGCGCAAAATTTTAATTCTTTTATCCAATGTGAACGGAATGTCGCTCTAAAATTTAAGTTCATTTTTTCAATGTATTTTTTTGTTTCATTTTAATTTCAATATTGGTATTAAAATAAACAAGAAAAAATACATGAACCTCTTACAAATGCCAGCTCTTAATTATGCCAGTTCAAATATAACGATAAAGTTTTTTAAGTGTACAACTAAAACAAAGGTTTAGAGTCGATGTAACTGTTCACCCGCATGTTGAAGATTCTTTGGTCATTATATTGACCTTATTACCAATTACAGTTTGTTTTCTTTGGGTGACATTTCTTTGCTTTCTTTGCTGATATTTTTCATGTTAGATATTAGGCCCTTTTTAAATTGAATTTTAAAAATTGAGTCGTATGTGTGCAAGATCAATACACAGGGTTGAATGCAGGTGTGCTTACTCATCACATGCAGGCACCCACGTCCATTTCTGCCCTTTTCGCAATTTTTATTGCTTATAAATATTATGCCATTGATCACGTTATCTTTGCATTGTCTTTTAAATTCTTAAAGCACAAAGAAAAGAGTTATAGTTTGATAAGTTTTCTAATTTTATCCAGATTTTCGTGCGTTTTTTGTTCTTCAGATTACCTGAAGTATTGGATTAATTCAATTAAAACATTTGGAGGCAAAAAAGCGCCAGTGTTTCTTGTTGTCACACATACAGAAAGAAAATCGACAGATGTAAGTATGATTTCTTTCCATAAAGTTTATCGCCGTCCAGACAAACGTGATGTAAAACAGTTAAAAATAAATTGATTTGATTGTCTAGTATTTCACTTTATATTCAAAATAAAATTACACAATATTCGACACAGTTGATTTGGAGTTGATTGAGTTTTTCTGGAGATTACTTATAAGTACGCTGCGGACAATGTATACAGTTAAACAATATCATTAAGGAGTCAGTAACATTCAAATTACCAAAAGCAAGCCAATTTTCCGAGGCGAAGTACTAGAGTTACCGGTATTTGGAATTCAAAGGCTATGTACCAGATTTTAAGACAGATTTCCTATGCATTACATAATACATTACAATGCATTTACTTTAGTTATTTGTTGAAAGAAACTAAATGCTTAAGTTTACTACTCATTTATACAGTGTGATCAATTCAAAGCTTCATATATACAATGAATAGCATATGTACAATATATCTGTATTACAGATTCCAAAATTAAAGTGTAATTTTGTATAAATATCACCATTATTTTATTTTTTACTTTTGTTCATACTTGGACATGTATCATGTATGTAATACTGAACAATATATAAAATTCTAAAGTTTCAAATTATGAGCATAGTTGATGGTTGTTTATTAATGTCAATGGTTCTTGAAAATTTATTGACCTCTTCAGGAAATCGAGAAGTACTTTGAAGACTTCTGGAATGCTGTACCAGAAGAGGACAGAGATTGGTTAAGTGAGTCTCTGAATGATCGGGATTATGCTGTGGGTCTGGTTGAACTAAACAGCAATACAAAGATAAAGTTGGAATCAATGAAAAAGTCCATAGTTGAACTTTTTACAGATGAGCTCAAAACACACACAGAAGTCCCGTCTTCGTGGGCTGTGATGGAACAGCTATTGTTTGAAGGAGGCTGGAAGGTTTTGTCCCTTTCAGAAATTTGGAGGCTTAATTTAACCCTTCCTGTTGAATACCAAATTAAAATTGATGAGGAAATGTCTACGTTTTTAAAGTGTTTCCATGACAATGGTCTCCTTTTGTATTTTCTCGATTCGGAATTGAGGGAATATGCAGTACTGGACATTCAGTGGTTTGCTAAAGCTTTCAGTAAAATTATTGCTGATGAAAGCCATATTAATAAAGACTGCAAAACAAGATACATAACAACATGGAAATCCTTCAACAAAACAGGGGAACTTAAAGATAAAGTGATAGATGCTCTATGGAAAGATGAACCCTCGTACCTGCAACACAAAAGTGAAATTATGTCTTACATGGAGAAACTTCAAATGTTGGTACCTTTGGAGTCTTTTGAGGCTGTATCAGAGGGCGACATGTCATGGTATGTCCCGTGTATGAACAAAAAGCAATTTAAAGCCGACTTTAGTGAAGAAAAATGGGAATCCTCCTCCATTTTATGCTTTCGGTTCACTTCTTTTGCTATGTTTGTGTTCTACAGACTGGTAGCATACTGCATGAGTTTTCTAAGATGGAATATTTCGAAAGACGAAGACAATGAATTAAGTCTTTATCAAACAGCAGCAGTGTTTGATCACTGTGAACACACTGTTGTTATAGGCATATCTAACGACGATATCCAGTTGCAAGTATTGAGAATCACACCACTGACTATATACAATGAGGTTTCAATTGAAATTGGAGAATCCATTGAAAAAGCCATAGAAAAACTGACAGAAACATTTATTGGCACAAAAGTATTCCACAAAGGATTCAAATGTCAAAATATTATTTGTAATGAGGAAGATCTATCTTTCACCCTTGCAGGTGATCTCTCTAAAATTAAAGGTGATAAAGAAATACAGTGCAAATGTCGACTTCAGAAGAAACACGTGATCAATATACAAAAGACTTTGAGTTTCTGGGAAAAGGTAAATATCATTTATCAATAATATACTAGTATCCCTCAAAAAATATTTGACAGGATATGTCGAATCAACTGTTTGTCTTTCATCCTGTTGCTAAAATGTTATCCAGACAACTGTGTATTGGAGAAACATATTTCGATCATTTCTTTTATCTAGATGTATTGCTTTGATCGAGAACTGTTGAGATTTCATCTAAAATACCGGTTAGTTGATTTGATGAAAGTGTAGAATGTGGATTCCCTTTAAGGTCAAAATCTAGTAAATGACTTTTGACAGATTTTGTGGTGCTAGATCTGTTATGGAATTTTAATTAAGCTAAAATTATAAAGCATCATTGAAGAAATTTATTTCTTAAATTTGATAAATATGTAGGCATCTTTCATTCACCAGATCTTGACATTAAGCTAAAAGCAGCATCAGGACAGCATTAATTTTATTCTTATTGAAAAAAAAAACATTTCACAGACTTAATCTGTTTCAAAGAGTATGCACGAAATTTGATATTATTTACTTTCCTACGTATTTGCTAGCTTAACTTGTTCAATAAAGATTAACTTTATTTCAGACGAAAATGAGTGTTTCTCGATCTCCAGTGGCCTCTGGTGGGCATGACCTTGAGGGACGATCTAGATTTGCAAAACTTGGAATGGCAACCACTGATGTGTTAAACCAGGCATACAGAGATATACTAGAGATGGAAGTGCCTCCATCCGATATTGAAAAGAAAGCTAAAGCATCACCAGTTTACAAAAGATTGCGCCCAGAGCAAGAACAACTCTTGCTAGATGCAAGGCTTTCAGGATATAAAAACTTTGATATTTCTTTAACATACGCATTAATCCGAAACATTTGTTCAAGAATCCCTAAGCCAACAAAAGGAAAATGGGGAGAAGAGCCAGCAGCAGGAGAGGTGACAGTGGGCGATGATATCGAGAGAATAAGGTCCATCCGAAACAGCTTGACTGCACATATGAGTTCAGCCTCCACCCCTCAGACAGAATTCGATGACACCTGGACGACGATGTCTGATATCTGCCAAAGAATGGAAACCTTCACTGGGAAGAAATACTTCGATACCCTGAATAGCATTTATAAACTGACTTTAAAAGAAGAAGGTGAAGATGCAATTAAAGCTATCATAGAAAAGTTTGTCAAGGATCAACACAGACAACATGAACTGTTAAGGACATCCTTGTCAGATGTTCAAGAATTAAAGTCTATAATGATGGCATTAAAACGAAATTGAAGACTGGAGGCATGTTTTAAGAAATAATGATTTTCACTCAGAGAATGTTTGCAGGACTAGTAAATAATATTTATAACACCTGTTGATCCCTAAGCCAACAAAGGAGGATGGGGAGAAGGGGTGACAGTGGGTGATGATATCGAGAGAAATAGATTAATAGGAGCACGTGAGCTCAGACTCTACCCCTCAGACAAAATTTAATAACACTTGGTCGCTGATCTCTGATATCTGCCTTGAACCCTTCATTGCGAAGAAATACATGAATAACCTTAATAGCATTTATAAACTAACTTTAAAAGATGAAGACGCTACTTCAGAGATCATAGAAAAGGTTTACAAGGAACAACATGTTATGTTGAAGAATGTCATGTCAAATATGCAAGAATTTATGTCAGATATGCGAGAAGTTGTCGAATGTCTTACCCCGGTATTCAGGTTATAAATTGAAATATCGAATCCTGCCAATAACCTTATGAAGATTCGTTAATGCTGGATATATTTTATGATACTTCTATTGATTCGATACGCAAGAGCATGCTCTACGTATGAACAATTTCTTAAACGAGGTAAATTATTGACAAGCAAGTTGATGAAACAAGAATATCAACAGTCTCGTTTAAAGTCATCATTTCGTAAATTTTATGGTCGATACAATGACCTTGTCAGCAAATACAATTTATCATTGAATGAAATGCTGACTGACGTTTTTCATACCAATTGTTAGTCCATTATTTATACACTGAATTGACTACGGATTTTTTCCGTTATTTCCTGATTATGACAATGAGCACACGGCGGGTGTGACCGGTCAGCAGGGGATGCTCACTCCTCCATGGCACCTGATCCCACCTCTGATGTTTCGGAGGTCCGTGTTTGCTCTGCTCTTGTTTTGTATATTTGTTTAATGGACGTTGAGATTGAATACTGTTCGTTATTTCCATATCCTTATTCTATATAGTATTCAACATATTTCGTAATGAAATGTATCTAATATTAAAAAAAAACATTATTATTTGGAGGCAAAATATTTACTTTTATCTGAGTTATATCTTGTGTTTGTCATGCTGTGTATTATTTTATGCATTTTATTTTTCAACATATACTTTGTAATTACACTTTTTTTAGCTCGCCTAAGCTTTCTGATCACATTTTGTCCGGAGTCCGTCTTTCTGTCTGTAAACCTTTCACATTTTCGACTTCTTCTCCAGAACCACTGGGCCAATTTCAACCAAACTTGCCACAAAGCATCCTTGGGTGAAGGGAATTCAAGTTTGCTCAACTGAAGGGCCACGCCTTCATTCAAGGGGAGATAATTCAGAAAAGTGAAAATTTTGTGACATGTTTTAAAAATCTTTAATTCTTCTCTAGAACCACTGGGCCAATTTCAACTCAACTTGCTAAAAAGTATCCTTGGGTGAAGGGAATTCAAGTTTGCTCAACTGAAGGGCCACGCCTTCATTCAAAGGGAAATAATTCAGAAAAGTGAAAATTTCGTGAAATGTTTTAAAAATCTTTAATTCTTCTCTAGAACCACTTTGCCTGGAAAGATGAAACTTATAGGGAAACATCTTCAGGTAGTGTAGATTCAAGTTTGTTCAAATCACGACCCCTGGGGGTTGAGCTGGGTCACAATGGCCGACCAAAGTTTTACATAGAAATATATAGAGCAAATTATACCCTCTTCCCTTTAACTTCTTTTTCCCTAGCCAAAATGCTCAGGTGAAAGATGTGGCCCATGGGCCTCTCGTTTTAAATTATCATCAGCTTTGATAATCTAATTAAGCTTTTTTGTCGATTTGCTATCTATTTGTATTTTCTTCAGTTTGTTACTTTATACTTTGTTAAATGCCCAGTTTCAATAAATCTTACCTTGGTCATTAGAAACAAACATTTTTAGCTCTACCTATACAAGCGTGTGACTGGATTGTCACTATAACAACGTTGATCTAATTCAAAATTGAATCACCCAAAATTGAGAGCAGGAAAAACATAGAACACTTCTGCTGAGTAGATCAGGTGACGGACGGACAGACGCAGAGGAAACCTTTAGTCACCTCCGGTTTCACCGGTAGGGGACTAATAACCTCTATGGAGTAAGGTCACCACTCGCTCTAATTACTGCAAGACATCCTTTACTGTTGTACCCCTGAAAAGAAGATTGACTCATCTTCTGCCACACGTGCACCACTGCATTGTAGCAACCTTTAATGATACAATACCGCTTAATGATGAAAATATCTCTTGCAATGCAACGCTTATTTTAAAAAATCATTGCATTAATGATTGACATTCTCAATGGCTAACGCTAAATCGCCGCTTAAAGAAAGAATTATATCATTAAACGATTCAGAAAGTAAACTATTAATGCAATAATTTATGACATTAAGTGCTGCATTTCAACGCTTAATGATACAGTATTTCTACCATTAAGCGGTGTTGTATCATTAGAGGTACAATGCATAGATCTTTACAAACCGTTGATATCGTGTGAAGGGGGGGGGGGGGCTTTGACAATGTCCTATTAAATAGGTGTGATAGCTTCAATGGAAATAAAAAAAGAACGTTCTGATAGCTAAAATTTCAAGGTAAAGTAATTGTTTTCAACACTTTTACAAATTCTATGCATAAATAGATAAGTAACACCAAATCAGCGAAACTGCTATAATTTTTTTTACTTTTAAAAATTTTCTGTTTATCCCCATACTGAACTCTCCCTTTTAGTTAAACTTTCATGAAAAGGTTGAAATGTTTCGCCGAAAAACATGTGTCGCCCTAAGACGGCCAAGGAATCAGATACCATTTATGTTCAATAACTTAAATCTATCTTTGAGACAAGAATATTAATATCTACTTGTATATACTAACGAAACAGTGCCTTTCTTTTAAAATTATGAGAGGCGAGTCACTATTAGCGCCAAACGCCACGAATTAATCTTCGCGCCTTTTCTTTGGAATGTTCTATTAAATAGGTGTGATACTTTCAATGAAATTTAAAAAAGAACGTTCTTATAGCATAAGATTTGAGGTTTAGACAGTATATTTAACACATTTTACAAATTCCATATTGTATATATGCATGTTAACACTAAAGCGGTGAAACGGTTATGATTTTTTTTTTCAATTCCCTGTTTATCCCCAAAGTGAACTATCCCAATTAGTTAATCGAAAAAGGTTGAAATGGTTTGCCAAAAAACATGGCTAGCCCTACGACGGTCAAGGAATCAGATATCATTTATGCTCAATAACTTGAATCAGGTCTTTGAGACAAGAATGCTCAAATAAACTCCATGAAGCGATATTTAAAAAAAATCGTTTTCTTATTTTTGTATTATTTATTAGTTAAATATGACACAAGTGTGCATAGAAAAAAACGAGTGGTTAAGATATATACTGACAATATTAATTGATATTCTTTTTTGAGAAAATATTACTTATAAGTCTGGTTTAAGATCTGTTTTTCCGTGATCCACAAAAGATATTATGTATCGAATTTCATTTGAACATTAAGTCTTCTTTTTTTACTTTGTAAACCAGCCAAAACCAATTATAGAAGACGTTAGTTTGACACAGAACTGCAACGTAACTACGACGTGACAATCCAAGTAGTCCTTTACATTTCATTTATCATTATGTTAATTTAGTTAAAGCAAACGCTCGACTGACTCCGTAAACCCCTATTGCGAAATGTCGGCGTTGACTGAGACAACCGCCATTTTGAACCCGCTTCAGATTTTTGAATGCTAATATCTAGACTTTAGATTTATTAACATTCAAACAAATTATATAGTAAGCATTATAAGGAGAGTTTCTAATAACATACCAAAATAAATGAAAAATACTGAAAAACAAAAAAGTTAGAAAATACGATTTTTTTTAATTTGCACCTCATAACAACCGGAAGTACTGACGACGCACGAAAAGGTGATTCTGCAAACCAGAAAGTCATTATCTATCATCTCCAATAAGTCTCCATATCATATCCTTAGCCATTTTCGACAAAAAGGGGCGACAAAATCGAATTTTAAAATCAGGAAATTGTCCATAACTTGGCACCAAGAGCGATTTTTCCAAATTTCTCTTCGGATGTAACAGCTTCATATAATGACACATATTTTGTGAAAGTGTCATGAAAAACAGCTGAATAGTTTTCGAGAAATCGCCTGCACAAAATTTTGTCAAAAAAAGAATAATGATAATAATAAACTAGATGTGAAACTCGTTGCGAGCAACGAGAGGTCTTCCGTCCGATTCTGATATAAAAAACGAAAAATCGAGCAGAAAAAGTGAACCCGGGTCGCCCGCGTGAAAATCCAACGAGCTAACCATTCGGCCATTGAAAACACCGCTTCAAATTTTCAAATGCTAATATCTCGAGATTGCCTTTTTCGACTCTAAATGAAATTACATATAACGCATTTGCAAATGAGTCTCTATTTAGATTGAAAGCAACGAAGAAAAATATTGAAAAACAAAAAAATTGAAAAATTGCATTTTTTAAATATGCTTCCGGCAGAAACCGGAAGTGCTGACGACGCACGAAAAGGCGATTCTGCAAACCACAAAGTCATTATCTATCATCTCCAAGAAGTCTCCAGTTCATATCCTAAACCGTTTTCGATAAAAAGAAGACGGAAGACCTTAATGACATAAATGTCTATTATTCCTTTGTACATTTGCCAAGTTGAAGTGTCTTTTTTGTCCAATTTTGCCCCGCAACCTATGCTATAATTGTCAGTATTGTGCTATAAAATACATGTACACTTCTCTTGGAAAGTCATTCAGGTTCAAGCAACATTTCATATGAGTGAACAGAGGGCTTATGAACCTTAAGTAGCGACCGCCAGATGAAATATTTTTCGTACGTGGCACCAACGGGCTTCCGTATATTATCAGGTACGTAGCATCGTTTTTGAAAGTGGGCAGGGGAGGCCCAGATAAATGTTTTTCTTTTACTTCCCTGGAAAAGTTGACAAGCCAAATTAAATAAAAAACTTTGCCCAAACTCGAAAATCCTACTTACTTAATTTACCGTAATGTTAACGGGGGCTGAACTTCAATGAACATTTTCAATAGTAAAAATTATGTTGAGAAAAAAAGGAAAGCCCCTCCCCCCCCCTTTTTTTTTGCTACGTGCCTGTTTATTGATACAAGTCCTTTATTTGGAAAACATTGTTGTTCTCCTTACCTTGGAGCTTAGATTGCATTTCATCATCATCATCATCTTCTTCTTCTTCTTCTTCTTCCTTTACACCGTATGGTGTGTAGGGCAGCAACAAACTTCCTCCACCCTTGCCTGACCTGGGCTAGCCTTGTCAACGATCCCCAGGTCTGGTTCATTGCCTTCATCTCGCCTTCTACTGTCCTTCGCCATGATGTTCTAGGCCTACCCCTCTTTCTTTTGTCCTCTGGTGTCCAATGTAGTGCTGCTCTAGCTGTTGACTGGGGGTCTTTTCGGAGAACATGTCCAATCCACCTCCATCGGTGCTTGGTTATGATGGTACCCATGTCCTCTTGTTTGCATCTCCTCAGCAGGTCTTCGTTTGTTATCTTCTCAGGCAAGAAAATCCTGAGCATTCGGCAGGTGGTATGGAAGGATCGTAGCTTGCCAAGATCTGTCTCCGTTATTCTCCAGCACTCCGATCTATAAAGGAGAGTTGACACAACACAGCTCTGGTAAAGCTTCAGCTTGGTGCTGGTGCTGTACTGTGCAGACCTCCAGGTGTTATTCATTTCCCTAAATACTCTCCTGGCTTTGCCCAGTCTGCTGTGTATTTCCTCCTTTGTGCCGCCCTCTGGTGTAATGATACTACCCAGGTAAATAAAGTTATCTGTCTGACGTGGTTCCTTGCCATTGACCTTAAAAGGGGCAGACATTTCCACATTATGTGTCATTGTCTCTGTCTACTTTGTATTGATGCGTAGTCTCACTTGCTGTACGTATTTTTGCAACCTTTTGGTCTTCTCTTGGATATGCTGGTGTGTGTGAGTCAGTGAGACAGTAGAGTAAGGTCATCAACAAAGTCCAAATCCTCCAGTGTTGAAGACAGGCCCCAGTGAATCCCCCTTGGAGAGTCTTCTGTTGTCTTCCGCATGACCCAATCGATGACCAGGTTGAACAGCACTGCAAACATTACGCATCCTTGTCTGATTCCAGTTTTAACATCGACGAAGGTGTTATTGTGTCCTACTGAGCATTTGAAGTTGTTATAAAAGCTCTTTATCAGATGGACCATTTTAGATGGAATACCATAATGGTGTAGGATGCTCCAAAGGCTATATTTCGGTGTATACTGTCAAATGCCTTCTTAAAGTCCACGAAGTTTACATACAGTTGTCTCTGCCACTCTGTGCACTGCTCTATGATGTTGCGGAATGCAAGGATCTGGTCAGTACATCCTTTATGCGTCCTAAACCCAGCTTGTTCTTTCCTCAAGATTGTCCCGTCCTGGCGACTTCCGTTCTTAAGAGTCTTGACTGCATTCATTATCTCCTCCTTAGTTGGTGGGTCAGTGTTGATGTCCAGATTATATGTGGCTCCTGGTACGACAACTGCTTCATCGGGTGATGGCCGATTCAGAAGTGTTCAGTCCATCTCGTTCTTTTTCTGATGGTAGTATTGTACCAGTTTGTCTTTGATAGGTCCTCCTGTGTTTCCAATAAATTTGCCACACACTTGTTTCGTGATCTTAAATATTCTCCCTTGCTCTGCCTGCATTGCTGCTTTCTCTGCTTTAGCTGCAAGTTGATCCATGGCCTCTCCCATGTCACGTCGTGCAAGCCTCTTAACTCTCTTGTTGACCTCACTATACAGCTCCTCTTGCCTCTCATGCAGTCTATGGGACTTGGTTTGCAGCATCTTTTCCTTAAGGGGGGCCTATGTCGTTCTACGTCAAAGCAGCGTTATGTGACGTCACAATAGCGACGTTTGTTTTTTTTCCCGCTGACTTTTGCAACTGTGATTATAGACATAATATTGTTATTAATCAATAACGTACACAGTTTTTTCATTATAACAGTTTTATTTGATTTATGGAGATTTTTAATATCAGAATTCTCTTCCTTTGGTTGATAATTCATAGCAATTTCAGTTGTGAAGAAATATCTCCATGATATGCTGATATAAAAATGCAAAAATTATAAGATAAATTTCAGCAAAGACAGCGGCTTTATATTAATCAGGGAAATATGTTTAATTTTATGCTTACCGTTAATTGTATTTTCTGGATAAAACTAAAAAAAAATTAAGAAATGTGCTTGTACCTATAGTTTATTGATTTATAGTGTATGTATATTTTATTGACCTATTATGTCAATCCTAGGTTCTATTAGGTGTTGGTTGTTGACGGGGAAAGGGGGGGGGGGTCAGAATGATTAGAATGAAGGAGAAAAGAGTTTATCTGTTTAAATTATTTCTTATCAAAACAAAATACTCGTTTTTTGCAAAATAATTTTATATTCAGATGTTTGTCAGTGCTAACTTACCTTTTTTTTTAGTGCAGAAAGGTCAATGTTTATGACAGAAGAGAACGAAAATAAAAGAAAACGTCATATTTCTCGTTTATTATATCATAAAGGTATACTTTTTTTCTTTGTTAAATTAAAAAGAGGGGTGACTTCTTTCAAAAAATATTAATTACAACAATTTCACACAAAGTCTTTTTAAGATATTACCTGTTATGCATGTCGGAATTGTAAAAAAATACGACAAGAAAAACGGGGTGATACTTACATTGTGCTCTTTTATAATTTTTCATGCAAGATGAATTACAATGAATTTGCCTTCATTTTAAAGATACAAGTCATATAAATTAAATACGTGTTGATTTCGATTTTGATTTGTCATTTTTGGTTCTTTTTAGCGCATATTTGGAGTAAAACAAGAATGTCTGAAAATTATCTATTTTTAGCATTTCACATTGATTTTGCACGTGCTCCTGTGTACAAATAAGCACATAAAGGTATTGTTTTCAATACCTAAAAATTAAAAGCAAGTGGTCAGCGAAGAAATGTCAAAGTTTTGAAAATTTTACACAAAGACTTTTCGGACATAGGTTCCCCCTTAATTTCCTTTCTCTCTCATATAGCAATTGGAGTCTCCTGCCAGATCCAGTCTTTGTTGGTTTTTCTTTTGCGATAGCCTAGTTTCTTTTTGCTGCTTTCAGTGTATAGTTGGGTCACTCAAGTGTTGTCCACATTGTTCTCCTCACCTTCATCGTATCTTGTAAGCTTAAGATCTGAAATCTATTTCTTAATTTGTTGATGAAGGCAACTTTCACGATGTTGTCCCTCAGTCTCTGTATGTCGAAACGTGTTTGAGTATTAAGTCTTATTTAAGCTTTTTTTCAGTTTGATTTTAATGAGTGCTGTCACCATGCAGGGGATGGTCGCTGCCAACGTCTGCACTCCGCTTGACCCTAACATCTGACAGAGAGCGTCTCCACATGCCATTGATCATCAAATGGTCAATCTGGTTCCTTTTCTCTTCCATTTGGTGAGTTCCAGGATAGCTTGTGGGTATCAGGGTGTGTAAAGAGGGTTCCTCCTATTACTAGGTTGAACTCCACCAGTTTTTCACCACTATCGTTACTGGTGCCAACCCCCTGTTTTCCCATGACTCTTTCATAGTCGTTGTTGTCTTTTTTCTCTGTCTCTGCCTGTAGCTGACTATAGAACTTATCCTTGTCTTCATCGCTACTGTCTTTCGTTTGTATTAATTTGGTGTTGATGTGCTTGCCCCTTAATCTTGCGCTAATCATTCTATTCCTTATGGGCTTCCATTCCAACAGACACCGCTCTACACCTTTCCTGAATATGATGGCCACTCCTTCACGGTGTAGGTTGTTATCTCTACCAGAGTAAAGGACGGTTTCTCCTGTGTTGGTCCCATCTTTCTATAGATCCAGTCCATCTGCTCTCACTCACTTCTAGGACATGTAGATTAAACTGTCTCATCTCAGATGTTACCTGTACCAGCTTGCTTGTCTCATACATTATCCTCACATTCCAATGTCCTAGTCAGAGCTTGGTTTCAGTGGTGTTCAGGACCTCCCCCATTCTGCTTGTAACGTCCTTATGGCTTTGATTACCAGCATTCATACGAGTCTTATTTAACTCGGAAGGCCTTTCACACGATGTAGTAAAGGCTTGTTGCTGTTTCCGTAACTTTTTCCTTTTACAGGGCAGGGTTGTTAGCCCTACTCTCAACCCCCAACCTGGAGGTCTAGGGTAATTTGTTTATGGTTTCCTTCCACTAGATCTATGACTTTACATGGCTAACGAAATCCAACCATACTTGTGTTTTCCACTAAATAAGAATTTATTTTCTTATATTTCAAAGTTAAGTGCACATAAGTTGTAAGTCGTATGTAGAAACAGATAGATATTGTTAGTAACCCTGTCGTTCCTAGAGAAAATAGATTTTTTTCCAATGTTAAAACTATTGTTGAATATGAAAAGCACTTTTTACTTGATTGTCCTGTGTATGAAAATGTCAGAAAAAAGTATTCAAGGTTACTAGATGTTTTAAATACCTTATCTTGTTTGCTTAATCCACATAACTTTATATCTACAAAACAAATCTGTCTATATATCAGGGACTCTTTTGATCTTGGAAACAAGCTTACAATAGTTTTATATTTTGTAATATATGTCTAACAACACATTCCTGTATATAAAAATGTGTTTTAGTGCCAATAAAGAATTGAATTGAATTGAAAAACATTTATTTCCTTAAAAGTTAGAAGAATTTTCGTCCAAACGATACACGACATTAAAACACTGGTATGACAGATTTTATCACAAACTTCTTGAGTAACTAAGAAATTGTTGTAGTTGATAAAAACAATAGCTTTCTAAAAATAAATGATTAAATTGGACAAAAATTGACCATTTGCCAGTGATTTTACGAAATGTTGTTTTCAATTAAATATATAATAAAGAGAAAAAAATTATCTTCACATTTGGCACACAACTGTAGGTGTCAAAAATAAAGAAATAAATATACCACCATGACTAAGAAAGAGAGGTGATACATATGAAGCAAGAAAAAGATCGGTATGTGGCTTTATTTTTTAACTTCATTTTTAATTTTTAATGTCTTGAAAAAATTCAGCATTTGTGTTAACTTAATCATTTGGACAACGATCCCCCCCCCCCCCCCCGGCCTTCCTTCTCAAATCTCCCGAAGACATTTACATACATACGATTAGTTTTTTTTACTTTTTTCCCATTAGTTACATGTATGTTCATTGTAGAATTACTGGGAACGTCAAAAAGTAAAATTTAGTCTTCTTTGATTCCGCAAAATGAAAATGTTCTCAGCTTCTTCAATCTAGAAATTTTTCGTCGGGATCGAGATTCCACACATGCGGACAACTCGACGAAAATACCTGAGATCATTCTGATAGGTGACAGGTCGTCAGCGGAACGTTTGATATGCACCTGTAAAACCGTTAAAGCGTGCAGGTGACAAGATCAGAGATAAATCTCGGATTTTTAGGGTGGGCGGACAGAGACTGAGAAGAAAACTCTAAGGTCAGAAAGAAAACAAAAAATATGATACTTAGACGAGGACAGACGCCATGAGACTCGATCCAGGATAAAAATAAATCACTGACGACAAGTGTGAACGAAGGGGGCGCCATTAAACAATGACTTCCGCGGATCTTTATGTGCAGGTAGGGAAAATATTCAAAACAAAAAACGTGTCAAAGTGTGGTAGCTACTCATTGTGAGGTAGCTGAGAATGGGCCCTTTAAGCCGGCTTTTGACACGTGAATTACATTTTTAAGTCAATGAGAAAACGTTATTTTTATCTACATGTCATTGTTTTGATGTACATGACTAATTAACCCTACACAGGTGCTGTTTGACACCTGTCATATATAGGTGAGAGGGGCGGATCTAAGAATTATACAAGTGTTATTTTTTGATAGGCGTATGTAACATTTGTAAACAGTCAGGGGTGTGATTGAAATCCATCATTTTTAAAAATGATGATTTTCAGTCATTAAATTGATTTTTAATAATGATGGAAATTCATCTTTTTTTAGTAAAATGATGAAAAACAGCCATTTCTATTTTGAAATTTATTTTAGAAATAGAGTTATCTCTGATATTAAAAATGACTGTTTTTCATCATTTTTTATCAAATTGTTAGGTCTAGGCACACTTAATTATCTCATTAGTTTTAGGGGGCGCACTAAATTATTTTGGTTTCAATTACTTGTCAAGATGTTTCTCTACACAAGGGTCTATGGCAGGATAGTGTACTATATCTAATTACTGTAGTAAATGGGATGGGAAAATTGACTTGAGAATGGAAATATGATGAAAAGACGTCATATTTACAAAAATCAGAAAATTGTGTACATTATATACTTAGAAGAAATGATCATTATCCATCATTTTCAAAAATGACTGATTTCAGTACCACCCCTGACTGGTAAAGGTTCCTTTTGATATCTTTTCGACATAAATACAGTCAAATCTCGAACTTGAAAGGACCGAGAAAAAAACACAAATAACCTCGGATTTAAGATATTAAGGGGTAAAATAACCTCAGATTTAAGATATCAGGGGTAAAATACGTAAGTAAAAGTTGTTGGGATCAAAATGACTTTGACGTATCCAGTATTAGAGATACTGAAGTTTAACTGTGCTTGTAATTCCAAATCTTTTTCTGAATAGTTTAGATATTCCTTGATGTTATTAATCGTTTACAAATAGTTTGGATCCTACATTGAACCTGCTCCCACGTACAAACAAAGAGGAGACAATATGTTACATTGATTCATAATGGTTAGGGATCTAATTTGATCATGTTAATAAAGCTCAAATATCCCCTTCACATCACCCTCAAAATTTAAAAATAGTCCCAAATGAATACACAGTACTACATGTATATCATAAATACTGTAGAAAGTATTACTGTAAATGTTGAGGAACTGTCTTATTTGGAGTGATTTCAGCGTGTAAAACAAAACCATGTAAAGGATCTGTAGGAGGATGTGTGAAGTGTTAAATCTATCAGCTGATTCTATTCTGGGTATTGCGCAATCACAGGGTTATGTTACTGAAAGTTATGTCACAGGAATTTTAAATCTTCCATAAGGTCCTGAAATCTAGACATTTTCAAACAAAAGAAAAAGGACGTAATTCATGGTTGATTTAGGGAGATTTTGTGTATAGTTTAATGCATGCAGTTCTTAAGTGAATCATTGGGAAAAAAGACTATTTAGGAAGTAAAGGTTTAGCATATCTCTCAAAACCAGATGCCACTTATAGATGTAAACATAGGAGGTACCTTGTGGAAGCAATTTTGATAAAATGTGTTTTAAAATTTTCTTGTCAAATATCTTGGCTGGCACGAACATGATTAAAACTAGGTAAAAGTACTGGGTACTGACAGATTTTGAAAGGCCTGTTTCCCTGACCTGTCTATTGTCTTTTTTTCCTGTCTTGTCCCTGACACACAATAATACTACCGGTACATGATCTTGTTTTAGATGCTCTGTGTAAATCGTTCCTGTTTAGTGTTTACATGTACTTCAACGGAGTTTATCATGTTTACATTGAAAATTAAATCCACTGGTTTCCTGTCTTCTAAAAATAAAAATAAATAAATAAATAAATAAAATAGTAAGGAAGAGAAACAGGGGGAGGGGGAGGGGGGAGGGGAGGGGGGGACAGATTTAGAGAGGGTGAATTACCACACTGAGAGATTAGATCATCAAGGTATTATAAGACTTCTAGGTAAATTAAGGATAAATTAAAATGTGAAACTGAAAAAGACAACTCCCAGGGGATGGCAATGTTTACACATTTAGGTTTTACCAAGAGCTTTAGTGGCCATGTATATTTTGTTTAGTTCAGATACCATATAAAAAAAAGTATGAACCCCATGTGATCAAAAGTCATTCATATTGTTAATAGAATTTTGAGAGTTTTTTCAATTTGTACAAAACGGGTCATGTAATTTTTTTTACACATGTAAAAATGAAGTCTATATATTCAACAGAATGAGCGTTCACAAGTGCTCGCCAAAATTCTGTATACTTCCAAAAGAAATGTTTTTGAACACTTGCTGTACTAAACACACATATGATGAACTGTAAGGTATATATTCCAGAACAGCAGATCACAAACTCTCTTTTCTCGACTAAACAGTGTAGCTTTTAAATGATTCTTCCCACATATCAATTGTTTTACTAATGCCACCAAACAGACAAACAATGCTGTAAGTTTGTATATATTATCCCGGTACAGAATTGATATCTGGTCTTATAGAGATCAGATCTACTTACGTACAATAGAATCAATATAAACAAGTACAATCCAAAAGCTTATTATATCCCACAAGATACATTTTTCCTTTTGAAACCAGTAATTAAACACAAACAAAGTTATGAATGAACACAGACTTCTGGGGCTATTAAGTGTTTGAATTGGAAGAGGATTTGACAGAAGTAAGCAAATCAGTAGTGAATCAGAAATTGTTAGAGATGTCAACCTTTTATATCAGAACTTACCCTTGTTCTCCTTACTAAGCGGCTTCAGTACCAGTCATTGACAAAAATGATCCTTTAGAATTTTTAATTTTAAAAGTCTAAATTTAATTATTGTGAGGTCCATTAAGGTTTTGTTTATAAACCTCAGCCCCTAGCCTGTAACAGCTAGCTGCAGATCTCTAAACTCTTTAATACTGAGAAATAAAGGGAGAACACTGGTGACAGGGTTGCAAATAACATTTAAACCTTAGGGGCCATGTGGGCCCCCAACTACACAAATTTTACTAGCCCACATTGATATTATGGGGCCCACAATTTTTTCACTTTTTCAAAAAATCTTTTAATATTAAAACATTAGAAAAAAAACTTTATTGTCCATAGTATTTCATTATTTATTTTCAAATTTTTCCTGCAGACTTTGACACTACTAAATGTATGAAATTCCATGTTATCATTCAATTCAAATTTGCTTCTTTTGATTTCAGTTGTTTCGGGCATGTATTTTGAATTAGGCTTCAAAAAATGTTTGATTGTCGGTATGTCAGGTTTTTTTGGTTTATAAATGAGAGGGCTAAACATCCCTGGACTGAATTGAGCAGGTGTTGTATTTACAGTGGACACCCAAAATGGCTGCCCAGTGGCAGAAAACGAACTTCAAAAAGTTGTTGGGGGAATTCTTGTTACAATAAATATTACTCTTTGAATTTAAGGTAAATGTTAACTAGGTTGACATATTTTTATATCTGAAATAAAGCTACAATTAATATTTGTTGAAAAATGGAATCAGCTGAATGATCAAACACAGGAAAATCCGTCTGGGATATGAAAACGAAAGTACATTGAATAGTAGAAACAAACTACGATCTGATTCTGGAAAAGGTGTATATATAAATTCTTACTCGCCATGTGGATATATACTATAGTGGGCGAGTGGTTATTTGCAACCCTGCTGGTGTCAGAAAGTGTGTATATGTATAATGTAGTCAGAGTGAGGCCTGCTCTATAGATCTACACTATAAGCCTGGGTTGACATTTCACTGGAATAATGATGAACAATTACTGGTGAATTACAGAGAAATGATTCACAGTGAAGCAGGCCAACACAGACTAAACAGTATAGGGAAAAGGGGGTGTGATCATGGGATGAGGGATTAATGTTGATGTTAGTTTTTCACTTCTGTACATTGTATAACTTTTGTACTTTAGCATGTTTAGGCTCAATTTTTTTTTTCAAATGAAACTCAGAAAAGGAGTGAAGTCAAGTTAACATAGTGAAAATGTCAGGAGTAATACCTATCAATGCTAATTTGAGTTTAGTTTTAATTGTTTATGAAAATCCTTTTTGAGAATTTTTAACTCATATGGAGATGCCACCACTTGCCATTGGAGAGCTGTAAAATTTGTCCTCTACTCAGGACTCTGGGTAATTGAGCAGGGAAGGAGCTTTTTCATGCCAGTAACATTGTACTATGACATGGGACCTCTGTTTAAACAGTCTCATCCAAAGGATTGGTAATTTAAGTTAAAATTTGACTCATCAATAAGTTTTATTTAATATAAAGATTTTCATGATTGCAACAACCAAAGATCTCGCTGAATATTTAAATTCATAAGCTGTAAAACATAAAATTAGTTAAGCCTGGCCTACCAGCATCTGTACATGTTATTATTTATAAATATTTATAAAATGTTGGAAGTTTGCAGTGACATGTACAATATTGAATGAATAACTCATTCACTGAGTACCAGAAAATCTGAGAATTTACGATAAGATGGCCATGTATGGCACAGATTTTCTGGTGGAAATAAGTTATCAATACCAATTAATGCAGTATGGGAGTCTCGTCAGTTTCTTGATGCATTCTCAATCTTGATTTCAAATTCCTGTGGATAAGAACTCGCAGACTTCTGGAATATTAGAATTGTGTATCAACTTAATGATCTTTCTCTGGCAGACACGTTAGCTTTGATGGATATTTTGACACTGAGCTTTCAGATTTAAATTCTTTGATCCACGCATGAGATATCTTGTCAGGCAGTGTATAGTCTATAGTGGCACCTAAATTTGTAGAATTTGAAGAAAAAAAACACAAATACCCTGTATTCTTAAATGAACAGAGGAGTTACTCTGAAGGCACATAATTCTTAGATCCACCTCCTAAACATGGAAATATTAAGATCCCACGTCTTTGATATTTATCGCCGATTTCAATTTCAGACGTTTCTCAAGGAGTCGGAAATCGGCCAAGTTTACGTGAAGGTTTGTATATGTTCTGCCTGTGGTGGAAGATCATTGCTAACAATTTAACATGGTTCTTGTGGGTTCATGTGGTTGAGGTCTATATTTTCTAACAACTTGATATAACCTGAGTGGGGGGGTTGGGGGATAATAGGCAGATTAATGTAACCAAAAATGTCATTTCAGCTTGCAGGTTTTATTTTTGGGACAAACATTACTAACAACTTAATATGGGACTTTCATGCAGTATAGTGGTAGTTAAATTTGTATATTTAGGGGGAAGGGTATGAATGTTACTGTAAATCGGTACACTACTTTGATAGGCATAATTTGTTTTATAAGCATATCTCAAATATAAAAGTAATTTGGTGAAAAAGCCATTAGATACAGAAAGTGGGGAGGGGGGGGGGGGGGGTAAATAAAGGTACATGTACTTTTTGCTATTTCTTGGGAAGCATTTCAAATAACATGGCAAGAATAAGAATTAGTAAATTTTCTATAAACTTCATATTTGTGTACATGTACTTTTTGCTATTTCTTGGGAAGCATTTCAAATAACATGGCAAGAATAAGAATTAGTAAATTTTCTATAAACTTCATATTTGAATTGTTTAGTTATTGTCTTAATATAACATTTACTGCTATAGATTGGCCTTAAGTGTCAAACTATAAATTTATTAGTACTATTTTGTACTCTAGAATAACTTACAAAGCTGTATTTTAGATATTAGATTATTTATAATGATGCATTATAATAACAAGGCATAATAAGGCCACATAAAAACTTTCTCTGATGTTCAGCCAAACTGATTTTCATCTTAATTTTCAATGAAAAAAGCAATGGAAAGGGGAAGGGGGGATGTTTCAGGATGAGAATCTAATATATTTTTTGTGTGGCCTTTTTTGTAGATATAGTGCTAATGTTCCATACTAACTCATAACCATGATAACTATCATACAACTTTGCTTATATTTCTTACTTTAGTGTGTTAATCCTGTATAGAGATTAAATTATCATGGATTGGAAATTTGTGGACAGATACTGCTAGATATTAAACTCAATTCTGTGGAATTAGTTTAGTTTAATTCAATGAATCAATAATGATTATGATTTAATACAAAAAAATCAATCTAAAATTTATAAGTATTAGGGTGACCAACAAAATCCAAAAATTATATATATATAATGCTTGATAATTTCATAGTATATATTAAAATGGGTATTTTGCAAGCCAACAAAATGACAGAGGAAATATTATAATTTAAGAACTCTAAATCAGGTTTTTGAACACTATTACAAACATGATAAATATTTAAAAAAAATTGTATTTTAGGTCAGTTTGTTGAATTTAAAATACATTTTTTTTATGTATAGAAATAAAAATCAAACCAAATAGTAATATATAATTATGAATGATTTGTGGAAATATTTAAACAATATTGTTCTGTGTTATTTTAATACTTAGATATTTTCTATGTATTTATTCTTTAAAATAAGAAGTGAATTTGTTTATTTAACTTGAAGTAAGCACTTCGTAAAATCAATTTTGAACCCTTTACAATTATTTACAGGGGGCGAGAATATGGGTACCAGATGCGGAGAATGTCTGGTTAGGGGCAGAGCTGCTGGAAAACTACACAGGACAAAAAAAGATAAAGATACAATTAGAAGATAATGGAGAGGTAATTATAACAGAGAGAGAGAGAATGTCTGAAAGACATGGATAGAGAGAATGTCTAAGAGAAACAGAATGGCCAAGGGAGAGACAGACATATGTCTGAGAGAGACAGATAGAAAGAATGTCTAAGAGAGTTGGATAGAGAGAATGGCTAAGAGAGATGGATAGAAAGAAGGTCTAAGAGAAACAGAATGGCCAAGGGAGAGACAGACATATGTCTGAGAGAGACAAATAGAAAGAATGTCTAAGAGAGTTGGATAGAGAGAATGGCTAAGAGAGATGGATAGAGAGAATGGCTAAGAGAGATGGATAGAGAGAATGGCTAAGAGAGACATGGGTAGAGAGAATGGCTAGGAGAGACAGAATGGCTAAGGGAGAGGCCGATAAAGATAGAAAAAGAAAGAGAGCTTGACAATGTGATTGAAGTTGAAGGGAGAGGGAGATCCTCAGATTTTATGCAGAAAGTTGACATGGAGCTTTTATCATTACGTTCATTGATTAATTGTAAACTATTAATTATCTTGACGTCCTAAGATTGTTTGCTCATCATGTCAACATGTCATTAGGCCTATAAGATAAAAGATAAAAATATCGGGACTTTTATTGACAAGTAATGGTTTGTCCAGTGTACTGCAGATAATATTAATGAAGACCTACAGAAAATACAAAATTACTTCGTATTTATTTTTACCTGGTAGATAATAATAATACATTGAATTTAAAGTTTGAAATTTACATCCTGTTTAAGATTTCACAGAGAAAAATTTATGAATATATTAATACAATTAACTAATGATTAATTAATTATAACTGCAGTTCCTGTTGACATAATACAACATTCCGGTTTATTTCTCTCTATGATCTCTTTAGTGTTACGTTTTTCTCTGTGATGTGCTCATTAATATGCGACATTAACATCTCGTTAACGACCGTCCGACATTATGTCCTGTCCATAAAAACCACATCTGGACATTACAGTACACTTACCGTCCTAAGTCACTGACCCCAAACCTTAACTGACCAAAGGTCAATTGTCACAGGCAATAGGACTCAAAATATACCTCATGTTAAAAATATCTATTAAAATAAGAGGGGCATATGTGTCCTCATAATAAATCTATTCAGAGGTCAGTTGTCACAGACAATATCACTGGTCACAAAATATACCTCACCTAAAGAATATCTAACTAGAATGGGCATATTTGTCCTCACATTAAAACTGACTAAAAGGGCACTTTTCACAGACAGATATTGAAAGCAAAATTTCTCTCATCTTAAAATATCTAATACAGGAAGGGGCATAATTATATGTCTTTTAATTAAAATTGATGAGAGACCACTTGTCACTGACAACTATTGGACACAAAATCTCCTTCTTCCTAACCAGGTGGGGGTATATGTGTCCTAACGTGAAATTTTTTGACCACTGTCTGTTTTATTGTTAAGCCCTTAACTTTTCTCTTATTACATGTAGTTAACTCTGATCATATGTTTAAGCTTCACAGGACTGAAGACTGTGTTATATTGAGTAACTCAAGGTTGTTCATTTAATATTAGAAAACATTGGCCTTCAGTAGAAGTGTATTTAGTCATGTGCAGTGTGCGCCAAAAGGACTAGCCCGATGCCCGAACACTAGTAAAAACACACAGTAAAAAATCAGCACTAGCCCAATCGGTCTAGTGAAAAGTTGCATGCATTTTACATTTATTTGTTGATAAATCTTTAAAAGTAATAAAATAAGTATAAGAATTCTGATTGTTTCCTTTCGTTTTACATGTGCGTGGGTTTCTTTTGTTTAAGCATGTAGACTTTCCGCAATCGGTTTTTCTTGTACACTTTGGGTTTATAAAATACACATCAGCATTTACTTCCGGTTATGGCTGGGTTATGTCTATAAATATCAATTTCGACTGGTTTAATATATATAACAAATTCATATTGTAAAGTATGTGGGCATACAAAATCTGATTTTAATTGTTCTTCATTAATTGATTGGGCTAGTGCTGAAAAAAGTTTTTCGCGCACACTGCATGTGATGACAATACAGCAAATAATTTAAAATGTAAAATTCATACAACTGTCAACGCATTGTAAATAATCTTCCTGTCATAAACTGAAGTCACTCTTAGGCTAATGCCACATTTCTTTAGCATGTAAAGAAAAAAAATTGTTCTTTTGAAAACTAGTATTTATATCAAGGCATTGATAGAGATGTCTAATTTTAAAACTTATATTTCAGGAGAGAGAATTTGAAATCAAAGATAAAAAAAGACTGCCTCACCTTAGGAATCCTGAGATTCTGATTGGAGAAAATGATTTGACATCACTCAGCTACCTCAACGAACCAGAGGGTGTGTTACATCTTAACATTACAATTTTATAACAAAACATTTCATTGGCCAAATTTGAATTTCTGTTTCTATTTTGAAGGAGTTATTCAATGTCTTTTAGTTACAACATTAAGTAATTAATGATAACAATTATCTTTAGTTACAGTTGATTTCATTAGCTAAAATTATTTTTTTAGATTATTTTCAGTTCTCTACAACTTAAAGGTGCTGTTTTTTGAGAGCAACTGTATATTTTCCATTTTCAGTTCTGTACAACTTAAAGGTGCGGTTTTTGGAGAGTAACTGTATCTACACATACTGTGGCATCGTGTTAGTGGCTATCAACCCGTATGAACAGTTACCTATCTATGGCAATGAGCTCATACAGATGTACAGCGGTCAGGATATGGGGACAATGGACCCCCACATCTTTGCCGTGGCAGAGGAGGCATTCAAACTCATGTCCCGGTATGCTAAGGTTTACACCGCTAGACATTCAATGTTAATAAGATGTATACCATTTGGCATTCAAACTCTTTTCTAATTACTGTATACAGGGTTATTTTCGTCCAGTTTTATTTTCTCCTTTCACACTTGCGGACAATTTTGCCCCGTTTAAAATTCGTCCTGTCAAAGTTTTATTTTAAGTACTTATACTGTATTATATGAGTTCACCCCATTTTAAATTCGCCCAAATAAGGCAAGGGCGAAAGGGGCGAAAATTTCCCTGTATACAGTATTTTGTATGTTAAGAAAAGAATTGCAGGGCTTTCAAACTACTGATCAAGTTTTGAAGGAAATTCAGATCCAAATTAGGGAATGTTTTGTACTCTTTGTACCACTTCGATTTAAATCAGACCCAATGGTCATGAAACAGACTTAGACTTAGACTTAGACTTATTAATAAGTCAAATTTTCAACTGACTGTTATTTTTATCAATTACTGAATTGATCTGAAAATTTGCAAATTACAGCACTTTTGTGAATCAATAATTTTGATCTGCTTGACTTCCACAACATTTAAGTATAACATTTAAGTATAACATGAAGAATTTGACTTAAGCTTTAGATGCTTCATGATCCTGGAATGGGATAAACATATCTGTGAAGTTGGCATGAATACTTGCACATCATTTTTTCCCTGAAAAGGTTGTTTTGTACACACATTCTGACTAACTGCCTATTTTTCAGATTTGATAAGAACCAGTCAATTATTGTGTCTGGAGAATCGGGAGCTGGGAAGACAGTGTCAGCGAAGTACGCCATGCGATATTTCGCGATGGTCGGAGGATCACAAAAAGAAACTCAGGTGGAACAAAAAGTCCTGGCATCCAACCCAATCATGGAGGTATAAAAAAATTCTCTAATCTCAAATAACTCAAACACATAACTCAAACACATGTCAGTCTATGCAAAAGTCACCGGACCGTCAGTTTTTACTGGTAAAATTTAGGTCGGGTCGGTAAAAAAATTCAGTGTACAGGACCAAATGTCCAATAGAAAATAAGGCCAAATAAATCTAAATTAAGAGGTACACATGGTCAAATTCCCCACAAATATCCTTTATTTGACCAATTTAGCAGTACAGCAAAACTCGGTTATAACGAAGTCACTGGGACCCATAAAATTACTTCGATATATCCGTAATTCGTTATAACCGTATAAGAAATTCATTAAATTTATATTGCTGGGGATCAAAGATGACTTTGCTATATCCGTAAATTCGCAATATCCGTGTTCGTACTAACCGAGTTTTGCTGTAATACCTGATTAATTTTTATGTATTACAACCCTGTCATGATCGTTTTTATTTTAATTAAAATTTCCTCTGTCAATGATTACAGATCTTTAGATAGCTCATACGTAGGTTTGGTTGGAAAATATATCTCATAAGGAAAATTTTTTTCAAATGATCATTGAACTTGAGTAACCATAATTAATTGTTTCAGGAAAAAATAAATATGCATTGAAAGTGCATATTAAATTTAAGAAAATATTTGATACAGTGTATGTTGTATAAATCAAATATAAAGTAAAAAATGCATGCAATTGTATAAATAGATACCTTTAACAAAGAAAAATTATAAATATTTAACTTGTCTATTTCACTCTGAATTTATTTAAGGTTAAATTTCACAGTGTGAATTAACCCCATCCTACCCACCCTCTCAATCTCACTATCATAATGATGTATGGATTTAAGGGGAGGGAAAAAGTCGGTCTGGTAAGAAATGGTTTGGTCTGGTAAAAATTTTATTTTTACCAGACATTTTGTCCTGTAAAAATTTTAAACTTTGGCGTAGACTGACATTTCTGTGTGTAAATACTGTCGATACACTTTTTACTACATGGTCAAAATTCTGTAGAATTTTTATTTATGTTTAATCAGTGGGTAGAAATTTATGTGGATTTCTTAGACTGACAGTACATGCCTAACATAAAGATTAGCATAAATAGATGGAAAAAAGTACTTCTGCAGTAATTTTGAATGTAACACATATTTCCTGATTCCAGGCCATTGGTAATGCTAAAACAACAAGAAACGACAACAGCAGTAGGTTTGGGAAATACATAGAAATCTCCTTCAACAAAAACAACGAAATCATTGGCGCCCACATGAGAACCTACCTACTGGAGAAATCCAGGTAAATTTACCACATTGTATAAAACAGATGGCACCTGTCCATGGCACCTGATCCCACCTCTGATGTTTCAGAGGTCCGTGTTTGCTCTGCTCCAATTTTGTATATTTGTTTAATGGACGTTGAGATTGAATACTGTTCGTTATTTTCATATCCTCCTTTTACAGAAAAAATTTGATTAATACGAAATTAAATTTAAGACAATTGGTACTGTGTAGAGCCTTATGGTGAATTCTAGGTACTAATCTTTCTGATGAATTCTGGGTAATTTTTCAGGGTGGTGTATCAAGCTGCAGAAGAAAGAAACTACCACATTTTCTATCAACTTTGTGCTTCCAAAGATCTACCAGAATTTAAGAAGTATTGTCTGTGTAAGTATGGATCTGTGACTGTGTGGTCTGTTTGTTTGTGCATCTGTCTTTATATATGTCTTTGTGTATTTAATTTTGTCAGAGTCAGGGCATATGAATTGGTGCTAATGTTGTCTTTGATATATGAATGTCTCTTTATGTATAATTATTTCTTCAGTGTCCCCTGATGATTTTTACTACACGAGTCACGGTCAGGCTCCAGAGATAGACGGCGTGGACGACGGGGAGGACCTAGTGTCTGTCAGAGAGGCCTTCACAATGCTGGGTAAGGCAACCAGCCAGGAGGGGAACTAGTTTATACTCAGTGTCAAATAGCAATCTAAATATTCCTTTATTCGATTTTTTTATTTCAAAGATAAAAAGTAACAAAAATGAAAGATTTGAATATATCAGAGCTGATAGAAACCAGTTACATGTAATATCAACTGTTCAGAACTTACCATGAACATTATGGTTTTGAAAGCCAATTTTTATGCCGTTGAAATGCTGTCACTGACTCGTAAATAAAACATCTTGATGTCTGAGAATTTTTTTTTTTGATTCTTTGTGATTTAGGAATCTCGGAGAAGGACCAGATGATGATCTTCCAGATTCAGTCGGCTGTCCTACATTTTGGTAACGTTAAAATACGGGAGGCTGACGGAGAATCGTCTGAAATAAAGGTCAGTGTGACCTAGTTACATGTATAAAAATGAGGTTAATATGTGGCCTAATTATCTTCAGAATAATAGGTAATTGTGTCTTGTTTTAGCTCCAACATAGTATAACAAAAAAATTAGGTCAATGTGTGAAATATTTTTTGTGTATAAAAATGAGGTCAGCATCTGACCTATTTATTTCCAGAATGAGTTCAGTATGTACAGTTTCTGCTCTATCATCAAATAACAATAATTACATTATCTTTACATTCATTAGCTAAATCACTTTATGTTGTTTGTTTGTATTATCCCAGTTAACTTATTCTATGAGGATTGGAACTAAGTATAACTTTTTTCTGATTTAACAGAAGGATGACATTATTTAACCATTATGTGTTGATAATGATGTATCAGTACTTTCAGTACTTTGATTTTCTGGTTTTACAGAAGGACGACAAACATTTAACCATTATGTGTTGATGATGATGTATCAGTACTTTCAGTACTTTGATTTTCTGGTTTTACAGAAGGACGACAAACATTTAACCATTATGTGTAAACTGCTGGGCATCGAGGAATCTCAGATGAGGATGTGGTTATGTAACAAAAAAATTGTTACCGTCGGCGAGGTGTTAACAAAACCGTTAACATTAACGCAGGTAAGAATTGTTAACAAAAACCTTTAATGTTAGCCCAGGTAAACAGAGTTACACGTTATTGATGTGAATTATGGGTTGTTGTTAGTTTTAGCAATATTCAACTTTTATTTTTGCATAATTTTTAGAAATTGTCTCTTGCATTGATTTGGATAGTAAAAGGAACATTATTTTACAATGTAAAAGATTAGAAACTTCTTCAAAAGATTTTTTTATGTGGAGTGCAATAATTTATTTAAAATTTTTTAGGCATCCTTTGCACAAGATGCTCTGGCCAAACACATCTACGCACAAATATTTGATTGGATTGTGGAGAAGATAAACAAGGCTCTACAGAGTGGAGCAAAATCTACAAAGTTTATAGGAGTCTTAGATATCTACGGGTATGTACTAATGTTATCCTTATAAGGTCCATAGGAGCTGTAGATGCATTATAAAGGGTCTTAGAAGTATATTGGTATGTACCGTATATACTGGCCTATAAGTCAGATGTTTGGGAGTTAATTTCTGGTCCAATACTCTATGTCCAACTAATAGGCAAGCTATAAAATGAATGGTATTATATGAGGTAAGTCCCTATGATATATAAGCTTATGAAATACAACCAACTTATAGGCGGACCGACTTATAGGCGAGTATATACGGTACAAAAGTTATCATCATGAAGTCAACCGTAGTTGTCCACAATGTAGTTAATATTCTTATGCAGCATTTTCTTACATAGTCCTTTAATGAAGGAAAGGCTGTGAAGGTCTTGACTTTGGGTTAATGTAATACAGTTCACCTTCAGATATCTGGATGCTTCTTTACCCAGACAATTTTTCATCTGAACAGAATTTTTAAATGTTATTTTTGTCTAGTTTAACTAATAATTCAGATATCTGGACGCTTCTTATGTCTAGACAAATTAACTAGGAACCAAAATCTCCAGATAAATTAGGCCCCGCTTTACCAGATTAACCCTGGTACATGTTGTACAAAACAGTTTGTGTACATGTATATATAGACAGAAGTTGTTTGAAATATTTTTTACTTTGATTCAAATTATTTTTTTTCATTAAGAATCGCAATATTTGTACAGTATGATTAATTTATTGGTCTATTCCATTTCAGGTTTGAAACTTTTGAAATTAACAGTTTTGAACAGTTTTGTATCAACTATGCTAATGAGAAGTTACAACAGATATTTAATATGGTGAGATTTTCTAATGGCTGGTATCTTTTAAGGTTTTAAAAGTAAATGGTTTATTAATTAATTTTCCTATTAACTTCATTGGTCTATTTATATATTATTTTGGTCTATTTATAGATTGTTTTGGTCTATTTATAGATTGTTTTGGTCTATTTGTAGCACGTATTTAAACTAGAACAAGAGGAGTATGTGAGAGAGGCCATTGAGTGGTCGTTTATTGATTTCTATGACAACCAGCCTTGTATTGACCTGATTGAAAGTAAACTAGGAATTCTGGATCTCCTGGACGAAGAGTGTAAAGTAAGTTCTTAGAAGTACTGATATAAAGAAAGTACAGATAAAAAGTACTGATATACAATAAATGCTGAATATATAAAGTAAGAACTTATAAGTACTGATATAAAGAACTGATACAAATGAAGTACTGATACAAAGTAAGTACCTTTTAATTGAGTACTGATATAAAAAAAAACTGATATAAAGTAAGTACTTTTAAGTACTCATATTAGAGTACTGATATAAAGTAAGTACCGTAACAGTAAAACACAGGTTACCGTATTTATAACAAAGTGATTTTTTCATTTCTAATGGATTTAAAATGTATTGTGAACTGAATGGATATAAATGAATGAATCAAATTTATTGGTCACTGGCATTTCACTTGAAGCTTAACTGTGATTTAAATTTAGTACTGATAGTATAAATTTGGTTCTGATTATATAACCTAAGTATGCTGTGAACTTATTTATCATGTCCAGTTATTAAGAGTTTTATTGTTTAAAATTAAGAGTTATTTCTTATTTCCCTGCCAGATGCCTAAGGGTTCGGATGAGAACTGGTGTCAGAAGCTGTATGATAAACACCTGGGGAAGGCCAAACACTTTGAGAAACCTCGGATGTCACGGTCAGCGTTCATCATTAACCACTTCGCAGACCGTGTCGAATATCAGGCCGACGGATTCCTGGAGAAAAACCGGGACACGGTACTGGAGGAAAACATCAATATACTCCGGGCCAGCGAGGTCAGTATACATCTGACTGGTTTACTTCTTATGTGAAAATGTGAAATAGAAATTTGTTGTTTGATAAATACAGACAAATTTGCATTAAACTGAGATGCCCCAATAATAAGATTTCCTCAGTCATACCTGGATCATCTTCTGAAGCTAGAATTTATGTTGTGTATATATCTTTACATACTGTGAAATATATTATGTACATGTAAATACTTGTACAGTTAATGATGTTCGTAGTTTTAGCTCATATATTCCTATATCATATTGAATGTTTGTAGTTTGAGCTTGTAGCTGAGTTGTTTGAAGAGAAGGTTGATCCTAATGAGAAGAAATCCCGAGCGGGCTCGGCGACAACTCATCCCCTCAGGCAAGCCCCAAAGGGGGGGCGGGGCTCAAACAAAAAGACAGTGGGATCACAGGTCAGTACACTCGTACTCAGAATGAGTACACACGTACTCAGTACAACAACTCAAGTGAGGAGTATTTATCAGAGTAAACTTTACATATTCTATAATAATGCATGTCAATCAGTTTTTGTAATGCTAAATTAATGGAAGCTTTAGAATTATACTTGAGCTTGAAACAAAGAAAATATTCCTTAATGTGAATTCAAAGCTGTGATGTAACATCCTCCACTTTAATTTTACGAATAATAAGGATATCCGCATCACTACTGATTGTTGTTGATTTTTAGCAAGTACAGAAAGCGACAGTGGGAGATCAGGTATTGTTGTAGTGGTTACCTTGGTTACCATACTAAACTGGTTCTCTGGCTTATGTGTATCAGTGTAGTGGGGAACCAAACTAATTCTAGTTCCAAGGCTATTGTGTATCACATGATGGCGGGAACGAAACGTATCGTTTTTACTGGGTATATTTGTTCCTGAGTTTGCCAGATTTTCTTAACTCAGAATTATGTTACACCTTTGTATTAACGGTGTTTGTTGTATATTCAAGTTTTTGAATTAATCTCATAATCATTATTTCCAATAATCTCTTTAACTTAACCAGACATTCATTTGTTTGTGCCAAGACTTTTGAAGTTTAATTTTGTGAGTTAGATGAGGAAAAATAGATACAACATTGAACAATACACTTTGATTTATGAGCATAAAAAAAAAAATATTGTCAAATAAAAAAAAAGATGTATATGCGTAGAAGTACATTGTAGCTGGATAAGTACCGATACTCACACAGAGACTTTGTTGAATCAAAGTATTCATTTGATGATTACAAAATCACGACAAGTAGTCATTACTGCATTCAATAGGAACTTTAACAGATTGTAATTGAAATTCATCATAATGCATATACAGGGTGTCCCAAAACATATGTTACACTTTTAATCATCTATAACTTTATCAAACCACAAGCATTCACAGAGATATTTCGTCAACTTCTAGTGTATAAGCATACATTTTATCTGACAAACTTACATGAAATTCTGTTAAAAATTCAGGTAATTATGATGTCCAAAATGACGTAATTATATTTTTAATATGGAACCTTCATGTGAACAGCTGATAGAAATTGTCAAACCTTTAATATGGGTGTAAATCTGCTACTTTAGTTCATAAGAACCACGAGAAAACAACATCCTTTAATGAAAGTGCCCAACAGAATGCTAATTTACAGATTTGTGAGGAAGTTTGAAGTTAAAGGCACCATAATTGACACATGACTTAATTCTGGTCTTAGAAGACCAAGGAGTGCCTGTACCAAAGAGAACATTAATATCATTAATTGAGTTATCACTATACTGAAACTTTACTTTAAGAAATCCCTTATACGGGTCCTGTATGAACAAGATAGCACCTTTGGTAAATCTAGCATTCATACAATACGCGAATTCGATTTAAAACTGATTTCTCATAAGAAGATTGTAAAGCAGCATTTGAAAGAGACAGAAATTAGAAGTTATTTAGAGTTGGCCCATTGGATTTTAATTAAACCAGACTCTGAAAATTTAATAGATGCATCATTTTCCAGTGAAACCCTTACTTAACTTACTTAATCCTCTTCGTGCTGGATAGCACATAAGGCCGTCACCAGAGACTTCCATGCTGGCCTGTCCTGTGTCCATTTCTGTATCTGTCCCCATGTCCAGCGGTTCTTTCCCATCTCTTTCTCTACAGATCTTCTCCATGTTTCTTTTGGTCTTCCTCTCTTTCTCTTGCCAGGTGGTGTCCATTTCAAAGCAACCCTTGGGATGGAAGTTGGGTGCATTCTACATACATGCCCTATCCACAGCCATTTTCTTCTCTTTATAACTTGAGATAGAGGGGTGGTGTTGGTCTTTTTGTATAGCTCCTCATTTGAGATGGTATTTGGCCAGAAGATGCGCAGTATTCTGCGAAGGCAGCGTGTCTGGAAGGTATCTAGCTTGTTTGAGATGGTTTTAGTAACTTTCCATGCTTCAGCACCATATAGGAGGACCCCAAGCACGTTGCTCTTGAAGATCCTTATTTTGGTGTTTGTGCTGATCTTTGCTGACCTCCAGATGTTTCTTAGTGCAACATACGCTCCTGTGGCTTTTGAAATTCGAGCTAGTACATCTACCTCTGAGTTCCCATCTGTGGTGATCTTGCTTCCTAGATAGACAAATTCTGAGACTTCTTCTATTTCTTCGTTATTTAAGGTGATGGGCTCCTCTGATTTAGTATTGACCTTCATGATCTTGGTCTTGGTGTTGTTGATATTAAGGCCAATCTTCCTTGCTGTTTCTGCTAGTTGTTTTGTTTTTCTTGCATGTCACGATGGCGGTGTGATAGCAGTGCTACGTCGTCTGCAAAATCCAGGTCTTCTAACATCTCTGTCATGGCCCAAGTAATTCCCGTCCGCTTATTCTTGATGGTTTCTCGCATAATCCAGTCAATGCAGAATGTAAAGAGAAGAGGAGAGAGCAGACATCCTTGTTTTACTCCAGTCTGTAATTCGAACTCCTCTGATAAGCTTGATCCACAGATAACTCTGGCATTTAGGTCTGTATACAACATCTTAATGATGGAGATAATTTTATCTGGGATCCCATAATGACTGAGAATTTTTTCTAAGGCTAGGCGATTAACACTGTCAAAAGCTTTTGTAAAGTCGATAAAGTTGATGTAAAGTGGAGAGTTCCATTCATTGCTCTGCTCTAATATTTGTCTGAGAGTGAATATCTGATCAACACATGATCTTCCCTTTCTAAAACCTGCCTGTTCTTTCCGCAGTAGAGGGTCTGCTATGCCTGTGATTCTGTTCAATATCACTGTGCTTTGCACTTTCATGGATACTAGTACCGAGAGCAGCCTTATCCCTCTATAGTTGTTGCAGTTGGAAAGGTCTCCTTTTTTTGGAAGTTTTACAATAAGGCCTGTTCTCCAGAAGGTTGGTGTCTCTTCTGATTCCCAGATGTTCTGTAGAATATTTGTCAAGATGGTAGGTGTCCAGTATTCTTCGGCCTTGAGGAGCTCTGCATTTATCTGGTCAATGCCAGCAGCCTTTCCATTTTTTAATCTCTTTATTGCCTTTTTTACCTCTTCTATACTGGGTGGGTCTGTATTAATGTCCAGTATGTTAATGGCTGGTGTTATCAGGACCTCATTTCCTGTATCATTTATATTGAACACTTCCTCAAAATGTTCTTTCCATCGTTTCTGTATATCTTCTTCTTTGGATAAGACATTCCCTCTTTTATCTTTTACTGGTAAATCTGCTGTCTGAAATTTACCTGCTAGTGCTTTGGTGATACGATAGAGGGTTTGCATATCTTGTTTCGAAGCTGCTTGTTCTGCTTCATATAGCTAGTTTTTCAGTGTATGCCTTTCTGTCTGCTCTTGCATTTTTCTTAACTTCTTTGTCTATAGTTCGATATTCTGCTTGGAGCTGGTCTTTTTGTCTCTTTGATTTAGTGGACAGGATTTTCTTTTTCTTTTCTTTTCGTTGTTCTACTATTTTCCATGTGTTCTCTGATATCCATTCCTCTTTTTTCCTCTTTCTTGGGCCAAGTATTTGTTGCGCATTTTCTAAGAGTATCTCATTAAATGTTTCTATATCAATTTCATCTGGGTGTTCCATAAGAGCCTCAAACTTGTTCTGCACTTTCAATTGAAAAGATTTCATAACTTTTGGATCTTTAAGCTTTTGGATGTTAATAGGAGGCGGTCTTTGATCTTTCTTCCTTGATTTCCTTAGCTTCAGCTTGACTTTAGCCAGTACTAATGAGTGGTCACTTCCCACGTCTGCTCCTTGCTTTGCAACCACATCCAGGAGGCTACTTCTCCATCTTTTGTTGATGATGACATGATCAATTTGGTTTTTCGTATGTCCATCTCGGGGAGTTCCATGTTGTCTTATGGATATCTTTGTCATAAATATAGTTCCACCAATTATCAAGTTGTTTTCTTGGCAGAAAGTGCACAGTCTCTCTCCATTGCTGTTACATTCTCCTAAGCCTTGCTTACCCATGATGCTTTCTCTTCCTTGATTGCTTTTCCCAACTTTTGCATTTAAGTCTCCCAAGATAAGTAGGACATCGTGAGATGGTGTATTGTCTACTATTTCTTGTAAGCTGTCGTAAAAGGAGACTTTTTCGTCGTCTTCTGCATCATCTGTTGGTGCATAGCATACCACTACTGTACGTTTGGCAAAGGCTGAGTTGAATCTTGCTGTTATGATTCGTTCATTCACTGGCTTCCATTCTAACAGACTTCTATAAACTTCTTTTGTTGTGATTATTGCTACTCCTCTGCTATGATGTTCATCAGTTCTTCCAGAGTAAGTATTTGATGTCCTGACACTAGTTGTTTTGATCCCTTGCCTGTCCATCTAGTTTCACTTACTCCAAGAAGCTCGATCTTGTAAATTTCTCTCACCACTTGTGCTAGTTTTCCTGTTTGGTAGAGGGTCCGCACGTTCCAGCAGCCCACTCTACGTGTTATTTTTGGTCGAAGGACATCTCCTATCAGGGTGGGGGATTCACCCGTCATACTATCAGTATCCTGAGTGGTTTCAATCCTTCTTCCATCATTTTGTTCTCTGGTTAAGGTTTCTGTAGCTGCATTGTTTGACATGTTAGGGTTGCTGGCCCTAAGCATAACCCCCTGGACTCGGAGGGCCAGTGGTTTTTCTTTCAGGGTTGTCCTTCCCTTAGATGATTGCGTTCCCTTGCTTTCGTGCTCATCTACACGGATTTTCTGTCTGGATTATCTTCCATAGCCTTTGACTTTCCCAAGCCTTCTCACAAGGCAGTGATGTTATTTGACCCATAGCTGGGGACTAGGATTGCAGGCATCAGGGCATATCCACACGCCGGTGGGCCATGCATGCCGTGCATTCTCCTCCAAGACCCTGTGGTTCTGCTTAGGTACCCAATTTCCATCTGCTACCTCGAGGAGGATCCCATATCTGGGCCACATAGGTCTAACTGCGGAGAGGCTATACCTGGCAGAGAAGACTTACATATTTTGCTAACTCTTTCGCAGCGAACTGCTAGCCAGGGGTGGAGCTGAAAGCGAGAGTGACAAGCACAGACACAGACAGACACACACACTGTACGCATCACACAGCCATTAAGCAGACAGTTAAACCCTACTTCCATTTAAACAATGTGGTCAAAGAGAATCTGAACTTCTAGTGTTTGATGAAACCCAATTTAAATAATGAAAAACCTCTAAACTGTTAGAATGTTACATTTAAAACTTGGTAAAAAAATGTTAATTCCAAGGAACCTATTTTGGAGCATGTTTTAAAATGACCTATGTTATTCTAAAGAAAAAATATTGATGATTAAAAAGGAAACTGTAAAAAATGAATGCTTGACAAAATCTTAATAATAATTTTAGTATACATTCTAAATTTTATTAATGTAACTTGAGGCATTAAATTTTTACAACGGTTTAAAAGTGTAACATATGTTTTGGGACACCCTGTACACAAAATAGGGATAGTGTGAATATAAAAAGTCTTTTGTTTGATACATTTTTGGCCTTATATATAAATAGAAAACAGTGTATTTTAACTGGGCCACATTCCTACCCTCCATCATTTTAAATTCAGATTTAAATGATATGTCAGTATAGGTGCTATATATACTATATTTATCTATAAGAATCTTTGTTTAACTTCTACAGTATGTGTGTTTGGGTGTGATCTGCTTTCCCTGTAACCAAGATTGTTTGTTTACTAACAGTTGCTAAGTTACAGAAATTTAACCAATAGAGAGTTTATTAGTTATGGTGGTCGGTTTTAGTATATAGCAAATATATGGAGCTACAGGGATATATATACCATAGATATTAATTTCAGTTTTCATTTAATGGCTTAAATGGTTTGACTTTTAAAAAAAATGTTTAATTGATTCAAATCTGAAATCAGGGATATATATACCATAGATATTAATTTTAGTTTTCATTTAATGGCTTAAATGGTTTGACTTTTAAAAAAAATGGTTTAATTGATTCAAATCTGAAAAATTTTACTTTGATTTACTTTGATTTATGTCATAAGTATTCGGAACTTCTTGAGTACAAGAACTTCTAACAAAATGTGTCAGAAAAGTAGGTCACGGTATGGGATTAGGTTAAGCCTTATATATTACAACCTAATTGTATCTCAAAATTACAATATAATAAAAATGTACTCCCTATGATTTAAAAAAAAATATCTAAACTTTTCCAAAAATGTATTCTTAAAAAAATCCTCATCTTTTGATTAATACAATACATAGATATCTACAAATACATTCAAAATAACATGTATATTAATATTTCTTTTATGGTAACTGAAAGCAAGACAGACCATAAAATGGAACATTTTTTTTCATATTCAAGTAAGAGATCGGAATATTGAGACAGTCCTGTTAAAAAGAATTGCGAGTCTTGAATTTTCCCCGTATTTGGTCAGGTACTGTAATGACTTTCTTTTGTTTACTGCAGTTCCGAGAATCACTACACAAACTGATGGAGACATTAAACGCCACGACACCCCACTACATCCGGTGTATCAAACCCAACGACACAAAGGAAGCATTCATGTAAGTCTTAGTTCTCGTATATAAACATTAAATGCCACGACACCCAACTACATCCGATGTATCAAACCTAACGACACAAAGGAAGCATTCATGTAAGTCCTAGCTATCATATAATATTTCCATTTCTAATTTTTTTTCTCTGTGATAACTCTTTGAAAGTTTTGGGAGTATATTCTTGATAATTCTGCCGGCATGTAAATTAGGCAGGTCGATAGGTCAGCAGCTAAGGAGGTCTAATACGCATGCAAATCTCGTGCGCATTTGTCTCTGTGTCTGACGCTAAGGAGGCCAAATATGCATGTAAATCTCATGCGGCTGCCTTTGTGTTTGACGTCAGTGGGCGAGGACTATTGAAATTGGCATGGAAGTCCTCGTGTGATTTAAGTCTATGTCTACATTTTTAAAGTTTAAATCTACAATTTTATTGCACAATGAAATGGAAATATAAGGAATCACTGTCTAGTTTTGAGAGTATGCCAGGGACATCAACAATAGTGGGAAACATGGGATAATTTTAGCATAACGGGCTTCGCAAAATTAAGGGAGATTTGAGTCACTGATCTACTGCTGTGTTAATGTAACAGTTGTAATTTTTTTTTCCTGTTGTAGATTTGAACCAAAGCGAGCCGTGGAACAACTGAGAGCTTGCGGTGTGTTAGAAACCATTAGAATCAGTGCCGCGGGTTATCCCTCCAGGTTATTGTTCACATCTGTATTAGATAAAAGTTACTGTAACTGTTCCAAACTTTAATGGTAGCCAGGTAATTTATCATCACTTTTTGTATCCATTACCTATTTTTCAAGGATTCTGATTGGCTATCTATTTATAGATGGACCTATCCGGAGTTTTTCCAGAGATACCGCGTCCTGGCCGGCTCTAAGGACATCAACAGGAGTGACCAGAGGAAGACCTGTGAAAATGTACTCACCAAAGTCATACAGGTAGGGGGATCCAGGAATTCTCTAACTCATTAATAGTGTAATGAGCTGGGGGATCTAAGAGTTCTCTCACTGAATAATACTGTAATGCAGGGGGATCCAAGAATTTTATCACTTAATAATACTGTAATGAGCTGGGGGATCCAAAAACTCACTCAATTGTCTATGAGTACAAAATTTTGATCCAAAATTTACTCATATGAGGAAGAGATAAGAAATTCTGTCAGTATAACTGTCATGAGTTCCAGGATCTAAGCATACTTTATTGTAATTTTACAGTCAACTGTAGTGAGATGGGGGGGGGGGAGTGTTAGGTTGCAAGTAAATTACAGTTAGAGACCTAAGCATCATATATCCAAGATTATTACAAGACTATGAGGATTCAGCAGTTCTATGAATTATGCTGACATGAGATTGGAATCTTCAAATAAGTATTGAAGAGGAGCCTTACATCAATTAAATGGTGTTCTTCTTATGCTTTAACTATGCTTAAACTTAAAATGTCTGAGTCATTCTTGATAGAAAATTTAGATTTGAAAGGGAAGGAGGGGGGTATCAGTTGTTTTTGCTATTTACTTCATCTCATTCAGCTTACCATTCATTATTTATCAGAAAGAACAACAGACACCTCAGCCTTGGGTCTCGGTAAATATTGTCCTTCTCTGGTGGTTACAAGTCCTTACATTGTCTTGGGGAAGTCATACCCGCCCATATTGTACAGACATATTTTCTTTGCATGGACATGATTTTCTTTGAGTAATAGATCTTCAATTCTATACCAAAACAATATTACCCTGTCAAACTCCATTTGCCAGATCTGTCAATGTGACCTTCATTTATTGGTGACATTTAAGATATTCAATTATGCACGTCTTTATACAATACTGATGATCTGAATTATGTACTGAGATGAGCTGATCTGTCATTATATGAACTGTGTACTGTATTTATAAACTTATGATGTTCACTGCTCGCCTTGATCTATCAGGGTAACGTCAAGAAGACACCTAGAGGTCTGGAGGTATCATACTGTTCCTTCACTGTTATGTAACTCTGTTCTACTCATACTATTACTTAATATTCAGTTATTAGTTTGTATTTTGAATATTCTTTAATCTCTATTATGCATATTTATTATTAATTTAGTTTGTATTATGAATATTCATTAACATGTTTTATGAATATTTATTAATCTGCATTATGAATATTTATTAGTTTGTGTTATGAATATTTATCAGCATTTATTCTGGAATTTTTTTCTTTCTCTCTTTAAAATAGCATGAGAGCTAGCCAATGGTAGCCCCACAATTTTGGGCTGTCGTTGGGAAATGTATTAAGAACTTTGTAGCAACTTTGAAAATTTTTCACCAATAGAATGCTGAGTACTTGATGTTTTCTCTGTACAGTCCAGGACTACCGTATATACTCGCCTATAAGTCGGTTTTTTGGGAGTCAGTCTCTGGTCCAAAACTCTGTGTCCGACTTATAGGCGAGATATAAAAACAATGGTATTAAATGAGGTCGGTCCTTCTGAAATATAAGCTTATTAAATACAACCGACTTATAGGCGGACCGACTTATAGGCGAGTATATACGGTAAGTTTGACTTGTGCTGATGTTAGGGTTGTAAATAACTTTGTTTAAACTAATGTACAGTTATGACAGGAAATGCAAATGTTGACAGTATTTGCAGCATGTGTATGGAGAGTAATTTATTATATTGCATGGAATTGATTGTAACATGTGTACCAGGCTTGATAGTATTTTGTGAGAAGTTCATTTGTAAGCTACAGAAAATATTCTCTGGGGGGGGGGGGTGTCCAGGAAGTGTTGAAATTTACAAATCTTATAAACAAGTCATATATCATATATACAAACATATACTCCCTGTATTCCAAGATAATCTCTATTTACAGACCTTATACTTATTTACTTAATGCTCAGAGGAATGGTATCAAGACAGTTTAGAGTTTATAAAGTGGTCATGCTGATATTTTCAGTAGGCAAAGGTGGATTAACAATTACTGTAGATCACTAAGTTTTCACTACACATCCCTTATTATTGTGAGATGGACATTAATTTCAGAAATTGTGGTTACTGCTCTTTATCATCTTTAGGAATACATGTACTAATATACATGACAATGATTTTTTCGCTAGCTCAATTTCTCATGTAAATTACATGAAATTTTAAAGTTCATGCAGATGAAAAGTGATTTACAGTACTTATTTGATCCTATCCCCACTGTATTCTACAATTCTGTATTCATCCTTAAACTAACATATTTTTCTTCACAAGGATTATTTACATAGTTAACCATAATATTGTCCTCTGGAAATACAGAAATCTAACTGTACATGTAGGACTTATATAGATAAAGAAAAGAGATATTCCATTTAACTTTCAAAATTTGACATTGAATGATGGCCCATTTATATGTCAGTCTGGTAAATGTTTGATAAATGTTGCTATGCAATTTTCAAAAGGGTGAAAAACCCCTCCTGAAAAGAGAATTTTAAATTGTTTACATGGTTTGAATACCATGGAGAATGTTTGATTAATATCTAAGACATTTTTTGTGATAATTTCCCCTTCATTTAAAAGCTAGTTAATTTTTTTTTAATTTAGAATAACCTCAGAATCTACACTACACCAATTTCTTTTTTCTACTTTCACTTTCCTTTTCACAGGATCCAGACAAGTACCGATTTGGAAAAACCAAGATTTTTTTCCGCGCAGGTCAGGTGGCTTACCTGGAGAAGTTACGCTCTGATAAACTGAAGGCCTGCGGAATCATGATCCAGAAACACGTCAAGGGCTGGTTGGCACGGCGACGCTATCAACGAATCATCAAGTCCATCACCCTGTTACAGAAATACGGGCGAGGCCTGCTGGCCAGGAGGTCAGTTAAATTAATGAATATTAAATATTTAGCTTGAAGGATAATGTAAGTGATGAAAATGAGTTTGGAGGCCAATTAAATTAAAAAATGCTTAATTTTAATTCCAAACACAGTGCTATTGTATTAGTAAAGTTAATGAAATATCATGATATGGGTGGAGTTTGCTGGCTAGGAGGTCAATTGGTAAATCACTCCCTAATTCTCTTCTCCGGGAATATTTCAAATAAATACTGTATTAGAGGGTTATTTTTGCCTTTTCACCCCTGAAAACTATTGCGGCCCATTTTTAAATTTGCCCAACCAAGGTTTGGGCAAAAGGGGCAAAAATAAAACAAGGGGCTAAATTTTTCCTGTATACAGTATTTGTATCATACTTGTATGTATTACTATGAAATTGATGAAAGTTCGTAACATTTTTTAGCCAGAACAGATTAATTGGTACATTTCATTTTCAAATTGATTTCTTTCTCAGACATGCCAAATTTCTACGGGAAACATTTGCTGCCACTCGTATTCAAAAGCACTGGAAGGGTTACAAAGCAAGGTCACATTACATCAAAGTCAGGAAAGCTACCGTTATTATACAAGTAAGTCCGGTCATTCTTTCATTTATTCATCCGTTCTTTCATTCACAGTTCCTTCCCGTTTATCAAATCTTCCCTACAGAACTTTAAGAAAACTCATTATTTATTACCAAGACACTGACAGCAGTGTCAGATTGGAACAGTCTCAGTTTCCTAGCAGCATATTAAAATTTTGCCATAGAAATCTTTAGAGATTCTTTAGCATCTCCATTATATGATTCTGGTTTTCCAAATGGGACCTTTAGAAATGGTGTCCTCATCTAACGTAGTCATTAATGTGACTAAGTTATTTTAACGCTTCTCTTTGTAGTCAGCCATTAGAGGATTCTTTGGACGTATCCTGTTTAAGAAGGAGTTACATGAGCATCGCGCGATCACGATTCAGAAACTCGTACGATCTTGGCTGGCCAGGAAAAGATACAAGAGAGTGATGCGGGGGATCGTGTTACTCCAGAGTCACTTCCGACGACGACGGGCCAAGAAGGAGCTTAAACAACTCAAGGTACGCAGGGTGTTAAGTCAGCACGTTACGAGAGTAAATGTTAGGGAGTGTTAATTTAGCATGAAGCAAGAGTAATTCCTAGGGAGCAGTCATTAAGCATGAAGCAAGAGTAATTTGAAGGGAGCAGTAATTATTGGGACAGTTTGGGATTTTGATCGAGCAGATGTAATCATCATATTGACTGTTTCAAGTAGATGTGATGATGTTCTATCAAAAAACTGAATTTCAAATTTGAGATATTAAAAGTGAAGTTAATGCCTAGGATCAATAGATGATTGAGAACTTTTGTAGTAAACTGACTTACACTAAATCCTTTGATTTTAGATAAGAGATTTAAATGAGTTAATTGCTACTTTCACTTTGTAGGTTATTTTTTATTTTTTGGTTTTACAGAAAACAGATTAACACTGATTTCCTTAATTGTAGATTGAAGCTAAGTCAGTGGAACACATTAAGAATGTTAACAAGGGTCTGGAGAACAAGATCATACAGCTACAACAGAAACTGGACGCCAAGGTAAGGGAGGGGATCCAAAAGTTTTCCAAAGTAGGGGGTGGATGTTGAAATTGGGGTCGGGATCCAAATCCAAATTTTTTTGTATGGGGCAAATCTGAATCAAGTTATTGTGCTAGTGTTGAGATTTTTGTGTTGTTATATATATTTTTTAACGTCCCTTTCAAGAATTTTTCACTTGTATGGAGATGCCACCACTTGCTGGTGGAGATTTGCAATTTTTTTCCTATACTCGGCACTCAAGGCTGTTGAGCAGGGAGGGATCTTTTTTGTGCCAGCACCTACTGCGACACTGGACCTCAATTTATACAGTCTCATCCGACAGATAATAATACAAGCATTATCAGTCTCTGAGTCATTTCTACATGTATAATGTCAGAAATTTAAAATCTTGGTGTACGTTTGTTACAGAATAAGGAGGGTATGACAATAAAGGAACAAGAAGTGTACATCAAACAACTGAAAACAGAGATGGAGAAACTGAGGTCCTCGAGTGAGGAGGCTAAGAAATCCTCAAACAAGATCACGGACCTGATACAACAGATCAAGGACCTACAAGAGGAGCTGAGTAAAGAGAGGGAGGAGAAACAGGTCCTCATCAGCGAGAAGGAGGAGCTAGTGAAGGAACACACACAGGTAAGATACAGAGAGAGAGAGAAGGGGAGGGAGGAGAAACAGGTCCTCATCACAGAGAAAGAGAACAGAGTGAAATAACACACACAGGTAAAGGAGGAAGGAACACACACAGGGAGAGAGAAGGAGAGAGAGAGAGAGGAGAGACAGAGAGAGAATGAAGGAACACACACAGGTAAGATACAGAGAGAGAGAGAAGGGGGAGAATGGGTAGGTCCTCATATAATCAAGAACTCTTGAAAGAACACATACAAAGAACAGAGAAACAGAAATTGTTATTAATAGAAAATAAACAAAGGTACTCGTAAGAAAGAAATGGAAAAGGAAGTCCTCAAGACAAAGGAACAGAACTAATTAAGCAACTTGAAAGAGTATACAAAGGACTATTCCTGAATTTCTTACATTTACATGTAATTATTAAGCAATATTCATCTTTGCTTGTTAAGGAAGCATTGCTTACCTATGTGTCCTTATTACAGGTGTTAAGTTGGCATTGTTTACCTGTATGAATTAATTACAGGTGTTGAGTAAGATGGCGGAGGAGAAATGTAAACTAAAGGAAGAGCTAGAGGAGGCCAACCTTAAACTACAGCAACAGGAAACCAGCACTGACGGTAGGTGGATCCAAGATTTCTTATGATCATATATCTTAGAAGTCTTGGTGGATCCAAGATTTCTTTTGATGATATATATTAGAAGTCTCAATGGATCCAAGATTTCTTTTGATGATATATATTAGAAGTCTCAATGGATCCAAGATTTCTTTTGATGATATATATATGTTTCGGTGGATCCAAGAATTCTTTTGATGATATATATTAGAAGTCTCAGTGGATCAAGGTTCTGCATCATGATTTTATTTATCATTTAAGATGTGCTGAAGAGGAAACTGGAGGAGGCCACACAACAGCTCCAGGCTGAGTTTGACTCCGAGCGTGGCCACCACCAGCGACTCGTTAAGGAGCACGCCCGACTCCAGCAGAGGTTCGAGAATCTTCAGTCGGAGATGCAGATGGTGACGTCGCCGCACGGCCACAAACGGACGCCATCGGACATCAGCGCCATCAGTCTGGAGTCGTACACCAGCTCCGCGTCGCCGGACGAAGTCAAGTATGAAGAGGAGGGACCAGAGGACAAGGTGAGACAATTAAGGCTAGTCTTTCCTCTGCTGAGGGAGATAACTCTTGTTAGGGCAAATTTGTTTAAATTCCTTTTAATTATTCATAACTGTTGTATAAAATAACATAAGAACATGCTTGGTAAAGATTAAGAATCCCAAGCATGAAATGTGCCTTATTTTGCTTTTTATTTTTATGTTAAGAGAAATATTGAAATTTAAAAAAATTGTAATGATGTAACATTACTTGGAATTGTGATGTTGATTTTTTTTTTTGACTTGTAGGACCAAGGTTATGGAACAAAGAAGAAGAAGAAAGCACCGGCTCCTCCAGTACCCACAGCAAGCGCCATGGAGAAAGAAATGAAGGTAAGACAACTGGATGTTTTATTGAAAACAAAATCTAGGCTCATTATTAAGTAATACTTGGAGAGAATTAACAAAATCCAGAAAAATGAGATCTTGTTGTGAAGTCCAGTGAATCCTATTGCAAACGTCTAACAAGGATTACCATATTTACTTAAAAAAGAGGAAATTTTCAGTATATGTCTCAGTGGTGGATCTAGGACTCAAAATGTATAATTACCTTGTAATGAGTGGTGGATCAAACTTTTTTGTAGGATGTTGATGTAGGTTTGATTCTGCGACTACAGAACAAGATGAAGGAGATCGAGCAGCAGAAGACAAAGCTGGAAGAGAGACTGAGACAGTATGAGGATGAGGGTCATCCACAGACAGGCAACTCGGACGCCGTCATCTCAAACTCAGCATTCGATGCTCTTAAGGTAGGTGTTAACATTAAAGTACCAAGGAAATCAAAGGAGTGGATCAAGTGTTTCAACAAGTTCTGGGAAGGATCAATTTCTCTCCCAACCCAGATGTATTCTGAGGTATTGATAGGCTGTAAAAATGTTAAAAATGAAAACTTTTCTGTGAGAGAAAAAGATTTTAATTTTTTAGCATCAGCTTAAACCTCTGTCTTGGGAGATTTTGCATTTATCCTGCAGCTCTCGTGCTAATTCCCTGAATTCACTCTTCCCGACCAATCAAGTTCAGAGAATTTACTCTTCCCAGCCAATCAAAATCCCAGAATTTACTCTTCCCAGCCAATCAAATGTCCAGCATTAATTCCTCCCAGGCAATCAAATGTCCAGCATCAATTCCTCCCAGCCAATCAAATGTCCTGCATTAATTCCTCCCAGCCAATCACCAGACCTCACACTGTATGTTGTTCATCCTTTCTAGTGTGCAAAAAATCAGTGTGTTTAATTTTAGAATATTTAATTTTGCAATGCCTTGTAAAATTTTATGAAAATTGATATAAGTTGTGTGTGCTTTTGTTTAGAAAAAAGAAATATGTCAAACTTGTTTAAGTGTCTAAGGGGAGGTAACTTGTTTAAAATAAAAATAAGAAAAAAGAAAAAATACCTAATAAGCTGATTTACTAAAGAAAACCTGTCAAGGATTTTTTTGCTTCTTTTTCTTTCCTATTTCTTTTCTTCAATTTCTCATTCTCTTTTCTCTGTTTAGTCTCCCTATTTAAAATATTAATTCTAAACCACTTAATTATTAAACCACTGTGACAGCTTATGTACAGATAAAATGTTGCTTACTCTTACTTATAAGAAAACTCAACATTTTTGGAAAAGGAAGATAATTTAAAATCAATTGAAAAATTAATTAAAGAAGAAATAATTCTGCCTCAGCGAATATTGTATATGGTAAAAAACACTTGCGGGGAACAGGCTTATAATGAATTGAAGTCTACAGCAAAGTTAATTTTATTCCCATGGTTTTGAAATATATTGTTAACTTAATGGATTAAACAAATTACTTTTAACATGTTTAAAATATGCAAAATTGTCTGTCCCAGGAACTTCATTATATCCTGTTTTACCATATAGATAAAAGGGAGATAACTTTGAGTTTAAGGTTAGATAACTCTTCCATCTCTTTCCTTATTCAGGCCACGCAGCATAACAGACAGACAGATAGGCTGAGTTCTAACTTATTCTCTGTCTTCCACAGATTTTTACTTACCTGTCTAAATTATATAGTTGAATGGGACTTGTTTCGATAAACTATTTATAAATTATAGACATGTATATATATATATTTACTTGTAATATCTTAACATAACATACTGGACAGATTTCATTTATATTTTTTTCTCCTTTCTCTGTGACCCTGAAATTTCAAGAGCATATTTTTTATGAATTTTTATTTTATCATTACAAACACACACGCGCCAAAAAACTAGGTCTATCTACATATCAGTTTTAAAATGTTGAATGAAATTATTTTTTATTTTAAGAATGTTAATAAAATTCTTACATTTGCTTTTATGTTATATTTTGAAATAATTGCTTTGAGGTGTTTTTTTAACACACTGCATGAAGTATAATGCTATTGTTATTGGGGACACCCCAGATAGAATGAATTTTCTAAAAAAAAAATCAGGCAAAGCTTTAACCATGTAAGTATGGAAAGCTCACTTGAAATGAATACAATACATTATTTGTCTATGAAAGGAAATAATTCCATGAAGATCATCAGTTATTTCTTACAAGATATATTACACAAAGTACTTTTAATTAGAAAATTATCAGGCTACCCTGTTCTGAAAATGATTTTTGCATGGTAACAATTTTGAATAATAAAATGCATTGGATGAAGGAAAAATTTGCCTATTAACAGAAAACAGAAAATAAATGAAAACATCTAGATCTTGGGTTGTGGACATTAATTAGAAGATTGGTGGTTTTGTTTACTTACATTTAACAGCATTAAAACATGGGCTTTTTAAGATGGGGGGTCTCAGGTAGCTATTCAAGGAGGACAACTCTTGTTTGAACTAAAGGATGGGGCCTCTGTAACTCTTTATTCAGGTTGAGGTGAATTTCTATCGGTTTAAATGCTTGATCTAAGAAGAAAATGATGTGCTTTCTCATAAATCTGTTACTCATTCAGTGTTTCAATCAAGCTAGTACCTAAGCCTCACTTAAGAAATTTTTTTTTAAGAACATAAGTCTCTGGACATTTTTAACATGCAAATGGAACTTTTCCCTGTAAGGCGTAAACAGACTAGATACGCTGTGTTCTGCTTGTCTATTAACTTAAGGTTGTTTTTCTGTGAATTATTTGGAGAACTTCCTTGTAATTTTGTCTCTTTTCCATTTTTCTGAAATACAGGTTTTAGAGTTGTTTTTCTGTAAATTAATTGGGAGCTTCCTTATATTTTTCTTTTTTAAATTTTAAATACAGGTGAGAGACACAGCTTTATAATGGGTTTCTGTTTTAATGTTTTATCTTAATTTGAAAGATATTTTATCAAAGACATGTTTTAAACTAATAAACTAAAGGTGCATTGAATATTGATAACAAAAAAAAATAAAAATACCCTATCCTTCTGGATGCTGCATATGGTTTTTTGAAAAGGATCTCTGAAACATGTGATTATAAATAAGGAAATAAAATTGTAAGAGTTCTTTCCCTTACACAAAGTTACCTCCCCGTGTCATCTGAAGTATTGTGTAGGAAATGCCCATGTCTGCTTCTGGGCATAACTTAAGGTAGTACCTTCCACATTTATTCTGAGTTTTAATTTTTGTTGCATGCTTGATTTTTCCTTGTTTGTGTGTAATTGCCAAGGGTGGATCTAGAAATTTTTGAATAGAAATTGAAGATGTATAATGTAGAAAATTCACTTTATTAATGAATATTTTTTAAAAAAATTTACCGTGTTTACTGATCATTTTTAATTTGTTATGCTTTAAAATTTAAAGAAGTGATAACAAAGTCAAGTAAATAAAAAACAACAAAAGGAACAGCTAACTTATTTGAACAAAAACATTAAGCTTAATAGATAAAGAAAAGGAAAAACAACAGAGAAAAAAAGTAATGTTTCAAATTATGCAGAATATAAAACCTTTATTTCTTAGATCCACCACTGAGATTTGTTTGATCACCTGTTTATTTTATGCACGGTTCCTTTGTATCTTTATCTTTCCCCTCCTCCCACAGCAACAGCTTGTTAACGCTGACGACGTCCAGCTCGTGATCAAGCTACAGAAACGAGTGGCCGAGCTTGAGATGACAAAATCCAAGCTCGCTGACGAGCTTGACGAGAGAGATGATGAAGATGAAGAAAAATCGGGATTTAAAATCACCACACCCGAGTATGCTTATAATAACTTAAAGGTAATGATAACAAGGGGATTTAATAAAATCACCACACCCGAATATGCTAAAAGCTGTATAATAACTTAAAGGTAATGATAGCTAGGGGGCTCAATAATATTACCATACCTGAGTACGCTTATAATAACTTAAAGGTAATGATAGCTGGGGACGCAATTACATCACCACTCCTGAGTTTAGTTATAATAACTTAGATTGAGCACTTCTACAGCATGTTAGCTTTAAAGATCATGTTGTCTTTACTTCTTTTATGCAAATTTTTCTTTAGCTGCAGATTAGTTTGTAGGAGTGAAAACTAGTTTCTAAAGACTTTATTGCAATTTTACCTTAATAGTTTTATGTTTCATTATGACCCATTTAACTGTCACATGACCAGATAGAAAGGACAGTAAACTCTTTCATGTGACTATTAGCTATTTATCATGTGACCATGTGTGCCTATTTGACCATATTAGCTGTATGTCACATGGCCAAGTTTCATCAAATTGGATGTTTGTCATGTGATCAAGTATGTGATCAAGTTGGCTATTTGTCATGTGACCACATTATGTCATGTGACCATATTATGTCATGTGACTATTGCTGCAGCCTTTGTTACAGAGAATGAATGGACATGTTGACAAGGAGCCTCCGTATGATAATAAAGAGGAGGTAACTCTGGATATAAATAAAAAATAGCATGATTTGTAAGAGAAGACTTACTGGACAGTAATAGGAATGTCATTCAGTATTAGATTAAGAGGGGATTATCATATTAACAGAATTATCGTTATAACCAAACTTAACCTGTAGAATCTGAAAGAATACCATCTAATTTAGACCTGTTGTAAAATTCAGTCTAAAATAAAGCCTGGTATGTCTACGGTCATTGACTATCAATGATATGAATTTATATGATCAGCATCTTGGATATTAACATTTGTTCAATTCTTGTGAAAATCTAATCCAGAATCAATGTTGTACAATATAACATTCCTGATTCAAAACTGATAGAGAGCCATTAAAAATACATTGCCAAATTGTATTAAAATATGTTTACTGTATGAATGTATGGATTCTTAATGTACGTGATTAATTATAATTTTTCCCAAGTCTTCCAGTTGTATTACACACCTTCCAATCCCCTATATTTATATTAACCTTGAATGTTTTAAATATTATAAAATGTCTTTTCTGAATAATAAGAACTCATGCATGTACTGTAATAATTACTTTCTTGTACATTGAATTATTGATGTTGGGAAAAATAAAGTTTTTCATGTTATGAGAGTTAGGTCATTCAAAAAAAAGAAATTGTAATTCTAACAATTGAAATTTCTAATGCAAATGTATTTTTTTTTACATAGAATATAGAATAGAATTCGTATTCAAATTGTTAAATAAGAGTGGTAACTCTTACTAGGTTTGATGAAAGAATGATAACTCTTACAAAATATTATAAAAGACAGATAACTTTTACAAAATATGGTTAAAGAGAGATAACTCTTGCTGGTTCTTCTCAACAGATGCAGGAGCTGCAGAATGAGAATGACAAACTAAAGAGAGAGGTGAACAAGTTAATGAAGTCCATATCTGAGAATGTCAGCTTCGAGAAGGGAGGGACCAATTCCCCCGCCGGCAAAGAGTTTATGGGTAAGTCTATTTATAGATTTCAGACTTTTCGTGACTTCTGTCTTTTCTGCTTACTCAGAATTTGCTGTTTGGTGTTGTGTTACACATGTACTAATACTGAAATACTTATTTTCTTGCTTTCATATTTGTCATAGGCTTCAATATATAGGAAACTTTTAACTTCTGAATCACATTTATTATAATTAATCTTTCTGACCAGAACAAAGTCATTTTACGAAAGAAAAAGAATCATATTCAAAAAATCCCAAATATATTGTAAATATATATATTTTTATTCATCATGCAGATTATTTGGCAATATTAGATTTATTAACAATAAGCATGAATTTGAAGGAGTGCACATCTGAATGTGCTAGATATAAATATACAGAAAAACTAAGATATTTCAAATTCCTGGATGTAATGAAGTTATATCGAATCCCCAGTTATACAAATTTAATGCATTCTAAATACGGATATAACGAATTATGGATAGCAAAGTAATTTCATAGGTCCCAGTGACATTTATTTATAACCGAGTTTTACTGCATATTTAATATAAAACACTTTTAACAGGATTTATATATTAAAAGTATATATTTCATTAAGCGCATGCTGCTCTCTTCCAAAATAAATTTTAAATTTTTAGAATATTCAGCAAAATATAATACATTTACAGTATTTTATAGTATATGTGTTTCTGTAGCTTGCCTGTAGAGAATTTCTTGTTAGTGTTGATTAGTTTTCTGTTTTCTCTTTCTATATATTCCTTCTATCTGCATGCTTCTCTTCACTGTGATTGGTTGATTTGTTGTCACGTGATCTCTGTTTGGTGTGTGATTGGTTCTTCCAATAATCACTATTAACTGTGAAATGATTGGTCATTACTAACAACATGCTGTGTTTCTCTCTGCTTTGATTGGCTGATTTTAAAAGATGCTAAGAAAATAGAGGATCAAGTGAAAGTATTTAGAGGTAATGATTTAAAAGAAATAAGAGTAAAATTTTCTTGCTATAGCTAAAAAAGAAAACATTCTTGGAAGAATAAACATTTTGAAAATTATTTTTTTTAATTGATGGTCAGCAAGTCACCAAGAATACAAATGTAATTATTTGCAATTTTTAGAAATAGCTAAAAGTTATCTTTGTGGTCTTTTTTTCTTTTTAAAAACCTATCCATTCAGGGTCAACAGATGAATATAGGATCTCCCATGGTTTGTGGTTTGATATATATCCAAATCTTTAAAAAGTGTTTTCTGAAGAATCCCCTCGCCAAGGCTCAGGGATAGAAAACACACAACGAGTTGGATAAAATCATATCAAACCACAAACCATGGGAGATTCTTTTTATCACATATTTTTGTTCACTATAAATGTGTATTTTGTCGTTATTTCTAATTCAAAGTTCCCTGACAGTTACCTTGGACCAAATAACGTAATAAATAATAATACACTGTATGAAATAATTCGTACAAAAATAAAAGAAAGAAAGTATTTCAGCATTTATTTTTTTTAATTCATGAATAAAAATTTGTTAAAATATGTCAAATAAAGTGGAATTTGACAAATTAAGGCATTCTCTCCATCATGCACATGTATTTGTTTATTTACATTACGTCACGCGACGTAGGAATACATAGTGTTGATACGAAAACGATATCACATGAGCTATATCAACGGGATAAAGGTGAAAATATGTGATAAAAGATGATATTTTCTTTTTATAAAGGCATTCCAATATAATTCAAGCTTAATTGCAATGTTCAGCATGTCTAAAGAGAAAAATTCTTAAGTCTTATTTAACATTTTAAATTTCATTATATATCAAGACATACTTATAATGTAGGAAACAGTATGTACCACATTTATAGATTTGAAATATTGCATTTCAAACATTACCAATATTACAGCTTAGAGTGAAGAAATCTGTGTTGTTTACAGATCAGTTTACAGCGATGGCTGATGAGTTAGACCGGCGGCGCGAGGAGTGTTTACAGTTACGGGCGATGTTAGCGGAGAAAAGCATCACGACGCACGCCATCGCCAAGGAGTCGTACGGAGGAAACGACGACCTAGTTAATGAAGACAACGAACTAGCACTGGCTTACAGAACTCAGAAAGAACTCAACAGGTGAGTAAGACAGAACTCAAAAAGAACTCAATAGGTGAGTCAGGCTAATATTCAGAACTTGACAGGAAGCTGAAATAAGACCTTAACATATTGGTAAGTTCTCTTTAAATATATAATCAGTAAGATATTAAAAGAAAATCACGAGAGAGGGAGAGAGAGAGGTTTGTAAATCTAACCTGACAGGTGAGTGTATTGAGAACTGGCCAATAAAAAGAAACTTGTAAGATATTCAAAATCACCTAAGGCTACAGAGCATGGGGAAAAACTCGGTAGGTGTGTGAGTACATTATGTACGAAGTACATGAATGAAGGTATTCAGCTTGTGAAAATATGTACTCAGTATGTGAGTTTGCTTTGTGTGAGAGTGTACTTGACATGTATATGAGTGTGTTCAACAGGTTTATGTGAGTGTGTTCAACAGGTTTATGTGAGTGTGCTCAACAGGTGTGTATGAGTGTACTCAATATGAGTATGATCATACTGAGTGCTAGGCATGCAGACTTACTGTGAGGTCTCTATAGAGTAGAGACAGAGAAGATACCTTGAACTACAGCTGTGTCTATGTTTGTCTGAGCATCCTTTATGTAAAGAAGAATGAAAGCGCTGTCATCCAAAGTAATAAAGAACCTGGAAGATTAAAGGGTGGAATGCCCTTAATTCACATCAGCAGCCTTCAAACTATGATCAGACAGCTCAATTTATATTTCAATCTGGATCCTCAGTATTGTCAGCAGATGTACACCAGCAGACCTGTATGTCTCTGTTTCAACAGATCAACATTCTATGTGAACCTATACTGTTCCAACAAATCCATTTTCTGTGTTGGTAAACTTTCTCTGGATTCTGCCTTGAATCAATCAATTCATGAGGTGGCAGTATACATGAAGCTAACTTTGGTAAGTTTTATCCATTTAACATATTTACTGTTTGTAGAATCATTGATGAGTTAACGTTTAGCTACTGAGAAAGATAATTACTATTTAGTATTTTTAAATCTTAAGTATGAATAAGATACTTAGTCATCTTATTGTGTCTTCATACTGAAGACCCCTTCATTATTTAGATTGTTTAAGGAAGGGGAGATGTCTCCTTGTTTAAATATTTGTTAATATTTTTTTAACTTGTTAGACTACACAGTCTATAAATAGATTATTGTGGGGGAGGTTTCACCTGAGATTACAGGTAACACTCTGCCCCTTGTGTACCTGTACAGGTGTGTTAACCTGGTCGTTTGATCAGGTCTGACTCAGTCCCAGCATTCTTTCGGATCCTTGACTTTGTTGTATGCAGATCTGGGTAGTATAAACTGTGTTTATTAATTAAGGATTCTAGAATGTGTTCTCCATTGAGTGTGCTGAAGAATATTTTCAAATTGATAACCTGGTGTATTTTACTGATTTCAAACAGTGTGCAAATTATGTTGTAGCAAGGAAAGAAGGAATGAAAATTCATAATAATATATATTTAATGAAAAACATATGGCTGGACCAGGAATTAAACCCGGGACCCCTGTATTTCTTGTCAGGTGCTCTAACCACTGAACTTTCCAGGCCAATGTCCTCAATTTCTACAATGTAATTACTACAACTGCTACTTATATTAATACATACATCATGTTACCTTTCATTCCAAGGAAAATAACTGTGTATTATTTAAATAAATTTAAGTGACCTCCATGAATGATACATTTTTAATGGATTAATTTAGAAGTATAAATCAGTGAATCCCACACACAAATCCTTAGCCAATTAATCATCTCCTTTAATTAATTGTCTGTACAAAAAGTAAACAAAGTGTGAAAACACTGCTAGGGACTATAGAAAATAAAAGGATTTAATTACCCAGACTAATTAACATTAATTACTTCCCTTTGACATAATTGCATATCCACAGGTAAATTTTAACACCTTGAGCTTGTTGAAAGGTAAACATTGTGTCAGGTGTAATTGAGTTTTTGTTCCCGGTTTATTTTTCTGTTTACAATCCAAGGTATAAACCCACTGTAAAATAGCTCTTTATACGTAACTTATTGTTTACAAGCCTCAGTGTTACGTACTGATAACTAAATTCCACCGTTTATGTAGCAGTTTTAAATGAAGTCAGGATACCTGGTGTAGATTTCCACCTGAGAGTTACCTGTATTTGTATTTACCTGGATTTTACCTGAGATTTGTTCAATCTCCTTGCTGCAGGTAAAATATATCTATTGACTAATCATTCTACCCTAAATTAAGATTTCTCTTGGGTGGTCACTTCATTTTATATTTCAGAGAGTTGAGTGTTTATTTTCAGTGTACTAGAATTGATGTCTAAATGTATACGATATTGATGTATGATTTATATATAATCATGTAATGGTAGATTAGATATCGAAACAAATTTAACTGGAAACTTAAACATGTGTTACATGGTACTGTTTTAAAATCAATAATAATGTTTGTAATATGCCTCCTTAAACAACTGAACTGTCATTGTATCAATGCATATAACTGCATGGGACTGTTAAGTGTCATGTTAAAATGATGCAGCTCTGTTAAATTTAGGGCTCATTCAAAATCCAGTTATCATGACACCCCAACCACCCACCCACAAAAATGACCACCAAGTCATGTATAGAGGGATTACAGAGGATAACTTTACCCTTCTCCTGAATCTCACATTTTTTCTTCTTTTCATATTATCTGTCTGTTATTTTGTTAATATGTCTGCTGTATTTACAGTGAGCTCTCAATAAGCTTGGCAGAATAAGATGACTAAATCTCTCAATAGCTTCTTTTTAAAATGTACATTTGTATAACACATAATACATAAACTCTCAGTTTACAGCCTATAGATAACGTATAATTGCTCATGGTTAATTTTCTGCATTTTTTAAAGTATAACTCTATTAAATGCTTGTCCTTTGAAGGGATTTAAATGTATGCTGAAAAGAATATTATAATTAAAATGAAACCTTATGAACAGTTTAAAATGAAAATGTACCCCATCACGTACGTAACAAACCGCTTACTGTTGGTGACATAACTATTTCTATACAATACCTGTCCATCTTTTGTATATAACTCTTAGTCGGTGTGTATTGAGTGGTTTTAAATAATTACCTTTGATAAGAAAAACAGGTTTTGATACAATCCCTTAATTCATCCAGCCATGCTACCTGTGTGAAGGTACAAAAGATTCGAGGGAAAACTCACGACAGGAATTTAACACAAAAAGAAGGAGAAATGTCGAGGGGTCGGGTTAATCACAATAGCTAGAGACAGGAAGTACGGGGAGGGACAGCGTGTTTACTTGCTTTGTAATTAGTGATAATTAACGAATTAAATGTCTCCCGTGTCTGTCGGAGAAAGGATGAAGAGGTATGTATGTGTGTTACCCTACAGCCCGCCAGAGCTGCGGAAGTTTGAAGATAATTTCTGATCTAGTTTACAAAGCTCGGGTGGATTATGGTGATATTGTGGGTACGAATTTGGAGTATATGAATTGTATACATTACATGGAGATAAATAAAAATTTTGTGTGATATATTATTTTAAAAATTATTGTGATTATTGGAATGTGTCTTTGAAACTATTTTGTTTATGATTAATATTTAATTTGCTGAAAATTAAACATCTATTCTTGGTTAAGTGGACTATACATGAAATGTGAAGACTGAAAGATTGCATGTTAAATACACTATGGTAATAAGGATTTCTGTCGTATTTGAATTTTGACAAAAAAGGACTTTAGTTTTCATAAAAAGGACATTCAAAAACTTATACATCATTAGATTATCTAACATTGCAGCGTCTTGTGTAAGTAATCTTAGTATAACTTAGAGCTCTTCTTTGTCTATATATATAGTTTTATTTTCTAAAGTTCTGCATCTTAATTTGATATAAAGAGAGATAACTCTTAATGACATAAATGTCTATTATTCCTTTAAGGATTTGCCAAGTTGAAGGTCTTTTATTCAAACAAGCTATGCTATAATCGTCAGTATTTTGCTTATAATATCTCTCTCAAAGTGAAAATCTGTTAAAGTAACATTTTATATGATAAAGGTTTATGTAATTTGTATTGAGGGGAGGACATAAGATTCTGAAAAATGGCTGGGTTTGTCTTTAAACAAGGGATAAAGAGTGGTGAAAATTCTCTTTCAAAGTGTGATCTGTTAAAGTGACAGATAAAGGAGTATAAGATATCCGAGACATTCGTTGTTGATTTTAACGTTAGGGATTACCATTGTCATCAGGTGCTGGATTAACTCGGATGTAAACACAGATTTAGATTTATACCCGGTGAAAGTGATACAACCCCCAAAAAGACAGGCTTTATGGAGAGATTTTCTGATGAAGTATTGCTCATTTATGAAAGATAAATATTACGATGGATTTTGTACTTGAAAATCAATTGTATAAATCTCTGATCAACATAAGATTGAGTGATTTATATATATCAATGACAAATGAAAATGGATATTTAACTTTCATTCAACATTAAACTTTCAAATAATGCAACGTCATATCATTTGGTAGAAGTTAATGTCAGGGGGCTGATTTTAAGCCTGATCAGACTTAAGTTTACAGAGAAAAACTGTAAAAAGCAGACCCATCAACAAGAAGTATCATTAAATGTAGACTTTAAGGTGCTTCATCCAAATACATGTAACCTTCAATAGAATACAGGTTTATTTCACCATTACCTCGCTGCTACATGGTTTCTACCTGTAAACCTGGGAGAATAATGAAGTCAGATAAAATTCAAACAAGTCTATATACTGATAAAAAAAGAAGAGTTTATTTGTCAGAAACATCCTCGTTTGTACCACAACCTGCTCATTATTAACTAACACCTCCCAACCAGCGTGTCGTCACTAGATAAGGGGCTTATACAAAGGAGAGAGAAAATGTGTCAAATATCTTGTGAGAATGAAAAAAGTAAAAGTTTATTTGTCAGAATAACAGAGGTATATTTTTCCATGGAGTTAAAAAAAAAAAACAACTAGAATTCAAACAAAGTTTTTATGGTATTTAATTATTATTATGCAGGGACTTCTTTTGTATCTGTGTTTGATATTTTGCAAGTCTTAATTTTTTTCTTCCTTGAGACTTTCAGATTATGCTTGTATTAAAGATTATTGTGACATGAACATGATGAATATTAAGTCTGTCTTGCAATTTAATTTTTTTTCTACCTCTGAAGGAAAACTTTCTGAATTAATCAGCTGGAAAGATAAACTGTTTATGCTTCCCTGAAGGTCAGGATATAATGACACCTCCCTAGACCTGTGTTTATAGCAATCTGAAAAGCAAATGTCAATTTAAAGACATTTATTTCACTTTTAGATTTCTTTTTAAAACAGAAATTTCTTGGATTTTTAATAAAACAAATACTTCTAAGATTGAATATTTTTAAAACATCTTTGCAATTAATTTGAGTTAAATGAAAGATTTCCCTCAAATGGAAATATTCTAACAGTGATGCATTTTGGGTTTTCCATAATTGAAGACAGTAATTAAAAATGTTTCTTTTTGTTTCTCGATGTTTTCCCTTGTGAAATAATCAACATCCTAGATTAAGTCAAGGACTTCCAATACAATTTTGATAAACTTGTTTAATCAAAAATTAGTTTTGAAAGGTGTAAGTTGCTATTGACTTTTTAAAACCAAAAAAGGTCAATTTTCCTGATTTTCTGCCATTTTTATCTGAACTGACCTTGATCTTGATTCTTCCAAAGTTACATAAAAAAGCTGTTACAGTAAAATCAAAAGATGTGAAACACGACTCCATCAGTCATTTTGTGAAGGTTCTGGAGAACATTTATTGCGATTGATATGGAAACAGCCTTGGAATCTGAGTAGTAAATGGCTGTAAATCTTGTTTTTAAGTTTTATTTTGACGTTACAGTTTTCATAAAGTTTGGTATTGCTAAGGGACTGAGCCTAACTAAGTTAAACCCCTTAAATTTTGTATTAATGTTAAATTTTTAATGAGGATCTTTGTCTTTAATGTTTATTTTATATTCTGAAATTTAAAAAAAAAATCTCTTTTTTCAGTTCATTGGAAAGATATGAGTTGATAAAAACTCAGAATGGAGGAGAGTTATTCCCCTTTGACTGTAGTAAATGACACCTTAATATCGCACCATCAGAAAGAAACAGGAAACTCAGGACCAGTGTCCAATGTCAGGTACAACATGGGAGGCAAGGAATCGAAAGATGAAAAAGGAGGAAAATTACCCGAGGGCGAAGTCCGAGGTCCATCTTCCTCAGACAACATTAAAGACAAAGAATCCAGCATAGAGGCAAAGACAAGGAACAGAAACTGTGATATGTTTGTTTTGAATATCAAAGAAGAGATAGGAAAGTCTGCCTGTGGTACTAGAGAAGAGGAAATGTGGTCTAACAGTGATGAACAAGAGGATGTTTTAACCAAGGCCTTGTCCCAGGATAATCATAACTTAAACCTGTCTCTGGGTGATAATTTTAAGGAGACTGTTAATGAAGTAAACTTCAGAGAAGTGAAGTTACTGGACTCAAACAGTGACCCTGTGGTTGTTGATGATTATATTCACAATAGAGATGAATATTTTACAGACTCTAAGACTTATGTCAAGAAGGACATTGAATCTTATGGTAAAAAAGGTCCTTGTAATTCTGAATGTATTAGTGATCCATTAGATGACTTCACAGACACTACACCACACCGGGGACAGTGCAATAATTGCCAAAAGGAGGATCAAATCCAAGAATTGTGTTCATGTTCAAAGCAAGCCGATGTGTTCAAAGACAATAACAATCATACAGACAGTACTACTCCTTGTGGGACTTGTTCACAAGAACGGGGCACTGTACAATCACCTGCTGATACCAAAGGTCTGGATTCCAAGTCTACAGCTCAAACCTGTCAACACCAAAGTTGTTCAGCATGTGTGCACAATCAGGAAAGCAATGCAAAAACTTTTGAACCTCTCAGGGGTTCAGCCGGACTTGAACCAGTGAGTGGTTCACAGACTTGTTCACAGTGTGGTGAGAACAGTACTGCATTGACCTCGGTGTTTGATGCTTTATTCTGTGAGAAGTGTTATAGGGAGTTTGAGATGAACGTTTCCGTAGCTTGTTCAGTAGAAAATAACTGTTCTGAGAAAACTGGTTCTCAAGAAATCCCAGAGAAAGTTGATTCTTATGAAATCCCAGAAACTGGCTCTTGGCAGAAGATGGAATCTCAAAATAGCCATTTAATAGACAGACCTCTACCAGGACTGGATTATGATTCAGAAAATTGTCAAGATTTAGGAAACAACAATATCTATGAAGACAGTGGATTTGGTTATGTGGAAATTATTGATACACTTCAAACAAATCAGAAAGATGAGTATGAACCTAAGGAAGCACCATCCACTGAACACTTCGGTAGACATGGAGAACATGTCGAGAACAGCCTACAGGGGATTGATATCCACGAGGAAGATTTACCAGTAGGTGGAGAATTGGTGGATGAAGAGGAGGTGTTTGACAATGTGGATGTTTTTGACGATACGTTGGAGGCCAGCACTGTTATCCAGACATCTGACTGCGTCCACTGGGAAGGGGGTGTTATGTGTACGTGTGAGGAATGTTTGAAGGGGCTCCGGATAGAGTGGATTGTGACGGCAGATAAATCCACCATGTGTCCTGAGGATCCACCTTATGTTCTGATGTGTGAGATTTGCGAGGAGTAAGTAGAGACAGAGAAAACAGGAGAGAGAGAGAGACAGAGGAGATGGTGTGGAGAGCTGGGTTTATGTGTGTGTCCACTGATGTGTGTACTGGTGTGTGTGATCTGGTTGAGCTGTGTGTCTGTAACTAAGAGAGAGAGTACGAGAGAAGGAGAGATCAATGTAAAGACAAACAAAGAAATAGAAATAACAATAGAGAGAGAGAGAGAGAGAGAGTTTGTAACTTTCACCACATTCCACATTGCATTTCATACAATAAGACTACAATATAACATAACTTTTTTCATGTAAAAAACTTGACTTAATTTTCTGTTAATTTTTAAGTTCCAGAAATGATTATTGCAAATTTATTGTAGATGTTGCTGAGCAGTTGAAAATTAACTTTTGTGTGTGTCAGTTCTCCACAAGGGGTTTTAAGTAGTGTTGATTTGTGTCATGGTTAAAGCCATGGTTATCCGCGCCCGCCATGGTTAAATGTTTAAAACTGTGTGAGAGACTGCAATATACTTGATAGTTAATTGTGTTTATACAAGTGGTGTGATAATGCAGGTAATAGTGCTAATTACCCACGGTTGAGCGGGTGTTTACATAGTAAAATAGTTACATGTAGGCCTACATCCTGCCTTTCGTTATTGTGGGTATGTTCATCTACATAATAATTAAAAGATTTACAAGAATTCAAACACATAGTAACATTCTTTCAGTGAAAAGAAAAGAATTTAATTTGCCCAAAAATGCTCTGTAAAAAAATGTATGAAGTATTTGAACTCTAAAAGGTTTGTAGTTTTTGGTGATCTGTTTTATATCTTTTAGTCTAAAAGGTTTGTAACATTAACCATAAGATCCATTGTCATTGTTGCAGTAACATGCAGTGTAATATATTTTAAAAAAATGTCATGGTTAAATTTGCATTTTTTATGCATATTCAAATTTCAGAAGTGTGTAAGAATTTTATTGGTTATTGTAAATGTTGCTCATTAGTGAAAAAATTCATGAAAGATTTATTTAGTATTATTTTCTTAAAAGTACAAAGTTTTGAATTTCTTTTCTAAAAATAGACTTTATATTGATGACCAGGTTACTGGAGAACCAGCTACAGAAGACAGAGAAGGACATAAAGAAGAAGGAGGAGAAACTGAAACGGGAGATAAAGGAACTGAAGACTGAGAATGAGGCCGCACAGAAAATAATCAACCAGGTACGTACATAATAATACACGTAACGCAATACACTCACCGCCATACATAATAAAACAGGTTATACAATAATAAAACGGGAGATAAAGGAACTGAAAACTGAGAACGAGGCCGCACAGAAAATCATCAACCAGGTACGTACATAATACACGTAACACAATACACTCACCACTGTACATATATATACAGATAATGCATAATAAAACGGGAGAAAAAAGAATTAAAGACTGAGAACGAGGCCGCACAGAAAATCATCAACTAGGTATAACATGATATACCACCGTACAGAATAATACATGTAACACAATACACTGACCACATATATAATAATACAGGTTATTCATAATTATCATGAAATGGGAGGTAGGAAAATAAAACAGGGATACATCAGTTAACACTATATAAAGAAATACAGAATTATCAAGTCAGATAAGATACATCACCAAATTCAAAAGTATTAAGTCAAGTAATATAATACTGTGAAATCACTAATTTTTGTGGGGGTTTAATTTTCGTTGTTTTCGTGGTATGAAGAGACCCACAAAGTTATGTCTACCATGAAAAGTAAATTTTCATATGCACAACTACTAAAAAGTTTTTCATCCACGAAAGCAAATCTCTACGAACAAACATTTTTTCCTTAATCCACAAAAATTTGACCCCACGAAATATGTGATTTTACAGTAAATAATACACCACCATAAACAGTAATATCATCCATCAGATAGGATTATACAAGAAACAATGTGATACAGAAATATCAGTCGGGTCATATGATATATAATGATAGAATTTTAATCATCAGATAATGCAATACATTCTTCACAAGTAAAACTCTGATAGTTTTTAGTAGCAAATGTTTTGATTTAGAAGAAAGAAAGTTGGTAAATTTTAGCCACATGTTACACATTCCCCCCAACCAATCAAAAGCTTTTTTCCATAACCATTCCTCTCACAATCTACATAGATTGTCCAATCAGAAACCCAAAACCAACCAAAAGACAATCAATCAAAATCTTCAATTTTTAACATTCACAGACTACCCATTGGCAATCAGAAAACAAAATTCTGTCATACAATAACCAATCAAAAACCTTATTCAGTTACAAGCAATTCTTACCCTTTCCCTTATATAACCAATCAGATTATGAGAACTTACACAGGTTACCCAATCAGATGTCCAGAAAACTGTCATGATGACGTCAAATCCTGTCTTTGAACTGTTTAAAATCAAAAATATTTTTGAAATTTAATTTTCACAAACCGGTATATGCCCCAAGCGTTGATTACTTTACACACAATGAGTAGTGAAAGGTAAAATTAATAGTCTAGAATAGATTTGTTCATCTTTTTAGATTTTTTTTCTTGAAATTTTTTGTTTATCATGTTTACTGTGACAGACTGTTGGCACTTATACATTATTCTTTTTTAAACTTTCCGATAGATATTTTTTTTGTTAGTTTGTAAGTTTGTAGATTTAAATTTTGATGTTATTTTTTTCTGTTATCAATGATTTTGTTGTTTTGTTCTACAGTTCAACAGCATTACACGCGTATGTACTGATGTAGAGTTGACATGTACTCAGTGTTACTATTTATAACTCAGAGTTACTATATATAGCACTGTTTATACTGACTGCATTGTGTTCCTATTATTATACTTACAATACGGGGGTGGATCTTATATCTTCTATAGGCGGAATCTTTAAATGTTGAATCCGGCATTAATTTTGTTGAAGCACATGTGTAATAATATCTAACTGTAGAGAGATTTAATAAATAACACTAAAAATTAACAGAAAGCACGTGTTAAGTCTTAATGATAAAGACAGATTACACATAAAACACACAAAGTCTATCAATATCTTTTATCATGATTCGACTAGAACATAATAAGAAATAAAACTTGTTCACTTATAGACACTCTATTGACTAATGCAATATGATTAGAATTGGACTTAAATTAGAAATACACATATGCCAAGGAAATTTGAAAGAAAAAGATATGACAGGGTGAAAACTTAAGTTTTACTGTGTGACAATGCTTGCACTGATCAGAAAATTTTCAACCCCTTGGGTTAGGGTTTTGCCAAATTTATTCACCATGGGGATCACATCTAGTCACGCTGACTTAATCTCACCAGACTGTCGCTCTGTAGCTTTACTTAATTTGCTTTCTTTAGATTTTAAGTCACTTGCAGGTTGTAGAAAGCTTTGTCTGAGCTCCAGGCAAATTGTCCTCTTAGATTCTCATTGACCAGTTTGTAAAAAAGAACTATCACTTGTGTGTCACACTCTTTTATATTTCCACCTTATGGTGTTGGTTTCCAGTTTGACTTGAATTAATTTTAAAAAGACGTTTTGATGTAACTTACTGAAGCATTATACACCCACTAGAAGGATTACATACTTCTAATATCTTTGAAAGTAAATAATAATCATTTCCTCTATTAATGCTGAATTCAGCATTTAATGTCATCTCAACAAAACTTTTCATTTTTATTATAATTAAATGACCTTGACCTCAATGAAGCAGTTGACCATCAGATTTGTTTGGGTTTTTTTTTTTTTTTTTGGTTTATTTTTTGTTCTGCATGTATTATTTATTGGTATTTATTATATTCAATAACTCAGTTATATTGGCATATAACCAGGACTGATTAGATTATATATATATAGTATAACACACTCTTTAGTGCTGAGAGTGGTGTTAGCTTGCACTAAGCTGTTATATATATTGACGAGTGTGAACGTGGGGTGTGTTTATGTGTATATGTATGACAATGTGTGTTTGAAATGTGTATCTGAGGTTGTGCTTATGCAGACATTTGTGTGAGATTTTTTTTTTTTTGAGAGAGATATTTTTACTTTGAATAAGAAACATCGGCATGATGCAATTTGAAAGTTTGCAAAATATCAAAACCTGTATATTTTAAGCCATTCCCCCTAATGTCCTGTTGCAGTGATAGTTTTGATGGAAACCCCTCTTTAACCCATTACCTTTAAGCACTCTGTGTGTTTGACCCCCATTATCTGTATGTTTGACATGTGGCATGACAAATGAGGTTTAAAATTCACTTCATGAATTTACTGTTTTTGGTATTTTGAATTACATGTTTATTACTAATGATCTTAATATATTAATTTCTTCAATATCTACATGTAGGCCCTATAATCATTTTCTCATACACTCAGATTTTTATTAAAGTTAACAAAATTAAAGGTACTTAACAGAATATGTATATTAGTCTGTCTAATATGTATATATTTATTTGTGTTGTCTAGTATTACGGTATAATGATGATAAATTATAGAAAGTAATTTTAATTTCAAGCAGTGATAGCATATTGCTTGGCTTTATGAACAAGAGTAAAAGTAGCTCAGAAATTGCATTCACTGATTTATACAGTGTACAATGTCTGCTCCCTGAGTCATAAATAATGACTACTCCCTTTGTGTTTTGTAGAATCTTCAGTTGGGTCCTGAGGCCAAGATTGAAGCCACGATGCAGCACGAGATTACTAGACTTACATCAGAAAATCTTGTGAGTATTGTCCATTCTTTCATTCATGACACAACAATTGAACATTTTCCTTTTGAAATACATTGAATAATGGCATAAGATGTGCCATGTGATGAATGCAATAAATTTGATTTTAAAATTAATTAAATGAACCTATTTGCTACAATGATTAACATTTTAAACCCATCCCCCCAAAATCAATCACATGGAATCTATTTATTGCAAATCATAACAAAACCTAACATTGAGAGTATGTTTTAATTGCCTCGTTGTAAATGCCTTGTTGTTAATGCCTCGTTGTTCATGCCTCACTTTATTTTTCAGGACTTGAGAGAAAAGGCTGACAAACAGGCAGACCAGATCCGCAAAATGAAAAAAATGCTGAAGGTGTATGCCAAAAAACTCAAGGATGGGGATGGTAAGTTTTACATATTTACTTTAGTAGGAGAGGGGGGTGTACACCAAAAACTCGAGGATGGGTAAGTTCAGATTAAATAGGAGGTGGGCATGGTAGGTGTATGCCAAAAAGCTCAGGGACAGTAAACATGATTTTGACAGCTGTAAAGATGGTAATTGCTGTAATACACGCGTTTATATTTAAAACAAGGGTCATTGGTTGAAAAGATTGGTGATGATGTGAAGTAAGAGATAATGGAACCTTTACTATGACTTTTATTCTGGTATAATTGTAGATAAAATTACACCGATTAACTAGGTAAAAAAAAAAACTGCAAAATTGAAAAAATGAAAAATATAAAATAAAAGATGCCTGCCCGATTTTTAAAAAAAAAATCGGATGAGAATCTAGCAATTTATTTATTATGGCCATAGTGGCCAACATCAATATTTTCAATACTTTGATATATATTCTGTCTTTGTACAGTGGCTGACATCAGTACTTTCAGTACTTTGATATACTGTCTTTGTTCAGTGACTGAGACCAGTACTTTCAGTACTTTGATATTACTTCTGTCTTTGTACAGTGGGGGAGATAAGTACTTTCAGTACTTTGATATATATTCTGTCTTTGTACAGTGGCTGAGATTGAAGCAGAACTTGAGAAAGACGACAAACAGAAGAAGACAGAAGACAACGTGGCAACAGTCAAACACCTGGACAGGACGTACATGGGAATGTTAGAATATAAAAAGGAGGACGAAGGACGACTCATCAAATGTCTCATCATGGGTACGTGTCATCTAAAGTGTCATCTAAATTATCATCTATTTAATAAATATACACTAGGATGTTAGAGAATTAAAAGATCTTTTATTTGAAAAATAATTTGTAATATTTATCTATTTTTTCTTTAGATTTGAAGCCTAAGGTGGCACAGGGCCTGTTACCTGGTCTACCAGCGTACATTCTTTTTATGTGTGTACGACACACGGATTACATCAACGATGACGAGAAAGTCCGCACCCTACTGACAAACACAATCAACGGCATCAAAAAGTGTGTCAAGGTGAGTCAATCTTCAAAAACTGTGTCAAGGTGAGTCAATCAAAGGTGAGTCAATCATCAAAAAGTGTGTCAAGGTGAGTCAATCATCAAAAAGTGTGTCAAGGTGAGTCAATCATCAAAAAGTGGGTCAAGGTGAGTCAATCATTAAAAAGTGGGTCATGGTGAGTTAAAACATCAAAGAGTGGGTCAAGGTGAGTCAATCATCAAAAAGTTGTTTAAGATTAGCCAAACTGACATGATTTTTAAATAATAGGTCAAGTCATACAAAATTTAAGGTTTGTAATGTTCATTATTAATTTTTAAATATAAAAAAATATTATTAATAAGTATGCTGTTCATATTGAATTTAAAAGTTTTTTATATTGTTTTGAGCAAGATGTTTAATGTTTAAGACTCTATATATACATTTGTGGTATCTCTCCATTATATAAACATACAGAGAGAAAATACAATTCTGTATGAAGTTTGGAGAGAGTCAGAGGTTCTACGTGACCTAATCACACGGCGCAATAATATCTACCGGTACATAAATCACACAAAAAAACCTGTACTTGCTTTTCGTGTATAAAAATGAATAAAATAAGCAAGTAAAATGATAATTATTTTATTTTAAATGTAAAAGGTTTTGCTGTTTTTGCTATCTTGAACCTGTGTACATAAATTTAGGAGCCTCGTTTGTTTACATTTTTGGAGGTCACGTGTTTGCTCAGAGTCTCTAACATTCAGCCTTATTTTTTGGATAGACCTTTGGTTAAATTTTCATGATAAACTTTAATTTTATCTTTAAATTTTACTCACGATAAAATGGGTAAATCATGTATCACTTGCAGAAAATATCATTTATCAATGCAATCATGCCATGAACAGCTGCCAAACACCTCGGCCTTTTCGTAGTTCAATATAAAGCTGTCGCCAGTGTCTCCGTGTTTATCAGTGTTTTACGATAAGTATGCATTTAGTTACTGAAACCGTGGAATATTTTTGATCAAATTGCAAATTAAATGGCTCGGACAAGTGTCTAAAACATCGGATCCATCCATCCCTTTCCAGCGACCGAAATTCCTCCAACTTTTTATCATCAAACTTCGGACGTGTTTCTTGTGTCTTTTTCAGCATCGATTATCATTTTCACGAATAAAACATTCTCAGACAACAATCTGTTCACTATTACTGATCACAAGTAGCCTTTCACAAAATATTCCCTTCGAAATAGATTCCTTAGCCTAATGAATTTGAAGCGTAACCGCCATGCAAGCCGATTTACACCTTGCGTCATTTTTCAAAATCTACGATGGACGGTTAGTGCAATAATTTAAATTCGAAAATATTCAATTGTCTGTCTCAAAGGTATATATAAGTAATAAATAACAAGTTTATAAACTTCAATGGGAATTGAAGTTATAGACACATAACTAGAAGGCCTTCGGCCTTCACAGGATTTGATCAAGTTATAGACACTTAATTCCCACTCTGAAGTTTATAAACTTGTTATTTATTTCTTAATTAAAAACATTTGTTGTTATTTTTTTTGATAGAAACACAACAAAGAATTGGAGAGAGTGATTCTGTGGTTGGCGAACACATGTCGACTTCTACACACCCTAAAGCAGTACAGTGGGGAAAAGGTGAAAATACTGAGAGGTTCATGTTGATTGAGGTTTAACTGTATTGCTACTTTTTCTATACCTGTTGAATGAGATTTAATTGATTCTTTTTCTATGGAAATGTGATGCATGATAACGGCTGCCCTTGTATGATTTAATTTGTACTATTTCCTGAAAAATCAAACCACAACAAACCACCTTCAGCAAACATCATGTAAAACTTTGTTAATGTTTTTATTTACTTCAAAGTAGAGTACCAGTGTACTGAATTTATAAACTGCATACCGGTATTTTGATGAATAAAACTCACCCTGTACAGTAAAACTTGTATAGTATGAACAAAGATACAGCGAATTCAGAGTTATAGCAAAGTTATCTTGGACCTCTGGCTATATAAATTTTATGAATTCCTTACATGGATATCACAAATTATGGATACAGCAAAGTAACTTCATAGGTTCCAGTGACCTCATTATAACCAAGTTTTGATGTACATACATTTTATGTTTCAGACATTCCAGTCAGAGAACACGTCGCGGCAGAACGAGCACTGTCTACGTAACTTTGATCTGTCAGAGTACAGACAGGTGTTCAGCGACCTAGCAGTGTGGATCTTCCAGACAATGATCAAATACATGGAGGAAGTCATACAACCCATGGTCGGTGAGTTGTCTGTCTGTCTGTCTGTCTAATCAAATACATGAAGTTCATACAGCCAATGGTCGGTAAGTTGTCTGTTTATCTGATAAAGTACATGGAGGAGGTTATAAAACCCATGGGTGGTAAGTTGTCTACCAGTAGATGTCACTGACATAAGTAATCATTTCTGATTTGTCTTCCCTTTGTAGTGCCTGCGGTGCTGGAACACGAGGCAATCGCGGGACTGTCAGCCAGTAAACCCTCGGGTATGAGAGGGCGAAGCAGCAGTACTCAGGACGAAGACGTGAGGGAACTGTCTCTGGACACTCTGATGAAATCTGTAAGTTATAGACACTAGACACATAACTAGACACTCTGATGAAATCTGTAAGTTATAGACACATCACTAGACACTCTGATGAAATCTGTAAGTCATAGACACATAACTAGACACTCTGATGAAATCTGTAAGTCATAGACACATAACTAGACACTCTGATGAAATCTGTAAGTTATAGACACAATGATGAAATCTGTAAGTCATAGACACATAACTAGACACTCTGATGAAATCTGTAAGTTATAGACACAATGATGAAATCTGTAAGTTATAGAACATAACTAGACACTCTGATGAAATCTGTAAGTTATAGACATATAACTAGACTCTCTGATGAAATCTGTAAGTAGACACATATAGACTGTAAGTTATAGACATATAACATCTGTAAGTTACTAGACACTCTGATGAAATCTGTAAGTTATAGACACATCACTAGACACACATAGACACATAGACACTCTGATGAAATCTGTAAGTTATAGACACATAACTAGACACTCTGATGAAATCTGTATAGACACATAACTAGACACTCTGATGAAATCTGTAAGTCATAGACACATAACTAGACACTCTGATGAAATAGACACTGTAAGTCATAGACACATAACTAGACACTCTGATGAAATCTGTAAGTTATAGACATATAACTAGACTCTCTGATGAAATCTGTAAGTTATAGACACATCACTAGACACACTGATGAAATCTGTAAGTCATAGACACATAACTAGACACTCTGATGAAATCTGTAAGTTATAGACACATAACTAGACACTCTGATGAAATCTGTAAGTTATAGACACATAACTAGACACTCTGATGAAATCTGTAAGTCATAGACACATAACTAGACACTCTGATGAAATCTGTAAGTTATAGACACATAACTAGACACTCTGATGAAATCTGTAAGTCATAGACACATAACTAGACACTCTGATGAAATCTGTAAGTTATAGACACATAACTAGACACTCTGATGAAATCTGTAAGTTATAGACACATAACTAGACACTCTGATGAAATCTGTAAGTCATAGACACATAACTAGACACTCTGATGAAATATGTAAGTTATAGACACATAACTAGACACTCTGATGAAATCTGTAAGTTATAGACACATAACTAGACACTCTGATGAAATCTGTAAGTCATAGACACATAACTAGACACTCTGATGAAATCTGTAAGTCATAGACACATAACTAGACACTCTGATGAAATCTGTAAGTTATAGACACATAACTAGACACTCTGATGAAATCTGTAAGTTATAGACACATAACTAGACACTCTGATGAAATCTGTAAGTTATAGACACATCACTAGACACACTGATGAAATCTGTAAGTCATAGACACATAACTAGACACTCTGATGAAATCTGTAAGTCATAGACACATAACTAGACACTCTGATGAAATCTGTAAGTTATAGACACATAACTAGACACTCTGATGAAATCTGTAAGTTATAGACACATAACTAGACACTCTGATGAAATCTGTAAGTCATAGACACATAACAAGACACACTGATGAAATATGTAAGTTATAGACACATAACTAGACACTCTGATGAAATCTGTAAGTTATAGACACATAACTAGACACTCTGATGAAATCTGTAAGTCATAGACACATAACTAGACACTCTGATGAAATCTGTAAGTCATAGACACATAACTAGACACTCTGATGAAATCTGTAAGTTATAGACTCATCACTAGACACTCTGATGAAATCTGTAAGTTATAGACTCATCACTAGACACTCTGATGAAATCTGTAAGTTATAGACTCATCACTAGACACTCTGATGAAATCTGTAAGTTATAGACACATAACTAGACACTCTGATGAAATCTGTAAGTTATAGACACATAACTAGACACTCTGATGAAATCTGTAAGTTATAAACACATCTCTAGACACTCTGATGAAATCTGTAAGTCATAGACACATAACAAGACACTCTGATGAAATCTTTAAGTACTTAGTAACATAATCTAGACCAATGAATGCCTCAAAATTTGAGATAAATAATAGAAGTTAGATACATTTTTGGACATAAACTTCTCTCAAGGTAAATTTTGATGTTGATTCTTTTTTCATCAGTGTTTTGCCATGTGGTTGTATTTTCATTTTAACTGACATGTTTTTTGTTCTTTCTTCAGTTGAACAAATATAACCAAGTACTGTCTCAGCATGCAGTGGACCCGGAACTAGTCAAACAGGTCTTCAGACAGGTTCGTAAATTAAGTCTCAAGTTTATCTGTCTGGACGTTTATATAATTATGTCTTCTGTGGGACAGGGTGAACATTCATGATGATAAGACCCTTTACAGATATTTATAATTCCATTCATACTCCTTTCTGTTTTTCAGTTGTACTACTACATTGGCTCCAATGCCCTGAATAACCTGCTACTCAGAAAGGACATGTGTAACTGGTCCAAAGGCATGCAGATCAGGTAATTATAGAACAGAGCAGATCTTAATCATTTACCTGTTTTACTTAATTGGCTATAGAGAAAAATCATAAAAGGATGGAATAGATCTTTATAATTTATGCATTTTACTTAATTGGCTATAGAGAAAAATCTTTTTTAAGAATTTTTTTTTAACGAATTAGAATATTGTTGTCCACAGATATGGTAAGACAAGGTACCTTTTTTCTGCTGTGTTAAAATATCACAGATGTTGACAAGTCTCTGTAATCTACATGTGATGTTATTTTATAGGTATAACCTGAGTCATCTGGAGCAGTGGCTGCGAGATAACAAACTTAATGAGTCCGGGGCTCAGTCCACACTCGAGCCCATCACTCAGGCATCTCAACTCCTACAGGCTCGCAAGTCCGAGGCAGATGTAGACAGTATATGTGAGATGTGCTCAAAACTCACTACAGCGCAGGTAACTCATATTTCACAAAGGCCAAGGAAACTAAATAAACATAACTTAACAAGGCCCAGGTTATTCATTTCTCTTAATCGTATTTTGTAAACCACTAAAAGCCAGGCAACTGAGATGTCATATATATTGATTTAAAAAACATATGAAACTTTTAATTCACATGTCTGGCATTTTAAAGCTGAAAATTTTTTTACCAATTATTAAGATCATTTTTAATATGTTCTTTTGTTTTTTATTTTGTGAATACCTTTTTCTACTTTTAAATTGTAATTTTTTTCCCTTCCCCTTGTTCTATTTTTAGATTGTTAAGATCCTGAACCTCTACACACCAGTGGATGAATTCGAGGAGCGAGTTCCGATCAGCTTCATCCGTAAAATCCAGGAGAGATTAAAATCCACAAAGAAAGAGGAAGACAATACATTACTGATTGACACTAAGTATTCGTTCCCCGTAACGTTCCCCTTCAACCCCTCAAGCCTCACTCTGGACTCGATAGACGTCCCCGAGGCCCTCCATCTAGACTTCCTCACACGTGTTTAATGTCTACAAGTCATAGGAGTTATTTATAGTTCTGATTGGTCAGATTTATTTCTATTTATGTCTCTGATTGGTCAGATTTATGTCTATTATTTCTGATTGGTCAGGTTCATTATTATTGAATGTTTTTGATTGGTCGCTTATTTATCTTAAAATGTGTGATAGCCAATAGATTTTTTTGTTAATATATAATTTTGTGCTTTTTTTATTGGTCTGTTTATAGATTTTCACTTTCTGTGATTTGCCTTATATATTCTTCTACATATCCTCTTAGTGAAGGTCAAAGCCTCTTTTTCATCTGAGTTCATGTGGTCATGACCGTTCTGTGAATTATTGTCCCTTTATCATGTCCGAGTTCACATACTATGATAAAAATAATTCTGTGACGTGTAGAGTTTATTTCTCCAAACTTACTTTTATGTGAAATATAATTCTTTTTGCAAATCCTTCAGCTAAAATACTAAATATGTTATGTTGATGTAAATTTAACTTCAAACTGCAAAGGGCATACTAATATACATGTAATAATTTATTACACATCATCAAACAATTAAGGAGCATATCTTAACAGCACAAGTTCTTACAGAGGTCGACCACAAATTCTTAAAAAACTAAGTTACACAAGATATATATGATTGTGATAGATTTCAGCTAATATTTTGGTGCTTTTTCACTTTGTAGTTTTTTTTTCATTTATATTTTAGTCTTTTGTCATTTGCATTCTGTTCTAGGCATTCATGTATCAATGACTTATTGTACTAATCAGGTTTACAACGTTTGTGACAAATTGTGATAAAATCTTCATCTGTGAAACTTTTTTTTTTAATGAATGACATTGAAATTGTTTGTGTGTAAGTTAGATAGCTCTGACAAAATCATCCCTCCTTATTTTAAACCAGCATCCTTAATAAAAATTGAAATATGCTTATAAATAAATGCACACATGACTAAACATGTTAATATTGGTCAAAGGTAAACAACTCTCCACAAAACCTAGCAGGAGAATAAAATGACTTTTTTTGTTTTATGGCCAAAGATGTTAAATAAAATTGCATTGAAAATAAATTAAAAATGAAAATTTTAAAAATGCCTTTAGAAATATTTTATTAATATATCACATAAATGAATGCATTTTGGAAATATATATTAAGCAACATATTTTAACCTTCATAAAATGTAAGATATTTCTTTCATTGTGTCTTGTAAAAATTCAAAGACTTAAGAAAACTGTCTCTTTCATTTAATGATCTATCATTTATACAGTTTATATTGAAATCACCATTTTTGTTCAATGTTACACGAGTATCCCTCCGTTTGTTTTACCTCTCGTACAGTTTTCTTGTCTCTTCATATCTAATGTACTATTACATGGATATATATATAGAGGGTGTATCTGTTTGTGTGTATATTGCACTGTCTTAGACATGTTTAGGTAATGTAGTATATAGTTATTTATTTGTTTAGAATCATGTTGTACAGGAATTTTTTTGAGATAAGAAGGGAAAGAGGATATTTTTTTTCCTCAACAAATTGCATTCCTATATTACTTAATTTTCCTAGCACATAAACTGGAGGGCATTTTTTATAAACACAATTTTCCCACCTAATAATACCAGAGCTCAACTCCAAATCAAAACAACATTATGATGTCGAGTCTTTCTGTAACAGTAAAGTGAACAAAACGATGCATTACTGTGTGTTCTCATACAGCGTTTTACAAGAAAGATGTATGATTTAGATAAAATAGTTATAGATGATAAAATTGGAAGTATGAAAGGGGTTATGGTAAGGGAAGTAACTCCTCACAGAACTAATATAATATAATACCAGAGTTATCTAACTTGTATCAATAACACCATAAGATGTGTGTAGAACCCTGCACTGTTGACTTGTTCTAATGTTATATACATGTGTTATTTATTTGTATTGTTAAATTTGTATAGTAATTAGAATATTTTCTGTGTTTTATACATTATATTGTAAGATTTTATGGTATGACCTTGACAGCATGGTATGACCTTGACAGCATGGTATGACCTTGACAGCATGGAATGACCTTGACAGCATATCTTACTGCATGAAATTATGTTTGTTGCTGCAGATTTTACTGTTATAATTGAGCTAGAATTATCATTGGACTGTTTGGAACAGAAGGAAAAAAAAACATGCACTTAAAACTCAGGTTTACAGAGCTGTTCTGTCCGTTTCTACCCCTAAAATTTTAATAAAGATGGCCACCAAGGAAAATTGTATTGTTTGTGATATAGATATTGAGAACCAATTTTTTAATTGCCAAAATAAGCGAAAAAGACACAGTGTGTATAAAGTATCATTTTAAATATTATACACATCTGATGTGTATACATCCACTGAAACTAGAATAAAATAGTTCTCAAACACAGAGTATGTAATGTGTCACTGATAACATAGTGTCTAGCTCCCTTTTCATATAAAACTGCTTTTTTGATATTTATGAAGTGTTCTAGTTTATTGTAATTGGTTTGACATATTGGTGCTGCTAATATTTTTGGAAGTTCTAGGAACCATTGGTAATTAATTTGAAACAAAATAACCAAAAATAGATAAATTTATGGTTTGATTTCAGTCCTTCTTGTGAAAAAAAACAAACATTCCAATTCAGAGTTTAACATTCCAGATTTTTATGCGAGAAGAAGGTCATCTATTCTCATTTTTTTTTTTCCATACACAAATGTAAATACAAAGCTCTATACCAAAAATTAAATTTTACTTAATTAAAAAAAATGTTTTTTAACCTTTAAAATGCCCCATTATTCAAAAAGAAACATTTATTTATTTCCTTGCCAAATTGTGAGCTTTTCTATTTCATTTTTAAACATGTTTATTAAGGGTACTTACCACAAACAAAAAATGGATGCGTGGGGTGATATATATTTTTTGACTGATTTTGATTTGAAATGATATAAATATAAAGAAATCGGAGGATTTCCTTGGTGTTTATATATGAGACTTTATTTAGCTTTCTATATAATTCCATACACAATTTTGCACAATTTTTTAACCTTATGACAAAATCGTATATAATTCTCCCACTCTACTTGGTAAACATTATTCAGGTTATCAGTTTAAATGTAAATCTTTGAGAAATAATGCTGATTTCTGAAAAAAGTTTGTTTGTGTTATTTATCCTTAATGTGGTGTCTATTCTTTAAGTCTATATTTGTGTTACTATTTCAAGCACAAACTATGTATTTTTTTTTCTGGTTAGATGGTATGGGTTGAAAAATAACTTTTGCAAGAATCTATCATCTACAATAATATGATCAATTTTAAAGAACTGGCTGGGTGTATTAACTGTGTGTCTGCTGCAGCTAAATGTTAAAATATTTTAGAAAATTAAAGGTAGTTTTGTGTTTTGAAAAAAATGCAATAAATTAAAATATGATAAAATTTATTATCATAATAAGCGTTCTACTGTAATATTTGTATTATTATAATAACAGGTTCTAATGACGGTAGCGTAGCTGTATATTGAGTGTGGCAGTGTTAACTTTCTACAAACCACACTGTATTTGTTGCTGGTGAAATGCTTTGCTACATGGCTCTGGCCATGGCACACACAAGTAGCAGTTAATTTTAAAATATGAATAAAAAAGTTAAACATGCATATTTTCTTGTTTTTGTTTCACAGTGGAGAATTCAAATGAATCAAGGTATTGCAGGATATAGAGATCCAGAGGACTGTATGTTCATGTAATTTAACGCCACATATTATGGGATCGAAAAATGGAAATATTAGAATTAAGGTTTACACACCCTTTATAAGATGGACAACTCCTGCTTTTACTAATGACATTATTTTCCATTGAAAATTCTCAGTCAAAGACGATATCAGTCAAATTTTGCCCCGCAAGGTATAATGAAATTGTAATTTTATTGTGATGCATATTTTTGGGAACATTAAATAAAATTAAACAAAAATCCGTATAATTCGGGATGTTTTATGTTACAGTTAGAATATATATAGTTGATGTGTATATCAAAGCCTTGGATGGGGTCCAGATATATTGCCAATACATGTATATACTATAATGCACAGCTCTAAAATTACGCATTTAGTCGTGCACTCGCAATGAACCAGGTAAAGTCAATGCATTACATAGACATACATGTACATGTATACTTTGGATGATTTGCTTAAAAATATATTGACTAACTCTGATTACAGACAAATACTAATAATAAGATCTGTATCCATGTTAGACATCGATGACCCTTATGATCAGATATGTGTAATTTGAGTACCCTAGCACAAAATTGTCTAGACTTAAATGTTTCATAGGTGTCGGAAGCAGGGTTGGTGGGGGGCAGCTAAGTATGCATAATATAGGCATTGAAAATTTGTGTTTAAAATTTGTGTTTACCTTTTTTCCTTGTTTAGTCACCCACCCCACTTTTAATTAGCCACCCCACTTTCAATTTGCTTCCGACGCATATGAGTTTTTTCAAAGGTAGGATAAACTCAAAAATGAAGTCAATGGGTCACAAATGTTGGTACATGTATATCAAAAGAAAGGTCTTGGCACAAAGAATGCAAAAGTAATGACGTAGTGTGTGGGGTGGATTGCGGGCAAACAGACAGTGGGACAGGAACAAATTAAAACCAAAATAAGTTTTGCCCCTCATTTCCCAGCAATTTACGAATGAAATGGAAAACTAACAGACATGGACACACACAATTAGATTGGACACACAATAATCAGAATAATTCCTGTTAACATATTTGGGGCACTCATGGGCAGCTATATAAAAGGATTGGAATTAGGGTTAGCGACAATTTCTTTTAACAGAGGCGCATGGGTCTGAGTGAATTTAAAGCCCCCCCCCCCCCCCCCAACCCCACGCCAGCTCAGCCATGCAGTATAATGTCCATGGGCTCAGTTGGGGAGAATTTAGCTCCAAGTAGCTTTGGAATTTTTGTGGCGACATTTAATCTCGTACTAGGAAAAACTCCCTTCGAAATAGTATTTTTTTATATGTAATTTTTTTTTCCTTTTGCTTGTCAAATTTTTAAACAAGTAGGATGTGATTTTTGTTTTATTGTCCCCTTTCAAAATCTACCGCAAGTGCAAAATGCTAATTTTTTTAACAGTTAAAAAAAATAGGAAAGAATCAATAATTAAAATAACACGAAAAAAATGTTTGTGTTTAAATTCATGGAAATTAATCATTATAGCGTTTTGTCTTTTTTCCGGGATATCATGCAGGGTCTCGCAAAGGCGTCGGAACTTAAGCAAATTGAAAGGGGAGCTATACCAACAAAAAAGTTTAACCCCAATTTTCAATGTAAAAAAGAAAGAAATATAACTTGAAAATTCTGAAAGAAAGAATACTTTTAGAAAGAAAGAAAGGATCGGAGAACTTCAAAGAAATCGAAAAAAAAGAATGAATTTACCTAGAGAAAATTAAGAAAGAAAAAAATAGAGTCTTTTATGTCTATAGTGCTTTAAACGATGTGACATTCTCTCTCTCTCTCTCTCTCTCTCTCTCTCTCTCTCTCTCTCTCTCTCTCTCTCTCTCTCTCTCTCTCTCATATCAGATAACATTTCGGCCTTAGAATATTTAGATCCGCGCCTAGACTGAAAAAAGAGTAACTTCCCTTACAAATCTCAAACAATAACAAACGTGTGTCAACAATAAACACCTGCTAGAAAAACGTAAAATAAACAAACCGACCATATTTTGAGTATTTGAGAACTTTTATTGCAAAGGATATTTTATAAACATTAAATTTCTCACAAAAGATTTTCGGAGAGAAAATTCGTCTGTCCGTGAAAAGGTCAAAGGTCGATGAGATCAGCTGTCAAATTCTGCGACAGGAAAAAGAAGAAACTGGTCGTCAAACACTGAATGTGAATATCCCGAGGACAATATTTCCTTTTTATAAATTTAAGAAAAATTGTGCCGACTTGCTGGGTTCATTTAATAAAACCCGAAAATTTTAGCGAAGACCAAAGTCACGTGACCTTGGAAGTTTTTCGTAAACAAGAACGGAAAAGGCGAACAGATGGAGGGATAAAACTTCGCGTGAAATTTCCATAAAAGGAGACGATTGTCCACACGAAATCGTCAGGAGATGTAGTGTTAATGTCCGTCTGTCTGTCTGTTCACACGATGCCGTAGCGAACGAGGATTTTGGGGTGAAATATGAAGCCAGAGACAGGTAGATATTGTTTTGCCCTAAATCCATATTTCCTCTCTGTCGACGTGTAAATGTAACAATATACAGAGAGTAGATCATTAGGGGGTATTCAGAGAGTTTTATTTAGAGCAGTACTTTATAGTGAACTGTTAAATATCAGTAGAAATCTGACTGTGTGTGAGTTTTCATTGTTTCATCATCAGATCATATGCATGGTTGTCCTGCATGAGTCACGCCAGAACAGCTGATTGGTCAGGACAGCTCGCACTGTCCCCACCCCGCACACACAAAACTACTGGTCTCCACCACATACAAAATATGATTAACACCCCAGGTCAAAGAAAGCTAAATGCTGTGGTCCCCACCCTGTATACAAATTACCCATTACCCCCTCTACCCTGTACACAAATATATAACACCCCAGGTCAGAGAAAGCTTGCACTGGTCCCAACCCCGTCCTACAAAGTGACAGAGGCCAGTGAATTTCCCACCCTGTATATAAATTCAAAATTCAAGAAGTCCGATGGGCTTGTTAATTATAAAAATCATGAACACAGGTCAATATATATTTAAAGAGGTAATGGTAAATTTCATTAATATATTGCAAGTTGTTGTTTGAATCGGCAACTGAATTTCTCTTCTAATGAACCAGCATATGACGGCAACAACGAACCTTGTAAACATTCAAGCACAATAATACCCCCTAGGTCAGCGACAGCTAGCACTGGTTCCCAACATTCCACCCGTATACATATTACCCCCTCTACTCAAAGTCAACAGTTATATTGGTTGTGTGGGAAGTTGGAGGCCTATAACAGTATAAGGGATTTACCCCCCCCCCCTTCCCCTCCCTCACTTCAACACCGTGTGGACACTGAAGTTCGCTCACAAGTTTTTCTCTTCCTTTAGAGCATGTAGTGATAGGTAGGGAGTAAAAACCTCTATTATCATGATTATACATATTTATTATATAACAGTCCAGTCCAATACGAAAAGTAATATTATTCTTATATTACTATTTTTCGTAATATAGTTAAATTACGAAAACTCGTAATATAGCATGTTGTGAGAGACTATATTACGAGTTCGTTTAATGTAAGACAAATAAAGCATTGAAAAAAACTGAATGATGTTTTGGAAAGTATGACGTCAGAAATACATTATGCCCCAATGGTACCAGTATCACGTTTTCATTTTGGTCAGTGAAATCGAAAAGTTGAAAATGCAAGAATAAAGTAACAATAGTAATGGGTGAGTGAAAATTTTGTATTATTATTCTTATATAAGAATTTTCCCAGGGATGGGAACAATTTTCCATAAAACTTCAATGTATCCTAAAACTTGTCATAGTTAAACAATAAAATGCTTTCTTTGTTTGTTGTTACTGGAATGAACGGAAGCAGCTAATTGCAGAAAAAATACATAACCCAGGTGTAAGCGGGTTATGTAAATTTTTTCTGCAATAGCCGGTGTGTGCGACCGTTCATTCAGTTTTAATAACAAACAAAGAAACATTTTATTGTTTATATTTATATCTGTTTAAATAATCAATTAAAAAGGATTAAAAAGATTAATTATTGTATTAATGATGCGAACGTCTTAATTTATACGTTTCATTGATGGAACAGCCACTGATTAAGAAATCTGTACAGGCGACCTGCCTACTGCAGTTTATGCAGTGATGAACGCAATGGGGTTTCTTAAGAAATAAAGGAGAAAATATTTGGATGTAAATACCAGTTCAAACCATAATCCCCGAATTCCCTATATTTTTCCAGAAGTCTACCCTAAAAATCAGACCCTCATCTCCAACAACGAGATTTTACAGGATATAACTTGTACAAATTTCACTAGGCTCTGACTCTGCATGCACTCGGATCACATGCATCAAAACAAAGAAAAAGCATGCATATCCACGATGATTTGATGAAACCAGAGACGTATAATCTCTCATGAAACATAACAACAGGTTGTATCAGAAAAAGGGAAGTAACTCTTAGAAGAGTTAGAAATTGCTTTTATTACGAATTGTAGTAATATTACGATTTTTCGTATTGGACTGGACTGTATAATGCAGGATTTTTGCATCCCTGATATGAACACATGCAGGCATGACAATCTGTATTACATGCTGTAATGAATGTGACCCTATCAGCACCCTCTCCTTTACTTTACCCTGTATCAGCACCCTTTATAACACCTTTCCGGAACATCTCTGTATTTTTCATACGAAGTATCTGAAGTAATTTTCATTTGAATACACAGGGAGTGTAATATAAGCATTAAACGTCACATCAGCATTAAAAGACACCAGAATAATATAAACTATTTCCAAATATATAATAAAAGACAGTACGTACTTTGCAAAATCTGTATCACATTGCCTATCAACCATTGAACAGTATCAGCCCTTCGAACTTTCACCCTTGGGCTGATATTGGAGTCTCAGGTTGATATTGGAGTTGATATGTTGTGTGATACAGATTTTTCCATGTAACTATTATTCTCTATTTATAACCCAGAATGAATGGGGTTGGGGGAAAAAAAAAATCAAGATATATATCTCAGACATCTATCATGATTTTGAAAAATATGTATGGTTTTAATATTATAACTAATTTTTTAAACCGATTTTGGCGCAATTGATTTGTAGGTTGACGTCGCTGCGGTATCTTATGGACGTAAAGAAATGGGGTAATAAAAATATTATTTAAGAAAAAGTAATAAGCTTACGCTCTTGAAATTTAAAACATATAAATTTTAGAATATATCCAATATTTTTATTACTCTCCAGGATCACTTCAACTTGTTTGTTATATAAGAGAGAATGAATTCTGTGTTAAGAATATAATTGAGGGGTAAATATTAGTTATCCACAAGGCTGTATGGGAATTTACACAGGGTTTTATTCTATGCACCCTTAGGCAGAAGGGTGTATGGAATACAATTCAGTGTAAATTCCCTTACACCCTTACTCCCTTACACCCTTGATTGATCAATTCAGTGTAAATTCCCTTACACCCTTGATTGACCCAGGATAAGAGGGTTTATTTAGGGGTAGGTAGGACAGGAAGTACAAATAACAAAGGCCTAGCTGTTACTACAGTAAAACACGTTTGGCTGCTGCCTTAGAGTGACAAAGAAGTTGCCCCTCTATGTATAATGTCGGAGGTCATCGCGTCAATTTGTTGTTTTTACAGTTTTCTTCGTCCATCATGTGTAGAGATTTCTGAATAATAACAGTACATACACTTTCATGTAAGGCATTCCACCCAGTTGTTCTGATCTGACATGTCCAATCAGTGGCTAGGCTGAGTAGATTATACTTCTCATGAAAATTGCTAAAAACTCTTTGCAAAAGTGGACATAGAGTATATAGGTTTGCAGATAATGTGCATCCATATCCCCCCCCCCCCCCCACTTTTCAGACTCTGAAATGTAAACAGGTATATATTACCCAGATTTATTGTATGAAAACTGTTAAATCTACGTCTATCAACTGTTAACAATAGGGCCAAGCGTTGACCTGATCTAGATTTAAATGTCTCTAATGTAGAAGTTTATGGATCCACCTCTCCATTTTAAATACCATGCAATGTACAACCATTCATGTAAATGTTTGATCCATCTGTTTATATTTCATTTGCCTCAATCTTTGATCCACCTACCTGTATTTCATTACCTGTAATGTAAAATCTTGGATCCACCTCTCCTTATTTCATTACCTGTAATGTAAAACCTTGGATCCCCCTGTCTAATTCCAGGATCGCCAGACATGGAGGAATGCGTTTGGGACCCCGTGATGTTTTTTGTTGATGTTGGAATTTTGATCGTGGAAGCTAGGACCCCTGACCTCTCACCCAAAGGTCGGAGTGAGGGTCTTCACTGCCCCCCAGCACAGGGTGGTCGAGAGGTCAAAGGTCAGCCCAGTCATCTCTGTGACCTACACAGAGAACAGGTACGTAATATTGCTTGTAAAGTTATTCTGATAAAGCATTTAGTATTTGTACACTATATAACTGATATAATTCCTGCATTTTATGTAAAGTATATTGTTTCAAATTTTATGTAATTTTAGTGAGGACATAAACATGTCTGTAAAGCATTTTAAATTGATTATCTTATGTCTCTGAAGGTTAATGATTTGTAAGGGCTGTATTATGTAATGTTATATTATTTGACATTTTTACATAATTTACAAGCTTCTGAACAAAAATGACTTGACAATTTTCCAGTGCCGTTTTATATGATTTAACGTTTTTTACGATTTTTCAGTGCTATATTTTATAATTTAATGTTTTTACAATTTTTCAGTGCTTTATCATGTAATTTAACGTTTCTACAATTTTCAGGTGCTGTGTTATGTAATGTAATGTTTTATTTTCCAGTGCTGTGTTATGTAATGTTTACATTTAGGATTTTCCATTGCTCTTTTATGTTATTTTACGATTTTCCAGTGCTGTGTTATGTAATGTTTACGTTTATTTTATTTTTCAGTGCCGGCGAGCAGAGCAGATGAAGTCACAGATCCTGGGTCTTTCTCGGAATCATATTCCACTAAACATTGATGTGATGCTGTTACCAGACTGTGATCATGGTCGTCTGGAGGCTTGTTCCGTTGACGGGAGCTGGGTGGGGAGTAACGATGACTTGATTTTACTAGAGAGATGGGAGATTCTACTACAACAGAAAAGGTACCTATCTGTCTGTCCGTCTGTCTATATGAGTCTGAAAACAGGGTTGATACACTACTAGGTATATTATACAGGGCATTTCTTACTTCAGGCCCTCTGTCTGTCTGTCTGTCTGTTTGTTTTACTGTTTTCTTTCTTTCACAGGAGTGACCGTGTTGATGCCGGCAGTGTTACAGGGCGATTCCTACTTCAGGCCTTAAGGTCGTATCTCCATTTCTCACAACTCAGTTCCTGGCTCATCTCTCACCGCGGCCATCTGCCCCTCCAAATCATATACAGGTTTGTTCCAAATCATATACAGGTTTGTTCCAAATCATATACAGGTTTGTTCCAAATCATATACAGGTTTGTTCCAAATTATATACAGGTTTGTTCCAAATCATAATTATATACAGGTTTGTTCCAAATCATATACAGGTTTGTTCCAAATCATATACAGGTTTGTTCCAAATCATATACAGGTTTGTTCCAAATTATATACAGGTTTGTTCCAAATCATATACAGGTTTGTTCCAAATTATATACAGGTTTGTTCCAAATCATATACAGGTTTGTTCCAAATCATATACAGGTTTGTTCCAAATCATATACAGGTTTGTTCCAAATCATATACAGGTTTGTTCCAAATTATATACAGGTTTGTTCCAAATCATATACAGGTTTGTTCCAAATCATATACAGGTTTGTTCCAAATCATATACAGGTTTGTTCCAAATCATATACAGGTTTGTTCCAAATCATATACAGGTTTGTTCCAACTAAGTTCCTGGCTCATCTCTGCCCCTCCAAATCATATACAGGTTTGTTCCAAATCATATACAGGTTTGTTCCAAATTATATACAGGTTTGTTCCAAATTATATACAGGTTTGTTCCAAATTATATACAGGTTTGTTCCAAATTATATACAGGTTTGTTCCAAATTATATACAGGTTTGTTCCAAATTATATACAGGTTTATTCCAAATTATATACAGGTTTGTTCCAAATCATATACAGGTTTGTTCCAAATTATATGCCTTTCAAATTATTTACAGGTCTTAACAAAAATACACACTTTACAAATTTTTAGAATTTTTTCATTCCAAAAGTAGATTCTAATCACTAAAAAAAAAAGCATATTAAAATTATATGTGCCTCTGAAGCAAAATCTTTTATTCTTTAAAATATTTTTCTTAATTTGAACATTCAAAGTAAAGAATGCTCAAGTCATCTAGATTTCATGGAGTGTTTATTTATAGGCTGTACTCCCCTGGTGATACAGGGATCCATGGATTTACCTCGGCCAGTGAGACGCACAGCTTCCCCGTGGCAGATCTAGGGACCGAGATACTCAAAGTCTCCGTGACCTCTCTACCGCGACTGGGCGAGATCCCCACACTGCTGTGTCAGGACAACAAAAACGTCTCCATGAGGAAAAAACCCAGTCCTGAGAGAGATCTGGGGTTAAAGGTCAACTCCGAGTCAGCCACACTGAATACCAACAAGAAATCGAGTGCAGCTGAATCAAATCTTCAGCCTTGTATACCGGAGGGAAAATGGAGCAAGAAAACTGAAGAATTGCGGAGGACGTCCCCTGAGTTATTTCAGGATCAGGGAACTAGTTCATCCAATCTTAATCAGAGGACTAGTGTAGAAAATATACATCATGAGAAAAGTCAGGAGAAAGGAATTCCCAATGATCAAGGTTCAGGAGCCATTCCCAAGAAGAAAAACTTGATGCAGAAACCTGGCCCTGACTCGCTGGCCACTAAACCACCGGTTGTCAAGAAACTTCAGGCCAGAGTGGCAAGTGACCGACCATTCAGTCCCGATATGTCAGAACTAAAAATGTCCTTCAAGTCCTGCCCCCTGCCCCTCCTACCCGATGATCCAGCCAATCAGAAGGACCCAGACTTTCTGGTTGCTAGGTTACCCAGTCCTAAAGTCCTGTTGTCAACTGCTGGTAAATCTAATCAGACGTTCTACAAAAAGCGCCACCTGGACCTGAGTTCCCCGGAATCTTTCGAGGACCGAGTCCTGGCGAGTAAGATCTCGAGCCTGGTGAAGCCTCCGAACTCAGAAGATCTGGAGAGTTACCTCGCTAGCCTGACCTCTCATCAACCAGACAAAGGGACGGGAACCAGTCTAAGCAACATTCCCACAATGCACTGCAAATTCTTCGATGGAGATGAACCAGGTGAAAGATTGTCTTCCCTAAAGTCACACAGAAAGACAAAACGATGTGTGCAAGAAACTTCTGCTTCACCATTACTGTGTGAAGATGTTCAGAAAAAATATCCTGGATATGACTCAAAAGAAACTCCACAGAGAAAAAACAATATAGCGTCAGGGAAATCTGTAAAACGTGACTTAAACTTCTCACCCGAATCTCCCATTATTTCACACCAGCAGAAACCACACAAGCATAAACATTTGACAGAGCAGTTAGAGACTGATAATATATCATCCAGTGATTCTATAGAAAAATATCAAGTTAGAGACAGACATCCCTCGTACAGTCCAGAGCAGGGAGCAGAGAAGGAATGGAGAAGATATCAGAGTCCAGAACGACTGTCCCCCGGGCAGCGTAACACTTACTCATTGTTTGATGACTTTGTCGATGACATTTACAACATTAAATCCAAATCTGACAACTTACTACAGAGTATACCCTGTGTTAATAGTAGAGTCTGTGTAGACAATATAGAGAGCACAGTGGAAGATACACAGAGTCCAAACTCAAACTGTTTACAAAACAACTCACACTCAAAATTATCCCCAGACTTCCATAATGACACTAAACAGTACAGACGCTCAGATTCTAAACCCAACTTCAAGAAAAGTTTTTCTGAACCAGAAATGTTAGGGAAGCAGCTGACGTTATGTCAGTTAGACGAGTTAAGACTCTCACCTGATGAGAACCTCTCAGATTTAGACGCGGTGTTATCCAAATCATTCCACGACATCCTGAGTCTGGACAAGTCGTCCAGTGACTCCACCCCCACCAATAGTCTTTCAGAGTCCAACGGATTCAAGCATTTTTGTGATACAGATTTACATATAAACTCAGACAGGAGTGTGACTATTTCCTTCCCTTCTAAACATTCAACAGACCAGGATAAAGCAGTTCCAGAGAGTTCTGTGAATCAGAAATGTGACGGAGAAATGAACTCCAGAAAAACAAAGCCTGGTAAGTCTAGAAGAAGTGAAACAGAGGAGAATGGTTTTATAGAAGATGGATCCAATAGTGGTGGATCCAAGAGGAGTGGTGACCTGGAGGAAGGATCTAACAGGAGTGGATCTCAGAAAAATAAGTCTTCACTGTGTAAACAACTGCTGAGGAAGGAACTACAGCGATCTTATAACAGTGTAAGTTTCTTGGAAAGTTAATCTGATAATCATCATCAGAAAATTATCACATTATCAGACATATCATATTATTAAGCATGTTAAGTTAAATAAGTACCTCTACATTCAATGGGTTTTTAATTTTGTTCTTTTCAACAGATATGAAATGAAACATTTGGCTGGGAAATGTATAAGTAAAATGCATATTGCATAATGTGTATGGAGTAACTGAAATTCTAATGATTTCTTCATGTTACTTACTTGGAAAAAAAGCCACAATGATTCAGGAATATTGAAACTGGGTGAAATTTTTAAAATGTTTTATCCAGGATCCGTTGGAGACAAAGTTTCCTAGTCCGGAGCAGGTGACCCATTTCCAGAGGAATCTCCAGCAGTCATCCAGTATGGTGTTCAACTCCAGTACAGGTCTTCCTAGTCGATCTAGTCCGGTAAGTCACAATCTAGTGTGTTAAATCTCCAGCAGTCATCAAGTATGGTGTTCAACTCCAGTACAGGTCTACCTAGTTGATCTAGTCCAGTAAGTCATGATCTAGTGTGTTAAATCTCCATCAGTCGTCCAGTATGGTGTTCAACTCTAGTACAGGTCTACCTAGTTGATCTAGTCCAGTAAGTCATGATCTAGTGTGTTAAATCTCCATCAGTCGTCCAGTATGGTGTTCAACTCTAGTAAGGTCTACCTAGTTGATCTAGTTCGGTAAGTCACAGTCTAGTGTGTTAAATCTCCAGCAGTCGTCCAGTATGGTGTTCAACTCCAGTACAGGCCTACCTAGTCGATCTAGTCCAGTAAGTCAAGAGTTAGACCAATAAGTCACAATCTAGTGTGTTGAGTCAGGATCTAATGTGTTAAGTCTCCAGCAGTCGTCCAGCATGATGTTCAACTCTAGTACAGGTCTTCTTAGTTGATCTAGTCTGATGAGTCATGATCTGTTTTAAGTCATGATCTAGTCCAGTAAGTCAAGATCTAGTGTATTAAGTCATGATCTAGTCCAGTAAGTCACAAGCTAGTGTGTTAAGTCAGGTCTATAGTCGATCAGTTTATCAGTGTGAAACATCTAGTGTGTTAGTCATGATCTAGTGTGTTAAGTCATGATATAGTGTGTCAAAAGCTAGTGTGTTAAGTCACTATCTAGTCCAGTAAGTCACAAGCTAGTGTGTTAAGTCACTATCTAGTCCAGTAAGTCACAAGCTAGTGTGTTAAGTCATGATATAGTCCAGTAAGTCAAAAGCTAGTGTGTAAAATCACGATCTAGTCCAGTAAGTCACAAGCTTGTGTGTTAAGTCATGAAATCATAACTGTTTTTTCTTTCATGATCTAGTGTATCACAAGAAGTCAGAAATTATACGGTAAATGATTAAGTGTTTTGAAGGGTAATTTATGTAGTTTGTTTGAGGGCTATACTTTTTTACACGGTCTTGACAAAAAAGGATCTCATACATGCCCTAGACTGGTTAATGAGTTAGTCTAGTTAGCCATGATTTAGTGTGATAAGTTATAACTGAGCAGTGCAGTACTTTATGGTTTAAGACAGTCCTTTTAACAAAATAAAGTCTACACCCTGATTTTTAATTTTTCTTTATAACAGGCCCCTTTGAAGAGGAAGACGGTGGGAAGGTTTGACTACGACAATTCTCTCACCAACTCCAGGGCCATCAAAAAGTAGGTCATAAGCTAATTCTTGGTTATCCATAATCAACTAATTTTTCATTAAAAATAAATTGTGATTTTATTCATTTATGAGAATAATGATTAAGTTAATCTGTAAATTTGTATATATATTTTTTTTTTAAAAAAAGGTGATCTTTACAATTCATATTTGTATCAGTATAATAAAACAGTTAAAGTAAATCATTGAGGAAGTTAGCAGCTGCAAGATTCCACTTCCCCTGATTCCCAGATTCCCTCGGCGCAAAAGTCCTAGTGTTGGGGAATGCGAATCTTGCTAACTCCCTAAATGACATACTTTAACCGTTTGCAATATTCCTCACCAATTGCTCATGCTTGTATTGTGGTTCTGTTGCATAAAATTTAACAACAGGAATGAATTATCTTTACAGCGCCCTCTCCTGTTCTAAACTGGCTTTGGAGTCGGAGAGTTCAAGGTCATCTGTCACGCCTGATCAGTCACGGACCCTCAGTACATCTGCACCGGCCTCTACAAACTGCCTTTTGGGAAACTTCGAGGTCAGGGGGTCATTTTAATGTTTATAAATAAAATGTTATAATAATTTTTTTAATTATCTTTTCTGCTATATATACTGAGAGACTTGTGTATGGTTTGAGCCATGAGCCTCTGATTTCAAATGAATCATTAAAATTAGGTAGACATTAAAATTAGATATGTATATTCTAAATTATGCCAACATTGATTTTTTAATATATATTTTATATATATATTTATATATAACAATTACCATTTTAAAAAATTGTTGTTTTGCAACATTTGGGGTTTTGCTTGCTCAAAAGGTATGCCAACAACATGGCAGAACTTTATTGACAGGCATACGGTTTAATGATATTGTTTTTTTTACAAATCCATTTTCTAATTTTATCCTATTGGCATTTTTTATATCTGGTACCAATTCACACAAGAGTTTGAGTAAAAAAAAATGCCAGATATGAGATACATTGTTGAACATCATACATATCAAAGTAAACTTCTTTTCATTAAATAATACTTATGTACATAAGGGTGCTAGTTTAGCAATTTAAATTTTAGAGACTAGTTCAAAACAACTGAAATAGGCCAAAATTAACATCCTGCTAAAAAATCCTACTATACAGTATTTGCTTAACATAATTTTACCATAATAATTTTTAGAAAAAACTTTATGGTAATATATTTTAAATTATCTCTTAAATATTACATGCATTGTCAGTCTTTTAACGTATTAATAAATTGTCAGAATGAGCAGTAACTGCAATAGAATGAATCTCTGTCAATTAATTTTCTCAGGATATGAAATCTTTTAAAGTTAATTATCCTTGTTTTATGTTTTTTTTTCAAGTATCAATAACATTTACAGTCTCTTTAGACATATATATGAGAGACTTTGAAATAATTTGGTGTGTGATATCTCTAGGAGTCATTGTTGAATGGTCGGATTGAGTGAATCAGAGTTATAGAGGGGTTAACCTCTGTTAATTTGTTGTGTGATATTAACTTTACAGGAGTCAGTGCTGAACGGTCGGATTGAGTGAATCAGAGTTATAGAGGGGTTAACCTCTGTTAATTTGTTGTGTGATATTTACTTTACAGGAGTCTGTGTTGAACGGTCGGATTGAGCCAATCGGAGCAGTGGAGGGTTTTACCTGTGATATCGGGGCGGGGGGATCCTTCTGTCCTAAACACGTGTCACTTCCTGTCACCGCCTACTTCTTCCAGCTGTCAGACGACAACGCCCCCTCACCTTATCTCGTAAGTTACAGAACACAACAATATCATGTGTACGCAACAGAACACAACAATATCATGTGTACACAACAGAACACAACAATATCATGTGTACACAACAGAACACAACAATATCATGTGTACACAACAGAACACAACAATTTCGTGTGTACACAACAGAACACAACAATTTCATGTGTACAACAGAACACAACAATTTCATGTGTACACAACAGAACACAACAATATCATGTGTACACAACAGAACACAACAATATCATATATTTACATTTGCCAATGTCTTTCCTTATATGACAGTACTAAAAAAATGAAATTCAATTTTCGATGACATGCAGTCGGTCACATGATCAGACTTTCTTGTGTATTGAAAGCAAACTGCATGTGCAATTTGGGAAGTTCCAACTGTGACGTCACATTACGTCATAGTAACGTTACATTGCATTTCAAAATCAAAGTCTAAACAATGCTTATGTTTGTTTGTAAACTGAATGAAAACGTAAAATATAAATATAAGAAATAAAATATCATTTTTTAGAGTTGCATTGGGTTCTGACATGAAGTCGGTACGTGATCAAATCTACTATAACGCCCTTTGGGCATTATAGAATTTGATCATGTGACCGACTTCATGAACAATGCAACTAAAAATGATATCTTATTTTTTAAGTGTACACAACAGAACACAACAATATCATGTGTACACAACAGAACACAACAATATCATGTGTACACAACAGAACACAACAATATCATGTGAACACAACAATATCATGTGTACACAACAGAACACAACAATATCATGTGTACACAACAGAATACAACAATATCATGTGTACACAACAGTATCATGTGTACACAACAATATCATGTGTACACAACAATATCATGTGAACACAACAATATCATGTGTACACAACAGAACACAACAATATCATGTGTACACAACAATATCATGTGTACACAACAATATCATGTGTACACAACAATATCATGTACACACAACAATATCATGTAGACACAACAATATCATGTGTACACAACAGCTTCATGAGCCATTTCTTTTGACAGGCCATATACAAAAGGATTGAGGGGAGGTGTTTTGCACAAATTTCACAACTTCTCAAAAAGTACCAATATTGGGGTACCTGTAAAGTGCAAAACGAAATAGAAACGAAACGAAACGAAACGAACTGAAACGAAACGAAATCTGCCGAAACGAAACGAAATCTGCCGAAACGAAACGAAATCTACCGAAACGAAACAAAACCTACCGAAACGAAACGAAATCAAGACGAAACGAAACGAAATCAATACAAAACCTGGCGAAACGAAACAAAACAAAACTATCAAAATGTTTTGTTGTTTGTTTTTTTTTGTAAATCAAGGTACATGTATATAATTATAAATGTGGAACTATACGTGGACTTGTGGACTTTTTTTTTACTTCAAATAAAATTCATATACTTCAAGCACTTGTTAATATAAAATTTAATTAACGATAAATTATGCTCCCTTCTCAGGTCTAATGATGCATTTACATGTTCGCAAGCTGCAAAGATACACGAGCGTACTATGCATGTATAGTTTCAATATGTGCATTAATTTCTAATTTTTATATCTTACTCTTATTTTTAGTTCTTATTTATCTAGATTCAGCATATCTATCAACATTGATGTGTTATACATGTAAAGGCTTGTTTATGTACGGGTCGAAATAAAGTCACTGTACTGTTGTATTGCGAATGTCCTAAAACATAGGATAAACCAGAGACTTAGAGTATTTTGTATTCCATTCCAAGGTGTCTGTTTTTTTTTGTTCAATCAGATTAACCATGTAACTCCAACCGAAATATTGTGTATCCTTTCTACACGTACATACGGTCCTATTTTTATCGAGGTAATTTTGGAGGAGGAAAGGAGTGGTTGACGATAAAGAAGCTCGACCATAGACGTCTTAAACGATTTAATTGACCAGGGGGGGGGGGGGGGTTTAGCCTCAATCCCCACTATCTTGCAAAGATATATATTACATAGGCATTGAAAACTGGGTTTACCTTTTTTGTTGGTTAATCCACCCCCCCCCCCTCCCCTTCCACTTTCAATTTCTTTCCGACGCCTATGTAGGAACTTGAAGTGAAACAATTGTCTGTGGTGCTTGAACTATATAAATTTCATATGAAGTAAAAATAGACCATATAAGCATTCTGAAAGGTTTGTTTCGTTTCGTTTCGGCAGGTTTTGTTTTGATTTCGTTTCGTTTCGGTAGATTTCGTTTCGTTTCGGCAGATTTCGTTTCGTTTCAATTCGTTTCGTTTCGTTTCGTTTCTATTTCGTTTCGCACTTTACAGGTACCCCCAATATTGCAATGATTTTGATTTCAGACTGCAATTAAGAAATCAATAATTTAATAATAGGAATAAGCTAATTGTGAAAATTTATGGGTTTTCAGGGTCAAATTAAGTATAAACTGATTCCTCACACATTTTCTAGATGGAGAATTTCTTTAATGTTTTTATTTAAATGAAAGCAGTGTCTATTTTTTAAGGTAGTCCGATCCTCAGGTTTATAAAATAAGCAGTTAAGCAATCAAAAATACGCTTAAAAGTATCTCTGAATCCAGAAAGTTATGTAAATCTATCCACAATATTTCTTTAAAGTTAAAGATTAAAGTTAATCATATTATCATGTCAAATCTCCAATATTTTTGCAGAAAAAGCGAATTTGAATATCAGCAATGCCTTTTCTAATTGCAAATTCATCAACAATATATATTAGGTTAAAAAACGATAGGTATCCAGACATTCAAAGAAATTGTCATAATTTTTATATTTATTTGGTATTTTTTATCTTCTATTTCCGTCATGTATTCTATAATACATAGTGTAAAAGGCTTTTGCTGTCATTGCTAGGCTTGATTCAAGAAAATCTTATTTCTATAAAACTGTATTAATATTCTCCTGATATAAGGTACAAACTTTTATAAGACTTTTTCTAAGACTTCCAAAGACATTGAATATTATAAAGATAAATCAAATAAAAATTGTTGCATGAAAAAAATTCATTTTTAAGCTTCATTTTGATGCATTTCAAATTAAATATTAATTTTTGGAGTTATCCTTCCTGGCTGAAGATCGGATATCCTTAACACAACACTGTTTTCTATAATTTTTCAGGGTCATATAAATCTGGAGAGCTTGGGTAAGAAAGGATACCATATACCAAAGTGTGGAACAGTGCAAGTGGTAAGTAACCTTCTGTACATACATATTACTAATAACATTATAATGCAAACAACAATATAAAAATCAAATTTTTTTTATTGGCTAATACTGTTTCAAAAATCAAACTGAGAAGAAGGAAGTGTTAAAAGAGATGTCTAGTGGCATTTTCAAATTCCAACAGCAGGTTATCAAATAGTTTTGTATTTTCCAGACTTTATTTAACCCAAACAAGACAGTCATCAAAATGTTTGTCGTCTTGTATGATCTCAGTGATATGCCACCTCAGTGTCAAACATTCCTACGACAGAGAACTGTGTACATGCCAGTGGAAGACAACAGCTCTCAGCCGTCATATCTCAGATACCTCATACATCTCAGGTGAGATAATTCACAGATACCTCATACATCTCAGGTGAGATAATTCACAGATACCTCATACATCTCAGGTGAGATAATTCACAGATACCTCATACATCTCAGGTGAGATAATTAACAGATACCTCATACATCTCAGGTGAGATAATTCACAGATACCTCATACATCTCAGGTGAGATAATTAACAGATACCTCATACATCTCAGGTGAGATAATTCACAGATACCTCATACATCTCAGGTGAGATAATTAACAGATACCTCATACATCTCAGGTGAGATAATTCACAGATACCTCATACATCTCAGGTGAGATAATAACAGATACCTCATACATCTCAGGTGAGATAAATCAGAGATACCTCATACATCTCAGGTGAGATAATTAACAGATACCTCATACATCTCAGGTGAGATAATTAACAGATACCTCATACATCTCAGGTGAGATAATTCACAGATACCTCATACATCTCAGGTGAGATAAATCTCAGATGCCTCATACATGTCAGGTGAGATAAATACCCCATACAGGTGAGATAATTCACAGAAACCTCATACATCTCAGGTGAGATAATTCACAGGTACCTCATACATCTGAGGTGAGATAATTCACAGATACCTCATACATCTCAGGTGAGATAATTCACAGATACCTCATACATCTCAGGTGAGATAATTCACAGATACCTCATACATCTCAGGTGAGATAATTCACAGATACCTCATACATCTCAGGTGAGATAAATCTCAGATGCCTCATACATGTCAGGTGAGATAATGCCCCATACAGGTGAGATGATTCACAGAAACCTCATACATCTCAGGTGAGATAATTCACAGGTACCTCATACATCTGAGGTGAGATAAATCTCAGATGCCTCATGCATGTCAGGTGAGATAAATACCCCATACAGGTGAGATAATTCACAGAAACCTCATACATCTCAGGTGAGATAATTCACAGGTACCTCATACATCTGAGGTGAGATTATTCACAGATACCTCATACATCTCAGGTGAGATAATTCACAGATACCTCATACATCTCAGGTGAGTTAATTCACAGATACCTCATACATCTCAGGTGAGATAATTCACAGATACCTCATACATCTCAGGTGAGATAAATACCCCATACAGGTGAGATAAATCTCAGATGTCTCATACATCTCAGGTGAGCTAATTCACAGATACCTCATACATCTCAGGTAAGATAAAAAAAAACATCATACATCTCAGGTGAGATAATTAACAGATACCTCATACATCTCAGGTGAGATAATTCTCAGATACCTCATACATCTCAGGTGAGATAATTAACAGATACCTCATACATCTCAGGTGAGATAAATACCCCATACAGGTGAGATAAATCTCAGGTACTTCATACATCTCAGGTGAGATAAATACACCATACAGGTGAGATAAATCTCAGATACCTCATACATCTCAGGTGAGATAATTTACAGATACCTCATACATCTCAGGTGAGCCAATTAACAGATACCTCATACAACTCAGTTGAGCCAATTAACAGATACCTCATACATCTCAGGTGAGCCAATTAACAGATACCTCATACATCTCAGGTGAGATAATTAACAGATACCTCATACATCTCAGGTGAGATAAATACCCCATACATGTGAGATAAATATCACATACCTCATACATCTCAGGTAAAATAAATACTCGTAACCCATACAGGTGAGTTAAATCTCAGATACGTCATACATCTCAGATGAGATAAATACCCCATACATCTCAAGTGAAATAGAATTGAGATTTTTATTCATACATGAGAAATTTTTGTGAGGTTCACAAATATTTTTCGCTGTAAACAGGATCTTAAGTTTATGTGTTAACAACAAATCCAAAGTAGGTTTGATCTTGAAAATTATATGTTGGGAGATATTTTTCTCTAAGTCAATTGAAAAATAATCTGTCAAGGATAAAAGTTGGTTAACAATACCTAATACCTTTTAAATACCTTTGAGTATGAGGTGTTGTGTTTTTCATCCGAGGTGATTTTTAACGTAAAATATACGTGTTATATTTACCTTAGAATTATCTCATATATCATCTCTTTTTTATTTCTTCTGTTTTTAAGGTTTGCCAGTTCTAAATCTGGGAAGATATTCCTTCATACAGACATTCGTGTGTTGTTTGCCAGAGACAAGTTTGAATTTGACCCAAATGTCGCCAAATATGAACTCCGGTCCTTCACAGAAGCTCCTTCTAACCCGAAGTTCTCTCCCCGGAGGTGATGACGGCCTAATCTAGGTCAAATTAGGATACAAACTAGGTCAAATTAGGATACAAACTAGGTCAAATCTAGTTATAAACTAGGTCAAATCTTGTGTAAACTAGGTCAAATTCAATATAAATTAGGTCAAATTAGGATACAAACTAGGTCAAACCTGGTTATAAACTAGGTCAAATCTTGTGTAAACTAGGTCAAATTCAATATAAATTAGGTCAAATTAGGATACAAACTAGGTCAAATCTGGTTATAAACTAGGTCAAATCTTGTGTAAACTAGGTCAAATCCAAGATAAACCAAGTGAAATTTTGTGTAAACTAGATGAAATCTAGTTTTAAACTAGGTTAAATCTGGATTTTACAAAACCATTATTTCACTGAGGTCATGTCATAAGCTTTTGTTAAGACTGTTTGTGTAGCTCAGATTTAGTTAATTCGTTGTTGACATACCTAATTTAATTTAAGGCTTGAACTAGGTCAGTGTATCTAGGTTTTTCCTGGTTATGTATGTTAATGTCTATATGGTATATATGTCATATTTTTTGAAAAAAAATCATAGATAACATTCTGTGTGTGTGTTGGGTGATATTTATTTATATATGAGAATAAGTGAGCGGTTGATTTTTTTGTTACGAGTAGTAAGGTTTATTGTTTTACATCTGCCATCTCGGAATACAAAGTAACAGATTTGTAATATGCGAGATATACTACATATTAACTTTGATGTTAGTGCTGAAAACCTATACCCGAACTCTATCAAAAATTGTGACAATGTTAACTTATAGTTACATGTATCAATGTATCCCTATGCATTGAAAAGAAAAGTGATGGTTCCAAGTTCTTACCTATTTTTGAATAGTTCCAAAACAATGTATATATAAAAGTAACACAAGTACAAAAATGATCTCCTCCTTCTCTCTCTCTCTCTCTCTCTCTCTCTCTGTACACAAAATGACAGTGTTTAATGTTAAATGATACTTTGTTTTATATGACGTCTATGGTGATTTTTGTTTGATTGTTATATGATTTTTGATTTGAGTTTGTAATTTTATTGCTTATTATATTATTAATATGTTTGATGACTGTGTAAACATTTTTTCTGATATAAACTTGTGTAGAAATACAATGTTCTTTGTTGTCATTCTAAATACTTTGATTAGTCAAGGTTTTGTAAAACACATCCATTATACTTTTGCATGGCCATTTCAAGCCCATTTTTCAACAACAACTTCTTATAAAAAAAAAAGTAAATTTATACATTTTAATTGCTTCAAAACTCAAATACAATCTTGTATCTTCAATATTGAAAAATATGCATATACAGTAACATTTCAAAAAAAATCTTTTCTTTTAAGTCTCACTTTGAAATATTTTATTTTAAACAAACATCCACCACTTTTACTAGAGTTAAAGCCATATATGGCGTATGTGCAGTGAAAATTATTAGACTAAAATTATAAGAACTTATTAATATTTGTATCATTACTTTATATAAAGATAGAACTTTTCTGTAATTTACAAAATCTAAGTCAATTGCGTTATAAAGATATCTCAATTTAAATTTGATTCTCGGAATTTTCTCCGTATCGGAAAAAATACAAAAGATTTAGATAACACATTACATAGAAGATAAAATTGTATTTTTAGACGAAAAAAGGTGTTCTCCGTGTTCAGAGTTATATGAAAAGCTTTAATTTGAATGTATTAACCTCACGTCAGATACAAATAGGTAGCTCATTTCATTGTCCCAGAACGTACCCTTTCATTTCAAAACTTGAATTTAATTTTTTGCAGAGAAGCAATTTAAAGAATGTAAACAATGATTTGAAAGACACTGTACAATGTAAATGAATAATTTACAAGGCTTAATCATATTATGTTTCAAGCGTATGTTTATCAAATGTATCCATTGATCACTAATTAAATGTAAATTTCATTATTCTTTTTTCGACTCGACAATACATGATTTTGAATCCTCTGTTTCCTGTAGATACTTGTACACTGATATTGTATTACTTAACATGTCTCCCACATAGAGGTTGTGTTTGTCGTCCACACACAGAGCCATGGGAAAGTCTAGCTCATATTCTCTTGTCAGTAGGAGACGCAGGAACTGACCGTCCTGATCCAGGAGATGGACACTGGAATTCGATGTATCACACACCAGTACCTGTCCCAGGATATCAGTACAAATACCACTGGGATGAAAGCCAGACTGGTGCTGACCTCTGTAGTTAAACCGATGTCGTCCAGATTTATCCATCACCACAACTTCTTCCCCAAATCTGTCAGAGACCCAGATGTCTCCATTCTTGTTTTCTGTGATAAATGTTGGATAATTAAACCCAAACTCCAATTCTATGCGATGGTTTCCCCTCCAGTCACACCTCAACACTCCATGTTCATAACCAATCAGTATGTCACCGTTAATGCGGGAGGAGTGGATACAGTTTAACCATTCACGTTCACTGAGAAGTGTAATGATGGTCCCATCTAACACCATCTTCTGCACCTCATAGCCATTTACAAATATCAGGTCGCCATTCTCTGTGACGGAGTGGGCTCCTATTATGAAACTATATTGATCATCATTTTCCATTTCCTGTATAACGTGTCCATTGTAGTCCACCTGTAATAGGCGGCTGTAATCACTGACCCATAATCTTCCTGATGTCACACATGAGATATGACATACCTGGTCGAGTTTGGGTACAGTTATACTGGACGTACATACAGCAGACGAGTCCAAATCTATGAAAGCATTAAAAATACCGTTAGAACCTGTTTTGGAAAAGTTTTTGTCACAAGATATTCCATGTAATAAAAACATGAACTACTAATAAACACACTTATCAATAAATTAAAGTAACATGACTTGTTGTTACTTTTTATTTCTTCCGTTTCTGAATCACTTTATAACATCTATATTTACTAAACAGGTATTTCGACAGGAAAATATCTAAAACGTTTTCCTATGACTGAAGAAATCACCAGTTATATCGATGACATTTGGATTACTTTACCGGCAGATAGGTTTCGTTTTTAGCTCACCTGAGCCAAAGGCTCAAGTGAGCTTTTCTGATCAAAATTTGTCCGGCGTCTGTCGTTGTTGTCGTCGTTGTAAACTTTTCACATTTTTGACTTCTTCTCAAGAACCACTGGGCCAATTTCAACCAAACTTGGCACAAAGTATCCTTAGGTCAAGGGGATTCAAGTTTGTTCAAATGAAGGGCCACGCCCTTATTCAAGGGGAGATAATTAAGAAATTATAAAAATTTGATGGTATGTTTCAAAAATCTTCTTCTCAAGAACCACTGTGCCAGGAAAGATGAAACTTATATGGAATTATCCTCAGGTAGTGTAGATTCAAATTTGTTCAACTCATGACCCCAAGGGGTAGGGCGGGGCCAAAATGGCCGACCAAAAATTTACATAGAAATACATAGGAAAATTCTTTAAAAATCTTCTTCACAAGAACCACTGTGCCAGGAAAGATGAAACTTATAGGGAATTATCCTCAGGTAGTTTAGATTTAAGTTTGTTCAACTCATGACCCCTGGGGGTAGGGCGGGGCCAAAATGGCCGATCAAAGATTTACATAGAAATACATAGGAAAATTCTTTAAAAATCTTCTTCTCAAGAACCACTGTGCCAGGAAAGATGAAACTTATAGGGAAGCATCCTCAGGTAGTGTAGATTCAATTTTTGTACAAATCATGACCCTGGGGGGTTGGGTGGGGCCACAATTGCTGATCAAAGTGTTACATAGAAATATATAGTAAACATTCTTTAAAAATCTTCTTCTCAAGAATAGCAAAGGCATGAATGATCATATTTTTATAGAAGCATCCTCAAGCAGTGGACATTCAAATTTTGTTCAAATCATGACCCCAAAGGGTAGGGCGGGGCCACAACATGGAATTCAAGTTTTACATAGAAACATGTAGAAAAAAATCTTTTAAATTTTTTTCAAGAATAGCAAAGCTATGATTAGTCCTGTTCATATGGAAGCATTCTTAAGTAGTGTAGATTCAATTTTGTTCAAGTCATGACCCCTTGGGGTATAGGGGGGGGCACAATGTAAGTTTAATTGTGAAGGACAATAAAGCCACAGGTAATCAAAGAAATATGCATGCATCCTTAGTAAGTGAAGATTCAAGTTTGTTCAATATTTTTAAATCATACCATCTCCCTTTTAAGGATTGGTTTAGACCACTACTGGGTATAAACTGATTTCTGCTTTTTCCCTATCCACATTGCTCAGGTGAGCAATGTGGCCCATGGGCCTCTTGTTTTAAATGTTTTTCAAAAAAGTTATGGAACCATAAATGATATGCCCACCAAATATCAGCAAGCCAAAAAAATCTACTTAAAACACCCCCTTTTCATTTTAATCGCAATTTTAAAGAAGTTTGATGTGAGAAAACTACAACTTGGCGAAAACACACGAGAAGGGATGTTTCTTTTGAAAAATAACTTTCAGCCATAGGGTTTGTTGGTTCATCTAACTAAAAAAATAAAGCATCTTTTCCAATCTTTGCAACTCCGCTACAAGCACTGCTCGAAATTCAATTTTGTGTCGTTTGTCTTGAGCTATGCCTTCATTATTTCTTGAGCCTATGAATGCTGGATTTCAATTGAGCTTTTGTTTGATTGTATATAAGGATATAACGAACTGTATTCAATTTTGAATGTCTACTAAGCAATATAATTTTTTGTGCAAAGCAAACATGGATTCATTTCTAAAACATCAGAGGTGGGATGAGGTGCCATGGAGGAGTGAGTAATCCTTTGCTTATCGATCACACCCACCGTGTGTTCCTTCTCACAATCGATATGAACAAATTTAGTCAGCATTTGACATAATGATAGATTGTTTTTGATGACAGTGTCATAGTATCGACAAAAGAACTAACGAATTGATGACAAGTTAAACGTAACTGCTGATATTTTTTTGTTTCTTCAACTTGTTTGTCAGGATTTGAATTTGAAAAAAAAAATCGTACTTAGGAGAACTGCCAATACAAAGCTTAAGGCCAAGAAGTTTTGTCTGTTTCTCAAGACAGTAGTAATGAAAGAATGACTTGTATCCGCTATTGAAAATTGTCATTTCAGGGTTCGTGTGGATACTATCGAAGGAATTTTCATAACTTTTTTCAACTGACACATATCTGCATATTTATTGCAAAAAAGAGTTTAAATATATTTCAAACCTTTTAAGATATTTCCATCCTCACAATTTTAATGTTCAAAGTACAAAAACTGGGCTTACCATATTATTTAAGATGCAAAACATAATAAACAGAAATGTATTACAACATTAGAAAATCGCACCTTTTTTGTAAACAGTAAAATATGCAAAAACTGGTTAAAATGTATAATTCTGAGACTGAATGTCCCTAAATACTTCCTACTTAAGGTGGCTCATTACATCCACAGTTTATTTTAGATTTCAATACAGCATCACTTATAATATAGATGTCAAATATCCAGATGGGGGTAGTAATATCAAAAATATTTTTTATAGAATTTTTTATTTTTTGTTTTATTTTAGTGAAATGTTTTATTTCAGGTTTATTATTCACAGAATTTCAGAACTTTCAGTGTCAAATGATGGACATCTTCTTAAGACAAGTACACAAAGTGAAAATACCTCATAATACCTGATAATAATTTTATTAGAAAAAATAATTTTCTCCTAAAAAACACTTAATGTCATTATCTTTTTAATCTACGCATAAAACATTTAAAAAGTGTGTTCTGAAGAGACAGAGAATGTATTTCAATTAATTACATGTGTCAAATTGAATGAAGAATGTTTAAACGAAATGGAAAATCAGAGCATGAACAGGATACGATGGTTAAAACTGCATTTTGAGAAGAGAGTATTTGACAGTGGTACATTTCATTAGTAGTTTTAATCAACTTTGTAGCAAAAATCCTTTGATTTGCAGTGACCATGCTTCATAAAGGTGCCTGTTCAATTACATAATTCAAAAATTACAGAATGACAGCGAGCCAGATGGTAAGACACCCCCAAACTTTTTTCCCATTTTCCCAATCTTACTACTCTTAATTGAAAGTCTGGTTGCCCCCCCCCCACCCCTTATAAGTGATGTAGTATAAAAACTCTCTTTTCAAAATGCAGTACCCAGGGGTATTTACTATCACATCCTGTTAAAAAAATTTCCATTGTCAAAATTCAACAAAATTAGGTGATGATTTAATGTTAAGTATCTTTACGATGACTTTCTTTGTCAATTTAGCATGTTCAGATATCCTGTGGCACATAACCTTTAAAATAGCAAACAGTTGTCCATATTTAGTAAGCGCTCTTTGTCTTGGAATTAAAAAAAATAACACATTGAAAATTGAAGCAAGTAAACTTCAGTTGTTTTATAAATAGATTATGTCTTTGTATCAAATTTATTAAAGTATAAATTGAATTAACTTATTTCCAAAAAAAACCATTAACAAATCAAAAAACGTAAGGTAGCCTATGGCGAAATTCACAGTTTTTTCATTTCAAATTAAACTCCAAGAACAAGGTCAAGGGATTAAATAATATTGATAACCCAAGAAAGATTTTTTCAGTGGATTTAAAGGCACGTAGAAATAGAAGGGAGAGGGGGGCAGGGGGCTGTCCCCCACATTTTCCCCCAACCTTACTTATACTATAAGAAATGTTCAGTGAAAGGCTGGTTGTTCCCCTCCTATTAGTGATGTACGAAAAATGTAGTATAATTTTAGTACTGAAAGTAGTTAACATTGAAAAAAAGTTTACTTTCAACCCCCACTCCCCCATCCCCATCTCTAAGAAAGGAGGATATGGAAATAACGAACAGTATTCAGTCTCAACGTCCATAAAACAAATATACAAAATAAGAGCAGAGCAAACACGGACCTCCGAAACATCAGAGGTGGGATTAGGTACCATGGAGGAGTGAGCATCCCCTGCCGACCGGTCACACCCGCCGTGTGCTCGTTGTCATAATCAGGAAATAACGGAATAAATCCGTGGTCAATTCAGTGTATAAATAATGGACTAACAATTGGTATGAAAAACGTCAGTCAGCATTTCATTCAATGATAAATTGTATTTTCTGACAAGGTCATTGCATATCGACCATAGAATTTACGAAATGATGACTTTAAAGGAGACTGTTGGTATTCTTGTTTCATCAAATTGCTTGTCAATAATTTACCTCGTTTAAGAAATTGTTCATACGTAGAGCATGCTCTTGCGTATCGAATCAACTGAGATATAAATACTCCGTATGCAGGTGATGGAGGTATATTGCTGCATAAGTAAGGGAAGTTGACGATAGAAAAGTTAAAGTCTTCACGTGCATCATATAGCTTAGTAGTTAGATTACCATTAGTGTCTTTTTCAAGTAAAATATCCAAGTATGAAGCAGAAGTGTCGGACTCTGTGGTATCTTTTATCTCAAACTCACCAGGATATATCGTGTCGACGTAGGAATTGAAATTATCATTATTAATTGACAATACGTCGTCGATATATCTAAATGTCTAGTTGAAGGCCACAGCAAGTGTTTTCTTCTTTTCACGCAAAAGATTTTGCATAAATTCTGCTTCATATGAATATAAAAATAAGTCTGCTAATAACGGAGCGCAATTTGTACCCATAGGAATTCCAATAGTTTGTTGGAATACCTGGTCTCCAAAAACCACATAGATATTGTCAATCAGAAACTCAAGCATCTTCTTGATATCAACTTCACAGTACTTATATGTGCAATCAGAATCTGTTTTAACAAAATGATTTTTCAAATGACCAATGACGAGGTAAGTAAACTTACGAGTTCCATTTTTGTTGAAGAAACAAATAAATAAATAAATAAAATAAGATTTTCGACTTTGGGCAGGTTTCATTTTTTTCGTTCTTGCTTGTTTTTTATTAGGTATAATACATAAGTTAAAAAAAATCTCTGGCTGCCCCCCCCCCTTTCAAAAACGATGCTACGTGGCTAATGTAATACTTGTTAAAGATATATAAAGCCCAAGCACTTTCCATTCAAATGTTATGTTTAAGGGTAATATTTTCCAAAATCAAGGTACAAAAATCAAAATAAATGACAAAGATCAAATGATACTATCTGACCTAAAATAAAGACATGTAAAATATGATGTAGTATAAAAATTGGAACTACTGAATGTAGTTGACAATGAGAAAAAGTTGGTCTTTAACAACAACCCCCCTCCACACTTTTCCTATTGTTTTGTTTTGCTTGTTAACTTTTTTAGGGTAAGTAAAAACATTCAAAAACGATGCTACGTGCCTGCATTGTTTGTATTCGAAGGAAGGTCTTACTACAACCAATACATGTGTTATTTTAAAGCCCCTGAAATGGCAAATGTGTAGATTTTTAAAATTCAATGAAAAAAATGGATAACACTCTAAGGTCAAAGTCTACATGGCAGAATTGTTTTCACCAATGAAAATATTTTGTCATGACGCCAGTTGTTTAAAAGTTTCAGGAAAAATTAAAGATTGTATTTATTTTTTTTTTTGCAAAATCTAGGTCAAATATTTTGGTATCCAGGGATAGGAGTAGACATGTTTAATTTGAAAGGAAAATGGCTTCAACCAAAAGTTTTGGACAAGGTTAAATTTATGCGAAGAAACAGACAGACAGATGAACAGGGTTAAACTATAGTTCCAACTTTTTGGAGCAGGTCTCTTATCAAAGTTTATGTAAGGCCTATTTTGAACTTTGTCTGTATGATACATAAAAGTGTCTTAGTTTGTTTCAAATGCTGGATCTGACCGATATTATCCTGTGGGTGAACAGGTAAAAAATTTTGAAGCAGATTCTTTCCAAGATTAAAATAGAATCAACTAGGAGAAAAAAATTAATAAACAGGTGAAAAGGTAAATATAATTACTACATATTAAATAATAAAAATTGACCGTTGAAAATTGAAGTATTCACGTTTATCATAGAATATTTTAGATTACCATTACGTCTTTTTGAAGTAATATATCTAAATATGAAAAAAATGAATGAAACGTCAATGAATGACGTCGGGTCTATGGCGATCCATTGCAAGTTTGGCCTAGTGGAAAACAAAAGTAAAAGAATATGTGCTCGAATGTGTTTTAAATTATTGGAATAATAATACTTCATTAACGCAAGATTGGTTTAAAAAAACGATTCACAAGAATCTCTTTTTTGTGGTACTGGTATTTGCTGCGAGATTGAAAGAGAAAAAAATACCAGAGACGTCATATTGACGACAAAGTTTTCAGTTTAAGTAAATATATAATCCCTTATTATTATGTGTCAACTTATGGAAAAATATAACGCTAATCAATTTTCACGGGTATCGGCGTGGAATGGTGCCCGTGTTCTTGCTGGTTATTTTGCATTACCTTTGTTTATATTTTATTGCAGTTACGTTTATCTTTGTTGTTTATATACTACACTGACTTATACAACTATAATTGTAGACGTATTTAGTATCTTATTTAACTATATTAGACGAAGTATTACGTTATTAATCTCGCTACAGAGTTCTGTATAGCATGTGTCCGTCTTCTACTGGTGTCGACTGAATACACTGAACAGTGACTAAGTTTTGCCCTATTTATAGGGGTCTGCAGAGCAGAGAGACTCGGGAACAGAACTGGTGGACAGATCCCTTTTACGAATCGTGTTCAGCTTTAAGAAGTCAGCGTTTTCGTGAATGTTGCAGAATAACCTCCGAGGTCGAGATATGTTGTTTGAAAGATGAAAGCCAATGAGTTAGCGGTTATTTCTATTCTACCATGTATACTACAATCGTTAAATTTACATGGATACTTATTAATGCTAAAATTAACTCACGTTGTTTTGAGGAAATTTGATCTGTTTTTGCTGTTCTTCTTTGATCATTAGATGCACTCATAACCTTTTCTTCTGCATCAGATAGATAATCATATTCTTTATGTGGCATCATCTCGATGGTGCTTTTGGTTTGCAAGTCTGCTTCTGAATATAATGACGAGAATTCTGTCAACTTATCATAAAAAGCATTTCATGAAGGATATGGAGATAACGAACAGTATTCAATCTCAAAGTCCATTAAACAATACAAAATATAAGAGCAGAGGTGACACATGCAAGCAGTATGATAAATCAACACCTGTATCAAACAGAATGATGAATGAACACCTATATCCAGAGTTTTGAACATTTAATCATTAAAAACTGTATATACGCCTACCATAAATACTGAAACGTGTACAACTTCAATTCAAGGATTTCAAAATGGCAAGTTCGGTGTTGATCCCAGTACAATCTGCATTTCATTGGCTGATTTGACTTGTTTACTGTTCTTACCAACTTTCTGCGAACATATGAATCATGAAATGTTCCTGCAAACGTGCTGCAAACATTAAATTGGCGTGTATGTCTTTTGCAATGTTCCTGCAAACATTTTGAGTTCCATGCAGCAAATTTGCTGCAAGCTTGCAACAACTGCTGTTAATGTTTGCAGCAAGATCACAGTTAGCGGGAATCATCTGCGAACAAGAAAATTTTCTGTCTGCTAACAATTTGTTTTGCTTCAAGCTTGCAGTAAACATATCAGATTGGTGGGGACATTCTATTGATTCAATGGACTTAAGAGATTGATTACTGTTTGTTCTGTTATATTTCTCTGACAATTAAAATAATCCATAGCCCTTGAAGAATTCTTATGAAGGATATGAAGATAAAGAACAATATTCAATATCAAATTTCATAAACAATACAGAATAGGAGCAGAGCAAATAAGGACCTCCGAAACATCAGAGGTGGGATCAGGTGTCATGGAGAAAAGAAATTTTCATGGAGATACTTATTAGTGCTTAAATTAACTCACGTTGTTCTGAGGAAATTTGTTCTGGTTTTTCTGTGCTTGGTTGAGATGCACTCATATCCTTCTCTTCTGCATCAGATAAATAATCATACTCTTTATGTGGCATCTTCTCGATGGTGCTTTTTGTTTGCAAGTCTGCTTCTGAATATAATAACAATGACGAGAATACTGTCAACATAATCGAAATATGTATTTAATGCAAACGGAATAATGATATATTTGTACTGTGTTTATAATGTATAAGCCTGTGATATCATTTTTTTTTTTGTTGATTGTGCACAACATATTGGGGGTAAATCTAATTAAAATGTTGTATGAAACATATGGAGATAACGAATATTCTAGTTCAAAAGTCCATAAAACAATAAAAAATAGGAACAGCGCAAAGTCGGACCTCCGAAACAACAAGGGTGGGTCAGTTGCCATGGAGAAGTGAGCATCCCTTGCTGACCGGTCACATCCGCCATGTGTTCCTCGTCATGATCGGGAAATAAAGAAGGATATCAAGATAATGAACTGTATTCAGTCTCAAAGTTCATAAAACAATAAAAAATAAGAGCTTTCAGCTTAGGTGAGCTAAAAATCCATATCCCTTGAAAAATCCGGTAACACTTTCTTGAACATTCCAGAGTGGTCCTTTTTCTAGAACATTTGTCCAGGATGTTAAAGTAATAACATATCTTAACAACTTCTAGAATATTCTAGATTTAAAATAATGTATAAATACCCTGTAAATTGTAAGCATGATATTCATTGTAGTGTAAGCACCATTGATGTATAAATAAGATTGGCGAACCAAGAGACTGGGACACTGTGTGCAAGAACGGACACTCTGTTGTATGTATTCTTAGATTCTTGCTAAGTTTGTACTTTATGTAATGGTTATAAAGCCGAAAATTGTCCATCATGTCAGATATTAGACGACCGAAGGCGCGTTAGCGCCGAGGAGAGTCTAATATCTGACATGATAGTCAGTTTGAGGCTTATAACTTACTTAAAACATTTCACAACTGTCGAACACTTCCATTGTTAACTTATTGGACAGCCACAGGTAAGATCTCATTCTGCTTGGATGACTACCTGGTATTGTTTATCAAATTAGACCAAGGAATATCAGTTTTGGTTTTCTTCTGTCTTTATTAATAGTACAAATCATCGAGAGATGTTTTTTTTATCGATTAATATGAACATTAACTTTTCTTAATCTTTAGTTATCCGCATTGCGACATTTTTTTATATATACTAGCCATGCGTAAAAGTCAGTTCTACTGAATTCTTTACATTCATTCATTCAATCTTTATTTCCTCATAATATGAGATTATTTAACAACCATGAAAAATCAATTATTCATTATACACAGTTACGCAAAGAAAATAATCAAACAAAAAGAAAACGAAAGTGAAAAATAATTGATTATATACAACATATTACATGTACTTCATACAAGAGGAAAATTGTCAATTGTCCCCCACTGGCATATGCTGATGCATCGCCCTGTAGAAATGTGCCGATGCATCACGTATAAGTTGGAAATTCTTTACTTGGAAATCTGCAACGTCCTGTTCTGCTAACCAAGTGTTAGGAGCGCGACCAAGGAGTATGAGGTAAAGATCTTCTTCGGTGAGTGCACATAGTTCAGCTGAAAGTTCGATACAGAAGTTGTTTATGATATCCCTCCACCAGTTGTTCCGGATGTCCGAAGTGATAAGGCACGAACAGCTGACATGGACGAACAGGTCACGGAATGCAGTCCCACATAATTGACAACTATCCACCGAGTCACGCGGCGGTTCAGAAAGGAGTTTGCATACGAATTTGTATAAACGAATTTCATAGCAATTCTTTGGTGTTCGCCAGAAGGAAGATGGTTCATTATTACAGAAGACTGAAAGAAACCTTGAGAAATCGGTGTTGTTCTCCATACGACATTGTCTAAGTTCCTTCTGTTTTCTGCTTGTTGTAGATCTAATAATGTTTTTCCAAGTAAACTTAGAAGGGAAGACGCCGTCAGCAACCCACTCGTACAGGAATTGAAGAAGATCATATACACACAGTAAGTTAATGACATCTGGCACAAATCCTTGTTGGCAGTTGCTTAAGTTAGCAAAGAAGGAAAATAGACGGACTAAAAATATTTTGTTTGGTAAGATATTGCAGTTCATACGACAAAGACGTCCAAAGAACAAGAGTTTCCTTACGTCTATCTCAGTACATATTGGAAGGACGTTGAAGAGGCTTTCACAGATATCGGATCTAGTTTGGCGTGGAAGGTTCTGTGAGGACTTGCATACAGAATGTTGAAAAACATGAAGGCGTTGAGAATCTGTCGTTGATAAGTTATTCCAGAGTTCGCAGCCGTACAATACAGAAGGCAGGATGACCGATTTATAAAGATGGACTAAGGTTAGAGGATTAAGGTAAGGAGATCCAATGTCTGTGAGAGCATAAAAGGAGTTCCTTCCTTTCCTGCAGGCAGCGTTTATTCGATCCGTTAGGGAGCAGTTCCGGTTAAGAATAATTCCTAAATGATTACAAGAATCCAGGCATGGAATAGGAACATCACCTAAGGTCCAGACGTGTTGCTGGATAGCTTTATTGCCTTTAGCTCGGAATCGAAGAATACAGGATTTGGATGCATTGAATTTGAAGCGCCATTTTCGGGAATATTCAAATGCGATGTTTAACATGATTTGTAGAGAGTTAGGTGCTAAACCTATACATGAGATGTCATCTGCCAGTGAGGGACAATTGCTAGTAACATTGAGTAATTTCGTACATGCTGAAGATTGTTCTAAAGTATTAATCAATTCATCAATAAATACTAGATACAAAAATGCAGATAAGACACCACCCTGTCTTACACCTTGTTGAACAGAGAACCATCGAGACTGTGTTTGGTTAACAATTACAGCGCTTGACGTTTTATAATGACAGTCATTGATAACAGACCAAAACCTGCCAGTTACACCTAAACTGTACAACTTGTAAAGAAGACCATGTCTCCAAACAGTATCAAATGCTTTAGAGCTGTCTAAAAAACTTACATAAACGTTACTACCTTGTTCCAAATAATAATATACAGTTTCTTGTAAATTAAAAGAGGCGGTTAAACAGCCTAATTTTTCTTGAAACCCCTGCTGTTGCTTATTAGGAAAGGGATGGTTACAAAGGATATGGTTCTTAATTCTGCAGTTAATTATGTTTTCAAAGATTTTGAGAAAGCATGACAGTAAGGCAACCGGTCTGAAGCTATTAGGAGATGTTTTGGGTTTGTCTCCTCCTTTGTACAAGGGAACTATAAATCCTTGCTTCCATGCTTGTGGTATCTTCCCATGTAGTATTACAGCATTAAAGACTTTAGCAAGACATTGGTATAACTTACCCCCACCAAAAATTATGTGTTCGTATGTTATTTGGTCAGGACCCGGAGCTTTTCTTCTTTTGAGTTGGTTAACTATGAGCGATATTTCTTCTGCAGTAATGGGACCACCGGGAATTTCTTCAGACATCTTTGAACATTCTTCTTCAATATGTTTAAAGCTGTTCTCAATATACAGTCGGAATTCTTCATCAAATGCATCGTCTTCTGGCGGGGTATAAATCTGTTCATAGTAACTTGCAAAGGCTTCAGCTACACCTGCAGGGTCATTATGAATAGTTCCATCTTCTCCATGTATTTCGGGGTAAGTCCGCGATGTTCTCTTTTTTTGCTTCTTCACCAGCTTCCAAAAAAGACGAATGTCACACTCAGCTGCGGAGTCAAGATCGTGGTAGACGTTTTTCATGTGCCGTTCGTACTCCAAGTCCAGGGCAGTACGGAATTGTCTCTTGGCACGCTTATAATTCTTGTAAGAATTGTGGACCATCCCCCTCGGTCTTCCTTCTGCAATCCAAATACAGCGCAGTCTGCGTTCGTTGGTGTGCAGATCCTTAACTTCTTTTGTCCAACCTGGTCGTGTATGTGGATTGAAGCCTGAATGCGGTATGGTACATTTTGCACAGTCCAGGAGAATGTTGGATATATCATGTATAAATATGTCTGTTTCGGTCACATTTTGCAGATCATACTGCATTTTGCCTTCCAAAGCTTCATTAACGTGAGATTTATAGTTCATAATAGCGTCAGAGGATGCCTTATGCCATGCAGGTAATCTTGTTTTAGACAAGAGTAAGGAATGTTGAGAGCATTGGAGATCTAAATTGGCTAAAACAGGGAGATGATCTGAAGTAATTGACATTGAACCTTCGTAATATATTTTGTACATTGAAAGTTTGTCGATTAAGCGTTTGCTAAATAAGACATAATCTAACATAGTACATTTTGGCATAAAAGAAAACTGTTCACCTGTAACATGGAAGTCTACAATGGGTATACCAATATCATTCCGTTTAATAAACCCCCTGAAAAGATTGTATTTTGCAACATTCGTATGAAGTGAACTAATACAACTGCTGTTAAGATCACCTGCTATTAACACATTACCATATTCGCTGTAGTATTTATACAAACTTTCTAAAACATTGAGTTCATATACATAAGAGTTTATATTACCATCTGCGGGTAAATAAGCCCCAAATATGTACAACCTCTCAGTGCTTGTATTTAACTCGACTCCAATAATCCGGTTGGAATCAATTTAAATTTCTTTACATGAGTATTCTAGGGATTTGCTAATCAATAACGCAATCCCACCTTTACCTATAAAACATACATGAGAGTCCGTATACACTTCGTTGACATCTACTTTGACAATGCTGTAATAGTTCTTATGAATAGAGTCTAAATATGTAGAACCTGTATGCTGACTCTTAAACTTGTGTTCTGAAAGAACAGCTATATCACAATTAGTATTATCTAACAAAGATGCTAAACACAATGTGGAGGACATTGCACCTCTGACATTCCATGCTAAAACACGTACCATGGTTGCTAGGAATATACAAACAAAGACAGATTTTACGTACATGTACATTGGCTGTGAAATAAAAACGTTTTTATTAATGGACATAGTTAGAATTAGTATCCTTTGTAAACCTCTTGTTCCCAGTCTTCTGGTGTTTGCGGAGACGCGCATTTTTTCTTCCCATTCACGTTCACTCATCCATCTCCTACACCTTATACCCGCAGGCCAGAAATTGGGGTTTTCGATAAGGTTTGCGTATTGCAACGGTACGTTGAGTTTTGCGGTAAGAAAACTCCCTCTGTATTTTGGTTTGAAGAGGATGAAATGGGTGATTTTTACACCATTGTGTTGAACGTAATTTTGGATACCAGAACTAGTCGATGTTTTATCAATTCCGGATAGGTAAAAACGTGCTGTTTTCTTATATGTCACCCCTTCAAAAATGTCTTTTTTGTCTTTGGCCTGATTGGAATTTTCCAATGTATCGTCTACCGTTACGACGCACGACTCTCCATTGTACTCAACTGATCGACACGCTTCTTTTGTGAAGCCCTTTGATCCGGTTCCAGAGGATTTCCTTGTCGATTCGATTCGCGTTTCTTCCTTATTAGACCGTGACGAGATTACGGTTTCACCTGGTGGGGCACACGGCGGGTTGTCAATAGATAATGTTCTACTAATTGGCACGGACACAACATTAGATTCTGATATATGTATTTCATTCCTGATTGCATTAATTTTTGAAGCTATATTCTCTTTCAAAGTGGTAGGAATTTCGTTTTCTGGGTCCACAAGGGGTTTTTGTGACATAGTGCTTGGGTGTTTTGTCAGGTCAGTCGACGTGACTGCATTCGCGTAAGATTTAGCCGGGCTATTTTTCTTATTACTCGTATTAGCACAAATTTTTGAAAGTCTTTTGATCTCAGATTCGGTTTTATCTTGCAATGAATTGATGTTTTGAATGTCTGATTCTGTGCGCTTGAACCTTTCTGCTGTGAATTTCTGTGAGGAATCATACTTGGTAAACCTTGATGAGGCCTCTGCTCTAAAATTGTCATAATCGAACTGAAGTTGGTCGTGTTTTGATTGAAGAGATTGAACTGTGGAATTCAACGATTCAATAATCTTAGTTTTACTGCTTACAGAACTCTCTAATTCAGACACACGTTCAAGCAGAGATTGAACAACAATCCTAAGCTCAACTATGTTGATTTTAGAGACATCAGTGCCATTACCCTTTTGTTTATCAAAAATAAGTTCAATACCGGCCTTATCACCTTGCATAAACATAAACAGAGTAAAGCAGTCTTTTGCGTATTTCTGTGCACTTGAACTAGCTTTTGTTGATTTTCTATTTATGAGATTTCCTTTGGGACAGTCGTTTTGAGTTTTTGCGCGTGCACAAAGAACATTGCGATACCAAAATATCATGTTTTCATTGTTTGAACACATTTGTAATAATTTGCCCACGTATACATCTTTTGGCAAGTTCTGAAGTTGGACATCTAGTTCTTCAATATCTGATTGATTTAATACTACATCATTGCAAGAGGATGCTTGAGAATTACCAAAACTACCAAAGGTGTTGTTTTGCGTTACACAGTGATCAATTGTGTGTTCATTGTAATCACTACTCACAGTTTGCGATGTAAAAATGCGTGCAAACTCATCATTTTCCTCAGGAAAATTGTAACCTAGTGAATCAGCTAGCAAGTAACTGGCTTCGGATGGCTGTTGGCTCAAATGTGGAGCACAGGAGTGCTGAAAATTCGTCGAGTTGTCTAAATTTTTTTCTTGGCACAAAACACCACCTTGACCGGAAGCGGCCATTTTTTTTTTTTTTTTTTTTTTTTTTATACAGAATAGGAGCAGAGCAAATAAGGACCTCCGAAACATCAGAGGTGGGATCAGGTGTCATGGAGAAAAGAAATTTTCATGGAGATACTTATTAGTGCTTAAATTAACTCACGTTGTTCTGAGGAAATTTGTTCTGGTTTTTCTGTGCTTGGTTGAGATGCACTCATATCCTTCTCTTCTGCATCAGATAAATAATCATACTCTTTATGTGGCATCTTCTCGATGGTGCTTTTTGTTTGCAAGTCTGCTTCTGAATATAATAACAATGACGAGAATACTGTCAACATAATCGAAATATGTATTTAATGCAAACGGAATAATGATATATTTGTACTGTGTTTATAATGTATAAGCCTGTGATATCATTTTTTTTTGTTGATTGTGCACAACATATTGGGGGTAAATCTAATTAAAATGTTGTATGATACATATGGAGATAACGAATATTCTAGTTCAAAAGTCCATAAAACAATAAAAAATAGGAACAGCGCAAAGTCGGACCTCCGAAACAACAAGGGTGGGTCAGTTGCCATGGAGAAGTGAGCATCCCTTGCTGACCGGTCACATCCGCCATGTGTTCCTCGTCATGATCGGGAAATAAAGAAGGATATCAAGATAATGAACTGTATTCAGTCTCAAAGTTCATAAAACAATAAAAAATAAGAGCTTTCAGCTTAGGTGAGCTAAAAATCCATATCCCTTGAAAAATCCGGTAACACTTTCTTGAACATTCCAGAGTGGTCCTTTTTCTAGAACATTTGTCCAGGATGTTAAAGTAATAACATATCTTAACAACTTCTAGAATATTCTAGATTTAAAATAATGTATAAATACCCTGTAAATTGTAAGCATGATATTCATTGTAGTGTAAGCACCATTGATGTATAAATAAGATTGGCGAACCAAGAGACTGGAACACTGTGTGCAAGAACGGACACTCTGTTGTATGTATTCTTAGATTCTTGCTAAGTTTGTACTTTATGTAATGGTTATAAAGCCGAAAATTGTCCATCATGTCAGATATTAGACGACCGAAGGCGCGTTAGCGCCGAGGAGAGTCTAATATCTGACATGATAGTCAGTTTGAGGCTTATAACTTACTTAAAACATTTCACAACTGTCGAACACTTCCATTGTTAACTTATTGGACAGCCACAGGTAAGATCTCATTCTGCTTGGATGACTACCTGGTATTGTTTATCAAATTAGACCAAGGAATATCAGTTTTGGTTTTCTTCTGTCTTTATTAATAGTACAAATCATCGAGAGATGTTTTTTATCAATTAATATGAACATTAACTTTTCTTAATCTTTAGTTATCCGCATTGCGACATTTTTTTATATATACTAGCCATGCGTAAAAGTCAGTTCTCCTGAATTCTTTACAATTTATTCATTTTTCTTTTGTGTGCAGGTTTCGAACTCGGAAGGAATTTATTCCAGCCTCTCCTTGAACCAACGAGAGATATTCACTCAAGGAACGCAGGAATAGGTGGACAAATGGTCATAAATCACCGGACGAAATTACAGATTCCGTTGGAATTTCGTGAGCTGAATTTTGCAAAATGCGGAAAAATGGACATTTCAATAAAGAAAAAGCCCAACATTTTGTGTAACAAAACACATGCTTCTCATCCATTTGTTGTGTCCATTGGATCCTGTATATGTTTCATGGATTGATCATTGTGAAATGAATCTATTATATAGCACTGAACGTTGAATTTGGTACATTTATGATCGGAGCCACGGATGCGTCTACAATAATGAATCTGAGACATTCAATTCACTGGATTATTTGCAGATACATTGCAGGTTCCAGTAAATGTTCAACCAAGCCTCTTTCGTTACTTCTCACTAAAATATTGACAGTAGTGAAGGAAAAACTTTAAGAGTACTGTACAACTATATATTCAAGAAGTGGTGTAAATCAGATGTGGATACTAACAAATTCTAAAGAACTTTTGGACAATTTGAAATCACAAGACTTTACAAAAATCAACAGCATAAAAACTTACGACTTTTCAACTTTATACACAACAATTCCCCACGACAAATTAAAATCCAGACTTTTTGATATCATTGACAGCTGCTTCTTCAACAAAAATGGAACTCGTAAGTTTACGTACCTCGTCATTGGTCATTTGAAAAATTATTTTGTTAAAAAAGATTCTGATTGCACACAAAAGTACTCTGAAGTTGACATCAAGAAGATTCTTGAGTTTCTGATTGACAATATGTATGTGGTTTTTGGAGACCAGGTATTCCAACAATCTATTGGAATTTCCATGGGTACAAATTGCGCTCCGTTAAAATCAGACTTATTTTTATATTCATATGAAGCAGAATTTATGCAAAATCTTTTACGAGAAAAGAAGAAAACACTTGTTGTGGCCTTCCATTTGACATTTAGATATATCGAAGACGTATTGTCAATTAATAATGATAATTTCCATTCCTACGTCGACACGATATATCCTGGTGAGCTTGAGATAAAAGATACCACAGAGTCCGACACTTCTGCTTCATACTTGGATATTTTACTTGAAACAGACACTAATGGTAATCTAACTACCAAGCTATATGATAAACGTGATGACTTTAACTTTTCTATGCAGCAATATACCTTCATCACCTGCATACGGAGTATTTATATCTCAGTTGATTCGATACGCAAGAGCATGCTCTACGTATGAACAATTTCATAAACTAGGTAAATTATTGACAAGCAAGTTGATGAAACAAGAATATCAACAGTCTCGTTTAAAGTCATCATTTCGTAAATTCTATGGTCGATACAATGACCTTGTCAGCAAATACAATTTATCATTGAATGAAATGCTGACTGACGTTTTTCATACCGATTGTTAGTCCATTGTTTATACTCTTAATTGACCACGGATTTTTCCCGTTATATCCTGATTATGACAAAGAACACACGGCGGGTGTGACCGGTCGGCAGGGGATGCTCACTCCTCCATGGCACCTGATCCCACCTCTGATGTTTCGGAGGTCCGTGTTTGCTCTGCTCTTATTTTGTATATTTGTTTAATGGACGTTGAGATTGAATACTGTTCGTTATTTCCATATCCTTCTTGTGCCATTTTTAATAGAATTTTTTGAGAAATATTAACATTTAACGCTATCAATTTCCTACATTGTCCATATTAAATTGTTTGATTTGTTATTGCCTTTTAAGTGCTGTTTACTTAATTGCCTCGCCCTTTGTCCCCATTTTTACGTTACCTGTACCTGTCCAATAAGTTGAATCTTATTGGACACCTACAGGTAACTTATTGAACGGGGTGCAGGAACAATAACAAACTTATTGAACCAGGTTTAACAAAAGATGACGTCACGAAAATGTTTAAAAATTCATATATTTTACTGTAAATAAATTATTGTTAAGTTAAATGGTTTGATTGATCTTTGCTGGCATTTAGGGTTATTCTGATCCATAACAATTTAAATGGGGATATTTATCAGTGCTTAAATTAACTCACGTTGTTTTGAGAAAATTTGTTTTGGTTTCTCTGTGCTTGGTTGATCATTAGATGCACTCTTTCCCTCCTCTTCTGCATCAGAACGATAATCATATTGTGTAGGTGTCATCTTCCCGATGGTGCTTTTGGTTTGAAAGTCTATTTCTAAATAGAATAACAATGACGACAATACTGTCAATTAAACCAAAAAATGTGTTTAATGCAAACAGAATGATGATATGTTTTACCATGTTTATAATGTATGAGCATGTGATATCCATTTTTATCTTGGCATTTTCACATAGTTCAATCTTTCTTGATAATATGCAGGATTTAACTGCTAAAAACTATATATAAAAGGATATGCAGGATAGTTTTCACATTGTCATGGTTAAAAAATTGATACTTAACGGCAAATCCATGCCCATGGGCCACATCGCTTACCCGAGCATTGTGGCTAGGAAAAAGTAGAATTTGGTTTACTATTGAAAAGTTTAAATCAAAACGTTTGGCCCCGCTCTCATTTGAACAAACTTGAATCTACACTACCTGGGGATGCTTCCATATAAATATGAGCAATTATGGCTTTGCAGTTCTTAAGAAAATTTTAAAAGAATTTTCCTATTTATTTCTATATAAAATGTTGGTCGGCCATTGTAGCATCGCCCTATCCCCGGGGGGTCATGATTTGAACAAACTTCAATCTACACTACTTGGGGATGCTTCCATATAAATATGAGCAATTATGGCTTTGCTGTTCTTAAGAAGATTTTTAAAGAATTTTCCTTTTTATTTCTATATAAAACTTTGGTCGGCCATTGTGGCCCTGCCCTACCCCCAGGGGTCATGATTTGAACAAATTTGAATCTACACTACCTGGGAATGCTTCTATTTAAATATGAGCAATTATGGCCTTGCTGTTCTTGAGAAGATTTTTAAAGAATTTTCCTATATATTTCTATATTAATTATTACTATATTCCCCCGAGGGTCATGATTTGAAAAAAAAATCAATCTACACTACCTGAGGATGTTTCCCCATTAGTTTCATCTTTCCTGGCACAGTGGTTCTCGAAAAAAAGATTTTTAAAACATACTACCAAATTTTCACTTATTCTCAATTAGGTCCCCTTGAATGAGGGCGTGGCCCTTTATTTTAATAAACTTTTATCCTTTTACCCAAGGATGCTTTGTGGCAAGTTTGATTTAAATTGGCCCAGCGGTTCAATAGAAGAAGTCGAAAATGTGAAAAGTTTAAAAAAGACAGCTAGACAGACAGACAGACATACGCCGGACAAAATTTGATCAGAAAAGTTCACTGGAGCCTTCGGCTCAGGTGAGCTAAAAAAATTGCATTTTCAAAAAAGGAATCTTTTGCAGAGTGACTACAAATTCCACCTCGGAAACACAATTCTGGAGTATGCTTCTTCCCACAGATATTTAGGTGTAATTCTTATTTATATCGATATAACGATATATATATATATATATATATTTACCTATCTCGACATTACGATATTGCATTGATTTATCATCTTACTTTGATCAATATATTTTAAGTCGATAATTCTTATAGCAATTAAATTTTATAAGGTGTCTTAAGTTATCTAAAACTTGAGGTTCTATATGCATCTATTGTATATCCAAATATTTCTTATGAAAAACCAAGTAAGAATGGTTTAAGTTTTATTGATTGAACTTAATATTTTTGTAAAAATTGAGGTCTTTAAACATCGCAGATTGCGCGTACGGACCAATCTAACGTTAAGCTAATTTCATTATAACGTCAAACATTTAAATTTTGACTTAACACATGTTCATGGACGCACACTAAATTTCTTTTTTAAGGCGCAATGTACTTCAAAGTGCTAGTAATAATCCTTATGTATAGATTAAAATTTATTTAATTTTTTAGATTCAAAACAATGCACAAAAAATTACGAGCGTCATCGAAATGTCATATGGTGTAACTTTCTTAATTAAAGTCACAATACGTGGATACGTATATCTCCAGGAAACAAATAAATACAGTTAAATAGATAATAATTAAGGTCTTCCGTTTCCAACGGAAGACCTTCTACTGATTCTGATGATTAAGATTATTCTTATTATTCTTTTTTTTTTTCCTTTTCCTAGACGCCAACTTTGAGGCCTCATATTTCACTCCTTTCCCAATGGATTTTGCTCAAATTTTCAGAGTTTATGAACCTTGCTAAACTCTATCAGAATGCTATCAAAAATTTTAAAAAGTCACTTCCGGTTTTGAGTTATTTCCCTTTAAACAAAAATTTATAGGCTTTTGTTTCCAGACAAAGGTTCAGAGACGGCTAAAGCTGGAGCAGAAATTTTACTGATTTTACTTAATACAAGGATTGAAATTGTGCATGGCAGTTTTTGTTTTTCGATTTCTCTATTCAAAATGGTGCTATATAGGGGTAAAAAATTAGAACGCCCAAAAGAGCGAAAATTTACACATATTTTTCTTTTTATCTTCTAAACTAAAAATATTTTGTTAAAACATATAGAACAAAATTTGTGCAGAATTACAAGATCTTTCAAATGATATCTCTCAAAAAGGACTGACCCTTAAATTAAGGGATCTAGAGGGGCCAAAAGTTTTTTCCAGATATCTCAAAAAGTATTGAGAATTTGTAATACATCCAAGAAGCAAGGTTGTTCATATTTTCAAGCTTCATCTATTGAAGTCGTCAAAATGTGTCTGGCGACGTCACTTCCGGCCAAACCGGAAGTAGTCAGAAAATGCATATTTTTGCTGTTCTTGACAAGTTTTTGGGTAACATATGTCACTGGAAGCATATAACTAAATTTTCCGTCCATCGACATCACTTCCGGTCAAACCGTAAGTAGCCAAAAATAGTTTATTTTCTAAAGTTTTGATGCAAAATTGAAATTATAAAGTGACTGGAGACGACAAAAGTCATTGCTTTCTCTTATTGACGTTACTTCCGGTCAAAACAGGACGGAAGACCTACTCGTTGCTTTGCAACGAGCTCTGCTCTAGTATTTTAATAATTATTCGTCACTTCAAGTGCAATATGGTATGGTATATATATATATATCATCAATGGTGGTCTACAATAAATATGAATACCTTACGTACCCTTCATTCACACATTAAATATGTAACTGAAATTTATATCATTTAATTCAGAATTTAATTTACTGATTATAAAATAGATTTAAAAAAATCTACCATGGAGACAGAATTTATACACTCTTATTCATATAAGCATAGGTTACATACGATGTTAGTCAGTAGTAAAGTCTATCTCTGAGAAGGTTTTCATACGAAGTGATAAAAATATTGTTTCATGCAAGGGTTAATAAAATTCGCGCCAGCCATGCGCAGTGACTGGAAAAACCAGTCAAACACACCCATACGCATTCCATACTCACCGTATGACATCAGAGGTCATAAACTCTCACACCATGAATGAATGAATGAAATGACGCATGCACATGTAACCATAACAGTACATAGTAAATAATGATCCAGTGACGTAAATAAACAGCGTGTATACATAAACTGCACAGCCCAGTACGACCCTGCGCTAGTTTTATAACAACGTCATGAATAGAAATTTCCATTTTCTGTAATTTTTTTGTGTTTTAAATTCTTGTAGTGTCATCAAATTTGTATACACCGTTGAAAAATCGTATATTCCAATCTGAAATTGATACCTAAATATATTTAAATAATTTTGAGTTGTTTCAACAAATATTTTGTCCTTTACATCGTTTCAACCGTATAAAAAGATTTTTTTATCGGACGCTGCCCCGTGCAAACTGCTGACGTCGCTTTTTTGTCGAGTTTTGACACATATTTGTAAGGGTTTTTGTTTAGCATTTGTACCGTCTATATAGTTAGCGATACTTAAGATATCATAAAATGATTACAATCTATTTATTTGTGTTACATAAACTTTTTTATTAATTTTTTGACTTGTCTTATATAGAAAAAAATGTTTTAATCTGAACACTTTATATTAGAGTTTATGTCATTTTAACCTTGGTCCGTGCGCACTATCCGCGACCTTTAAAGACCCAGATTTTTACAAAAATATAAATAAAGTTCGTGCGAAATGTTTTGATATACAACAGATTTGTATTGAACAATTTATTTTAACAAATACGTAATTGTCCACGAACTTTTAGGAAAACCCTCGAAACATATTATATGTTGTTGCAACAATAAATCGTAAGACAATATATAACGACGTTCGATCCTGATATTTAAAGTCTTAAACTTTTTTTGCCAAGTATATTTTTAGTTTCTACATACATAGCTTAATTAAAATTAAAATCAAAAAATGGGGGGTCAATATACTTCTTTTAGCGCTACAGTACATTTAATATGACCTTTCTGTACTGAAATTTGTGTCTTAATTAAACATTACATATTTGACGTTTTCCCTCCAACATTTTTATCCAATTAAAGCATGAAACAAAATGAACTCTAAGTCTGTTTAAAATAAGACACTTAAAAATTGTGACTAAGGAAAAGTTTCAAATTTCTTCGCATAATCAATTATTTGACCTTTCTGCACTAATTAAATGTTATTTTTCCGGCATTGAAAATATAATAAGCAAGAAAATTATTTTTAAGTCTTAAACTTTTTCAGATTTTAAGCAAATAGGTCAATGTTATCTTGAATATTTAGAAAAGAACATCAAAAGTGGGGGTATATGATGTTCATTTTCAGACATTACTAAAAAAGTGTAAATTTTACATTAAAATTTGCTCAATTTTTTCCCAGATTTCAAAACATATTTACTATATTTGTCATACTTTGTTGATAGAATTCATAAGAAATAATGTAATAGATATTTCAGAACCAGCATAATATATTTCACTGCAAAAAAACAGCTTTGTGTGCAACCAGCATGGAAAAATAGGCATCCAAAATTAACAGTTCTGTTATAGTTCAAGTGGAAAAAACTGATCATTTTCGTTTAAAAAAACCTTCCGCCACAAAATATAGTCCCTATCTTAATTCTATTTAATTTTATGAATAAAGGACCTGCGCGAAATACGGTCAAAATATCAGGATCGAACGTCCTTAAGTGTAGAGACCTGTACACTTCCGGATTCCCATAAACACTTGAATTTGATTTGGAACTTATTCGTAATTTTAGTTTTATATAAGATACCAGTGGCCACCATTTTATTACATTTTTTTAAACTAGATAATTCACATCTACTTCAGTTTGAATTTCTCTTTTACCTTGAATGGCTATGTTGATATTTGCTCCGTCACTTTTAATTTGATCAACTTTGAATTCTGTTAATTTAGTCAGTTCTTGTGGTGTTTTCCTTGAAAATATTTGCGCCAAGTTCTTTTCCATTTCAATTACAATGATGAAACTATTGTCTGGATTTATACGGACAACTTTTATAGATTTCTGATCACAATCTATAATATCTGCCACTGTTGCAATCAAGCGATCCAACTTTGTAAAGTTTTTAATGTCATCTACCACATGTAGCTCTATACATGAGGAATCACGAGAAGCTAAAAAAAATATATGTCTATACAAGCATTCGAAAATTTATACACAGAAATAAAAATCAAACTGAATAAATGAATTTTAAAATATGTAACTAAGGATCCTAACAAAAACTAAAGATTAATGTAGTTAACTATTGTTAATTATAGTAAACTATAGTTAATTATTGTTATATAACTACTCAAAGTGTCAAATTTTTCGCATTGGTTTTCAAAGTGTCAAATTTTTCGATAAAGTTTATCAAAGGGTAAAAGTTTTCGCCAAACTTTTTCAAAATGTCATTGTTTTCGCAAGAGTTTTCCAAAGTGTCAAAGTTTTCGCTTAAGTTTTTCAAAGTGTCATTTTTTTTTTATTAAAAAAGTTTTTCAATGAGTGAAAAATTTTGATAGAGTTTTTCAAAGTGTCAAAATGATCAAAATATTAAATCATTTTTTTCAAATTTCAAATTGTCAAAGTGATCACTCAAGTTAGCTATAGTAAACTATAGTAAACTACACTAAATTAAAGTATTTTTGTTAGGGAATACCAAATGCTAGAAAATTAAATCGGACGAGGTTTTCCTTCTCAGTACTGTAGATCACTTAATTTTCACGACACCTTATTTTCCCGAGATGGTTATTGAGTCTTGATTACCGAGACAAATTTTTCACGAATTTTGGTTATTGCTCACGAGAACTAAATTTTGAGAGCACAATGTTTCGTGTAATTTCGCAAAAATAAAGTTATTACGAATAAAAAGTGATTCACAGTATCCGATTTCTTTTCCGATGTTTCCAAGAGCAGTGATTTTACTTAATAATGTTTGTTTGATATCTTGTCTTAATTTTTGTTGTTATTTTAGTTTCTAAGAAGTTAGTGAGAAAAAAAAATTATGGAAATCATTAGATAATATACAATTATTGACTTTTGATGAGGTCTACTCGTGACGATACAGACCTGGTCAGGTATTGGTTGACCGAGGCCGAAGGCCGAGGTTAACCAATACCTGACCAGGTCTGTATAGTCATGAGTAGACCGAATTCAAAAGTCAATAACCGTTTTATTAAATGATGAGGAATTTTACAATACTGCTGACTCTTTCATTCTTGCCTCTATCAAATATAAACATCCATAATGTAAAGTGTAATTACACTTTTTACATGTTGATATATTTCAACAGCTAAACAAATATTAATCTAAAAGTTAAAAACAATATTAATAAACAATAAATACTTAACCATTTACTTTCAAAAGTTCGTAATCTCCTTGGTAATGGCGTCTGACATGTTTACATTCACACCGACATATGCTTTGAAACACGCAATCTGATTGGTCAAAAAAGCTGTAAGCAAATCTATGGTTGGTCGAGAGGGAAAACCCGAATAAACCTCCCAGAACGTCATATGAGGTGAACTCACTCTGAGGTACACACCAGTAAATGGCGTCTAGACCAATCAGAGAGCACCAAAATTCCTTATCATTTAATAAATGTATATATAGTTGTTATGCATAAGTCATCGTGTTAGATAAATTTACATTACCAGGTTTATTTTCCTTAAAGAAACACACTCTTCCTTTGTTTGAGGTCGCATATTCAATACATTTCTGCTCTAAATCTGGTCTTTTGATCTCCCTCATTAGGTCCTGCATGGTAATCATGTCTCTATCCGTGAAAATTCCCTCATATATCAAAAAATCTATGAACTTAGCTACAGTGTCTGCCCTCTCCAAAGATTCTTCATTTAGGCTTTCCTTTGGAACTATTTCTTAATATGTAAGAATTGATTATTAATGTTCTTAAATAACTGCCGATAATCCACGGTGTCATCAAATAGTGTTTTTCATGTACTTATATAAAATTTAATGCATATACAAATGTAGTGATTGGTTTACCTTTTAAATATTTCTTAAGTGAGACCATCTCTTCTTCCGAGATTTCTGTTTTCAGGCAGTTTTTTAAGCGGTAAAAACGCCTGTTTGCCCCATCATAATTATAGATGGCAGAAAGGATACCTTAAAAAAATCAAGAAACATTAGTCAATGTTTTAAATTTTGCATCCTTTTTCTGTACAGATGTAATTTAACAATGACATAAAATACTATATCCTGCAGTAATGTATCTGATCATTTTAATTAAGAAGAAGCCAATGTGCTTTGGCACTGATCTAGTCATTAAGTTCTGTGTGTTATACAAGTACCCCGAAAGCAAATGCAATCTATTAATTATTATGCTAACTGACGTTCTTTATATTAATTGTTAGACCATTATTTATACACTGAATTTTCTACTAAATAACCACACGGAAGGTACCACCGCTCGGCAGGGAACGCTCATTCCTCCATGGCACCTGATCCCACCTCTGATGTTTAAAAGATCCGTGTTTTCTCTGCTTCTAATTTGTACTGTTTGATCTTGAATACTGCTCCTTATTTCCATTTGTTATACCCCTATATAACAGTTCCTATGTAACTATATGCGAAAAAGATCCAGTATTTTGACTGTTCCGGCGTTTGAACTGTAAAGTTCGACTGTTAAAAAAGACTATTGACAGATGGCGTCATATGGCGCTGAAATGATTTATCTTTCCTGTCATTTGGTTAAAAAAAATGGCGGATTAACGCTTCGAAAATGCTTTAGAAGAGGAAATTCAGGCTATTTTAGAATATAGGGACAGCAAAAACACAAAAAATGTAGTGAAAACAGCAGAAAACATTCTTAACGATTATCCTCTGACATGTGGCTTTATCCCTTCACCTGCTGAAAAATAAATCATGCCGTGATTTAGTAGAAATTCTCAGAAAATTTTACTGTGCCACTAAGAAGAAAGACGGTAACCGGTGCGCTTAAAAAATCCATGATTTCCATCAGATACGGTCTTCAAAAATCAAATGAAAAATCACATGCTGTTGATATCATCAACGATTCGAAGCTCAAGACTGCGAATGATGTTTTCTTTGCTGCCATGTTTCAAATCAAAAAAAGAGGGCTTAGGTGAAGTGCAGCACAAAGAAGTAATTAGCGACCAAGACTTGGAGACATTGTACAGTAGTGGAGTTTTTAGCTGTGATACACCCAAAACACTTCAGCACAAATATTCTTTGAAATCATGTGCTCATATTTTAATTCTTTGCTGAACGTAGTCAAATACTCATATTTTCAGCAAATTTCAAGAACATTGCAATTTCTCATAGCATGTTTTCAAATATCTGGATTCTCAACACGAAATTTCATTACAGAACATGAAAGCACCAAGTGTTTACTTTATTTTGATATATGAAAATGGAAAGAGTGTGATAGTTAATTAATAGATATAAGTACAGGGCCATTTTATGCATAAGATGACTCTTGCTCTTTATGTACATGTACATGTCATGCCTTTTAACAGTTTTTTAAAAAACATTTTCTTATAAATTTTGTTATTTTTTTCTGCCCTTAAAATCATCAAAAGGCCTAAACTAAATAACAATATACAGAATGAAAATATATTATCACGTACAGTGTACATCAGATTTATCTTGTTGTAACTTTGTATCTTTGTTTCTAATGCTAGGTAATCTAAATTGTCCAGTTATGAGCTTCAAAAAGTAACTCGCTAAGCTAAATATGGAATGTGACTCTTTATGAAGATAGATGTCACTGATCAGTCCCCTTTATGGTTTGACAACATGGTTGTTGGGAAGAACACTTTAGGAAATCTGATGCAGAGGATCAGCAAAGATGCAGGGCTTTCATGTGTTTATACCAATCACTGCATTAATGCTACCTGTATAACCATGCTGGATGAATGTGGGTATGAATCTCGGCACATAATTGGTATATCTAAGCACAGGTCTGAAAGTAGTTTGAAACACTACTCCACAAAATTAAGTGATTCCAAAAAACGCACTATGTCGGATTCCATGGCTGCAAAAGTATCTACATGCAAGGCCACACCAATTCTACAACCCCTGAGACCAATTGAGAATAACAATATAATGCCTCATAAAGCCTCGACTACATCTATTCAAGAACTCTCAGACATTGTAGATGTAGACTACAGAGACTTGGCCGCTATCCTTGACGATCCTATGTTTGGAAACTTGCAAAATACAGGTATCAGCATTCCTAATGCAAAATCTGTGTTCTCTTTACATGGGTGCAACATTACTATCCACAATCACTGAATTGTTCAAATTACATGTAAATTAATTTAAATCGGTCATAAAAAGATGATTTTAACTGTGCTGTAACTGATTATTAACATTAACATACTGGCAATCTTGCTTTTTCAAAACCAACTGTACGAGGGTTGTCCAGAAAGTTCATGGACAATGACGTTTTTGTTAAATCAAATGGTTCTACATATATCAAAAGTATATAAAAATATTCCTCATGAAAAAATAAGTCAGAATGATTTAATTTTCACTAATAATATTTTTGTAAAAAGCGGGGTCTTTAAAAATTGCAGATTGTGCGCAAGGACCTTTCTAACGTTACGCTAATTTCATTATGACTTCAAGCATTTGGATTTTGACTTAACACATGTTCAAGGACACACACTACATTTCTTATTTAAAGTGCTACACACATCGAAGTTCTAGCAATAATCTTTAAGTATAAATTATAATTTATTTAATTTTTAAAATTCAAAACAATGCACACAAATTTACGAGCGTCATCTAAATTAACAATTTGTATATCCAAACTGAACAGCCCTGTCAGACGCTGTGCTAGATTAATAACAACGTCATGAATAGAAATCTCCATTTAAAGTCAATGACATGTGTTTTTAAATTCTTGCACTGTCTCCGAATCTGTTCACACTGTTGAAAAATCGTATATACAAATCCCAAACTGATACATTAAATATTTTTCAATAATTTTGAATTGTTTTAAGAAAAATTTTGTCTCTTACATAATTTCAACAGTTATAAAACTTATTTTTTTTACCGGACGCTGCCCCGTGCTGACGGGCGACGTCACTTTTTCTGTTGAAATTTTTGACACGTACTTGCTAAGGTTTTTCTTGGTGTATTTCTGTTGTCTATATTGTAAGCAATATTTAAGATATATATAAGATATCATGAAATGATAATAACGTCTTTATTTGCATTACATGAATTTTTTTTTAAATTTTGACTTGTTTTTATAGAAAATAATAATTTTAATCCGAACTCTATATATCAGAGGTTACATAATTTTAACCTTAGTTCGTGCGCACTATCCGCGACCTCTAAAGACCCCGATTCTTTCAAACATATTACGTTCCATCAATAAAAACTAAATCATTCTGACTTGTTTTTTTCATAACAAATTATTTTGATAAACAACAGATTTTTATAGAACCATTTATTTTTGCAAATACGTCATTGTCCACGAACTTTTTGGACAACCCTCGTTTATAATAATTTCGTATTTTATTATTTATGTGCTGTTGAAATTATTTGTTACAAAATGTGAGGATTGGGGATTAGAAATTGACTCATGTTTATTGACGAAAATATTCTATACACTTCAAAATTAATTTTGTAGTAATAATTCTTATCATAAAACATTGTAAATGTATATGTTTATTTATTTTCTTTTAAAGTTGTTATTGTTGAAATAAATCAACATATTTGATGTGTAATTATTGACTTGTAAATGTGTTATGAATTGCAGCTCTAAATGCATTTAATAAAATGTAATCTTCTACAAACATTGATTCAATTTCCTGACTTATTACAAGTACTATAAAACCATATTTATATGTTTATTATGTATAGGTATAACAAAACAGTTGTTAACAGGGGTCTCGGGCAACAGATGAACTCTCGCACCAGTGTTCAAACTGTTGCCTTCGACCTTGTCCAACAGTTTGCACACTAGTCGGACAGATCAACTGTTGCCCGAGACCCCTATCAACAACTGTATACATGTAATACTTCACTCAAACACTGCATACATTTTGTTAATCAGAAACTTCAGAGTACAGAAATCATACTTCAGAGTGGTTTTATTTAACAAAATAATTATGCAAAATGATAATTGATAAGTGTAATTGTCAGTGTTCTTTTCATTAAAAAGAAAGCAGCTGTCTACAATATCAAAAAGCCTGCACTTTTAATTATAGTGGGGAATGGTTGCATATTTTGTTGAGAAGTGGTAAGTTCTAATGTTATCCTCTTTTCTAAAATTTTGTGATTTCAAATTATGTATTGGTCTTATGGAGTTTTTAATTGTATAGACCTAATTCACATCACTTCTTACATAAATTGTTGTTCATTACTTCTTTACTAATAATATAATGTAAATATTTTAGTAAGTTGTAAAGAAAGAGAAAAGAAAAAAAAATGTACAAAATGTCGACTTTAAACGCTTCCCTCGTCCTTCAATGGGAATCGAACCCTAGATGAAAGGATTAACTCAGTACTACGCTACTCTTTAGTTTTTTGTCTAAATTGTGAATTCTAAAACGTGGGCGCAGGTCTTTGTTCAATTCCAAATTTATCACTTTTAATATGTTTTCTGCTGCTCTTAAAATAGACCTACCTTAAAGTCAAAAATGAACTGGGTGATTTTTCCGCTTTTATGCCCGAGTCTGCTCCGCTCCCAGTATGCATAGCTTCATTGGACTTAATGCCTCAATAGTTAAATATTCTTTATCTTCAAATTTCTTTTTCACTTACTCACCTTTCATTATAAGTATTTTCATAATCAATATATCATTCTTACTTCCATTTGTGGAACTGTCTTCTCGGTTCCATGGATGATTTCCGTCTGCAAGGAGTAGAGTTCCTACCAATTAAAAACGAAATGCTTACATGAGGAAAAAAAAATAAAAAAAGAAAAAAGTTTGTTCAAAAACATCCTTATGAGAGAAACAACTCAACGGATCGTTTTTCAAGTCTCCGCCTTTTCTACACGTTGTAATTGCGCTTAAAATAACAATATATAACAATATCCATTTGAAAATAATTCATTTAGTGTTTCTAAATTTCAGAAATCAGAACATTTAATAATTTAGTAGATAATGGCCTTATCAGGAAATACAATAATTAAGTTGAATATTGACTGACATTTTCTTACATGAATTGTTTAGTCTTTATTTTCAAACTGAAATGTATGAATTTTCCGTTTAGCCTATCATGACAACTACCACTAGGCGGGTGATACCGGTCCACAAGGGATGCTAAATTCACCATGGCGTCTGATACCACATGTGATGTTTTTAGAGGTCCCAATATGCTTTTTAGGCTTTTTATCTTGATTACTGTTCGTTAACTTTATGTTTCATTCCTACGTAATCTCTTCATTCTTAATGTTTGAATAATTACTTGTCCTTTTGTTTCAATGGATGTTTTTCTTCTGTTTTAATAAAAAAAAAAGACGTATATAAATGATAAATTATTAAAGTGTAAGATGCGTCATTCATTTAATTTATTCTAAGCGGAGTTTTATGAAGAGAATTATTTTTACAATTGACGACTGACTTTTACAATTTTAACATAGACAAACTCCAGTCACTAAAATGTAAAAGCCAGCTGTCAAGTGTAAAAGTAAGTCTCTTCATAAGACTCCAGCATTCATTCTTTCTCTAACTTTAAAAGTACCGCTTATTAATCAATTATATAAGTCTTCAAAGTTGAAAAGAATCTTTTCAATGCTAGTCCTTATTTTAGTATTTATAGTAACGCAGTTTTGTCAATAATGTTAATTATTTCACTGATACATTAGATGAACTTGCATTAAATTCTGCAAGTGGTAATAAAAATTATACCCTTATTGTCCTTTCTAATGAGAAAATTCTTTACAATCATACTTAAGTTTTTTTTTTCAATTTTAATATCACAAACAATTAACTGTCGATCTTTTGAAGGTCAAGGAACTAACCCCCCCCCTTCCCCCACCAAAAAAGCCCCCAAGATTGATGATTTTGCAGCACACTACAAACTGTTTTAAAGACTTTTTACTCATAGGTAATTACCTTAAATGTAACATGCTACTTATTTGTCAACCTGCGACCTATTTTATCATAATGTCAACATGCAAGATAATAATCATGTTTATCTCTCATAACATAATTATCTTGCATGTTGCCATAAATAAGTTGCATGGTGACATAATTATATTGCAAGTTGACATAAATAAATTGCATTTTGACATTATTATGATACATTTGAAATCTTAAATGTTAGATACAGGCGTAAGTAAATTTACACATATTTAAATTATACTTTGTTATAAGATTGATAACTTGCATGTAAACATTATCAACGTGCATAATCAATTTGCATGTTTACATAAATATGTAACTTGTCTACATGATTATGTTGCATGTAAGCATAATTCATCTTGAAAGTAGGGGGCATAAATATGCCACCATAAAGTTTAAATTAAAATACATATATATTTTCTGTGAAAATGAGGAAAATGGATTAGTTGCAGATCGATGTAAACTGATATCCATATGAATAGCAATAGAAATGTGACAAAATTGTTAAACCCCGGTCTCGAAAGCTAGTGTCCCTTGGTATTAGTTAATACTTTCATGCATCATAATAAATAAAAACCTGCTCTTAAGGGACTCCGAAACTCAGCCAGGAAGGACAACTTTTTAATTTATAATTTAATTCAAAATATTTCAAAATGAAGCTTGTAAATTAAATATTTTCATGCAACAATATTTTTACCCATAAATGACACACGTCAGGAGAACTGCGCAACAGTGAAATTCAAAAAGTGGTGAAAAGCAGATGTGGATACTATAAATCTTTAGAAAAAAAAGTTAAGAAAATAAATTCCAGAATAATAAACATCAAAACACGGTCTATCTAAGCTTGAATTAAAATAAACCACAGAGTCTGATACACCTGTTTCATATTTGGAAATTTTACTTGAAAAGGCGTAAATGGTAACAAAGCTTTACAAAAAAATAAATAATGTTTTATGTAGCTAAAATGATAAAAATGTATTGCAGCATAAAGATATATAATTTAATTGGGTTTATATCTCTCCAGTTATTTTAATACGCAAGAACATGCTCTACAAATGAACAATATCTAAAAAGAGGTAATTCATTGGCAAAGAAGTTAATGAAACAAGATTCAAGTCATCATTTTTATCAGTTCTATTGTTGATAAATGGCCTTGACAGCAAATACAATTTATCATTGAGTCAAATACTGTCTGACGGTTTTCATTGTTAGTTTATTCTTTTTAAACTGAATTGATGACGTTATTTCCTGATTATGACAAAGGGTGTATGGCTGCTGTGACCGGTCGGAAGGGGATGCTCACTCCTCCATGGCACCTGATCCCACCTCTGTTGTTTCGGGGGTTTCGTGTTTGCTTTGCTCTAGTTTTGTATTGTTTTATAGACTTTGATATTGAATACCGTTCGTTATCTCCATATCAATCATTCATCACGATATATCTTAATTTAATGTTTAATATATGAAACATTTCGACTACCAATCATTTCATGTTTTTTTTCAGTACCTAAGGTTCACTTCAGGTGTAACAGATCAACGGAATATTATATATTAATGTAAATAAATTTATTAGAAAAAAGTACGCATATGAAATTCCCGAAAGAAATGACGACAATATTAAAAATCTTGTAATGAAAATAGAGACAGACAATGGACAACCTAGGATCATATAATCTTACGTCTTGAAGGATACCGTAACCTCAATCAGGAACTATAGCTTTTTAACTCATAATTTAATTCAAAAAGTATCAAGTCGAGCTTGAAAGTGAAATATTTTATCCAACAATTTTAATTCTATACTTCTCAATGTTATTCTTATTAATTTCTTTGAAATATTTAGAAAAGTTCTTTAAAGACTGAAATTTTAACCCAATAATTTTTTTTAAATATCCAATTCTTTTGAGAAAAAGATATTCCGTACATAATATTATAATACAGTAGAAGTTAAGTATGGAGTTTTGCAATGATAGAATTGTTTTATACTCTATGCTTTGTAACATGATCTAAATAGCCTTAAATCAGTTTCACAATTTCGTAAAATACATGGATACATATTTTATTTCCATAACTTATTTGTTGATCTATTCCCAATTAAAGATGCATAGTAGGTGTTGTATTCTCGATAAGTGAATTTATTTTTGACATTAACTTATTTTCCTTGTATACTAAGATTAACTTTAAAGATGAAGATTGAAGAATTATTGGTTGTTAAACACATTACTTTGAGAATTCAGAGAGATTTTGTATGAGTTTTTCAATTGGTCAGGAGTTAATACTACCTGATTTCCTAATCTGAGGATCAAACTACCTAAGGTTAACATACACATCAAAGAATTTTACCCTGGTGTACGTTCCGCTCTTTTGAACACTTTCGACGCTTCATCTTCATTATGATAAATAATCCAATTAAACCCACTGTTGTAACTGTAGCTACTATAGCTAAAGTTAGCAAGGCGTGATTAAGGTCGGTTGTAGGATTATTGTTTTCTTTAATAGGTTTTGTTGGCATAGTCGTTCCGTGCACTTGAATATTGTAATATCTCATAAGTTCCACCGTTGGCAAAGTTGTTTCTTCAACAAAGCTTTAAAATATTTGCAAGAAAGTTGGTTGATTAATTTGTGCCACAAATCAGATTAAGTACTAGTATATGCAATGAAAGTAGCAAAAGAAGGTCATTTTTTTGGAAATTATTAAATACATCATTTAATATTTTCAAATGTTCTGTAAATTTAAAATTTACAAATAAAAATAATTTGAGTTGTTTATCATGTATTGCGTGATATAAAGGTAATGATTTTCTTTTATAATTTGCACTAGATTCCGATTTACATATGTACATGGATTAGGAGCTATAGTAATATATATTTAATTTTGCTACCTGGTGATAAGAGGACAACTGGGATCCGATATATAACATCTCTTCTGTTTGTTTATCTGAATACAGGATGGAACTATAATGCAAATTGTATTGATTTATTTACAAAATCAATAAGTAGGACTTAGTTATTTCTTATATATTGGATAAGCTGGTGAAGCAAAACATAAAATCATGAGTGGAACTTAAGCAAAATAAAAAATTTGTAAAATGACAAAAAATACAGTTTAATCTCTTTTTGCCTTAAAATCATAGAAGCTAATGAAGCAAAACACAAAATCAGCAACATAACTCTTTTACTTCATGTAAAATAGAAGTAAACATTCATACTTACACCTATACATATGCTTTGAGAAATAAGGAGCAGTTGGACAACCTTTAGCAAACTGGTCACATGAAAAATTGTTTAAATGTTGATTTTCAAGTACCACGCAATTACCTGTTGATAATTGAATAGACATTAATGTGAATATATGAATCATATAAAAATTATAATTAATAAAAATAATTTGCTGACATAATATATTTATAAAACATGATTCTGTCAAGAGGAATTTAAAATGATGACTTTAATCAAGGTACATGATATCACGAGGATTGTTTTATATAGAGGAAATAAAAAATTGTCTTCACTTGGATTAATTATATTTCATTGTTGCTACATATTAAGGTTTAATATACAGGTGATTATAATTTATTGGAATGTACACAACCATCTTTCTATACAAATGCTTACAATGCGAGTTAAGTAAAACAGCATGTTATGTGAATTTTAATTATGTAATTTTAAATCGAATTTCCTAGTTTCAATCAGTCCGTTTAATCCATCCTATCAGTTTTGAAAAATAATTGGGTTAAAACCTTAAAAAATGCACTTGACGTCAAAATTTAAAATTCGTGATACCCTATGAATTTACGCAAGTACATATTTCATGAAAAACAGTGCAAAAATGTTTTTATTTTTATGTAAATGTTAGTTAATTGTAATTTGACTAAAATTGGATATATTTTGTAAAACCATCAACAGCCAACGTTGCACTATTTGTACAAGAAATGATTTGAACTGTTTCCTAGAAGAGATTTAATCATGAGATTGTACACATAAGTACTCTGAAGTTAACATCAAGAAGATGCTTGAGTTTCTGATTGTACACATAAGTACTCTGAAGTTAACATCAAGAAGATGCTTGAGTTTCTGATTGTACACATAAGTACTCTGAAGTTAACATCAAGAAGATGCTTGAGTTTCTGATTGTACACATAAGTACTCTGAAGTTAACATCAAGAAGATGCTTGAGTTTCTGATTGTACACATAAGTACTCTGAAGTTAACATCAAGAAGATGCTTGAGTTTCTGATTGTACACATAAGTACTCTGAAGTTAACATCAAGAAGATGCTTGAGTTTCTGATTGTACACATAAGTACTCTGAAGTTAACATCAAGAAGATGCTTGAGTTTCTGATTGTACACATAAGTACTCTGAAGTTAACATCAAGAAGATGCTTGAGTTTCTGATTGACAATATCTATGTGGTTTTTGGAGACCAGGTATTCCAACAATCTATTGGAATTCCCATGGGTACAAATTGCGCTCCGTTATTAGCAGACTTATTTTTATATTCATATGAAGCAGAATTTATGCAAAATCTTTTGCGTGAAAAGAAAAAAACACTTCCTGTGGCCTTCAACTCGACATTTAGATATATCGACGACGTATTGTCAATTAATAATGATAATTTCCATTCCTACGTCGACACGATATATCCTGGTGAGCTTGAGATAAAAGATACCACAGAATCCAACACTTCTGCTTCATACTTGGATATTTTACTTGAAAAAGACACAAATGGTAATCTAACAACCAAGCTATATGATAAACGTGATGACTTTAACTTTTCTATCGTCAACTTCCCTTACTTATGCAGCAATATACCTTCATCACCTGCATACGGAGTATTTATATCTCAGTTGATTCGATATGCAAGAGCATGCTCTACGTATGAACAATTTCTAAAATGAGGTAAATTATTGACAAACAAGTTGATGAAACAAGAATTTCAACAGTCTCGTTTAAAGTCATCATTTCGTAAATTCTATGGTCGATACAATGACCTAGTCAGCAAATACAATTTATCATTGAATGAAATGCTGACTGACGTTTTTCATACCAATTGTTAGTCCATTATTTATACACTGAATTGACTACGGATTTTTTCCCGTTATTTCCTGATTATGACAATGAGCACACGGCGGGTGTGACCGGTCAGCAGGGGATGCTCACTCCTCCATGGCACCTGATCCCACCTCTGATGTTTCGGAGGTCCGTGTTTGCTCTTCTCTTATTTTGTATATTTGTTTAATGGACGTTGAGATTGAATACTGTTCGTTATTTCCATACCCTCACGGTTGTTTTTCAATACTGTCAAAATAATTTTCAAATACGCTCTTCCGTTTTAAATCTTATGCTTGAAATAATTTGGACAAATTATTCATCATAAAAGTCTTGTGACATAATGTTTAAATACACTGGTGCATTCAGGAATGAGTTTACCTGCTTCATTCAAACCACTTAATCCATCGTAACAGAACTCCACCAACAGAGTGAGATTGGATAGTGGTAAACAGTGATACACATTTCTGAACTCCTTCATATCAGAACAGTTAAGTCTTATTGTGGCTACCCCAACCTCTGACGCATTTCTTGGACAAAATTCTACAGGCTGAAATGTGAACTGAAAAAAAGTATAAATTGTTACTAAGTACATAGAAAGTGACAAAAGTTTATACAATATTATACAATAGCAGACCAGGCATATGTATTGTGAAGGTTATTTATCTTTTATTAGAATGACTAAAAGACTACTTGTTTTTATTAGAATGACTCAAAGACTATTTTTTAAATGAAAAGTTGAAGATATGCAACTTTTATCGAACTAAAATAATCAACGAGCACTTTACGTTGCTGTAAATAGTTTCAATAAATTCGATGTATTCTTCTTCTTTATGAAATTGTAACAGCTAAGTAATAGATGATCATTTGTTAAATATGGTAACAGTTGCATTGGATGTTAAAAGGGTTTTTGCAAAGAAACAGAATATAATATTTATTTGGCTTCTTTTCTCAAATATGTCGTATTTGAACAGATTTTATGAAAGAAATTTGCCTTTCATATATTTGGATATTTTTTAAAACAGTTTTTTTTTTACATATTCCTTAAAAATGTTTTGAATTTATATTTGGCTATAGAAATAGGTTTTCGTTATATTGTTGCAACTGTGATTGATGGGTATTTATTGGCTTTGCCAACTCGGTAGCATTTCAGGCATATTTTGGCAATTAACCACTTTGAATACGAGGGTTCTTAGACATTTTCGTGAATAAATGCGATGAAATTAATACTTTGTCGTCTATGCTTACAAACACTTTAAGGAACATTAAACAGCAGAAGTTAAAGAAATGCTGAAAATTAGAATATTTTTTTACTACTTTTCTTTCGTGAATATATTCAACCCAATTAAAAACTACATAAGGAAATGTCAACATTCGGAAATGATTTAGAACATTTTCCCGGTATTGCATTTTTATACACTGTAACTATCAGTGAATTGGACAGTATTTAATTGAGAGAATTGCTTTTTGTTGATAGGTGTATGTTTATCACTAAGCAAAAATAACTGAACAATTTTAAACTTAGTGCTAGAACTAGAAGACGGTATTAATTGGATTGTCATTAAGAGTTGTGGTTCAACGACATCTTGTTTAAATAATCCTTAACAATGTGTGTTTTGTTTCAAAGGCCTTCAGATACATGGATTTCAGGATACAAAAGTCCCCGAAAATGTCAGATTTAAAAGAGAGAAAGGTTGTTACTCGGGAAAAAACATTATCAAATAATGAATATATCTCATTGTTTCAGAAACACAGGCAGAATGTACGTACGCAGTTATGTGGATGGATTCCTACAACAAATATTGTCCAGAAAAACGTCAGAGATGTGCTCGTATAAAAACAAGAATTCATACTTCTCTCTCACAACTTAAGTGAAGTCCACAAAGTCATGAATATGTTGCAAAAGACCTCTTAAAAAACTATTCCCCGTTTCTACTCGCATGTTTTTCTGGTTTCACGATTTTATATGCAGGATGTAAACACATTGTTTAAATCGAAAGCAGAATTTTCATTGGATCAAGTTAAGGAACAATCTCTTGGTGCGCATGACTAGTTACCTCACAGTTATAGTGCAAAAATATATTTATATCCCATAGGTTGGTATACGTGTCTCTTGAACTAACAATACAACGGATATTGCAATATACATTTGAACTTAACACAGAACTTTTAGAAATTGTTCACGAATGTAACACAACACTATACAAATAATCTGTAAACATACCCGGTATATAAATAAACAAGTTAAAAATCAAATTAAGCACAATATTAATAATATTAATAATGTCCACTTTTATACCCACCATAACTCGCTCTTTCAACAACAAACATGTTATTTGATGAAATCGATGGTAAATACGGATGAAAATAGAAGGTTATTTCACAGTAATGTGATTTATCACTTTTTATAGCGGAATTTACGTTTCCCGGTCCCAACTTTATTAATGTTTTTTTAATCTAAATGAAATATGGAGATAAAGAACAGAATTCAAACTCAAAGTTCATTCAAACAACAATATTGACAGCAAAGCAAGCACAGACTGCGTAAACTTCAAATAATATTATTTTACGGACTTTTGATCTTGACTCATGTTCCTTTTTTCCATAGGACTCATCATATCTGTCGAGCCACTATGGTCGTACACAAGTGTTCTAGATAATGACTTTAACATTCACCGACAATAATCAGTCACACACCTGAATTCATAATGTCTTTATAAGTTTACTTGCTATAAAATATTTTTAGTTTGGAAAGGCCTTACAAGATATATTTGGCTATGTAAAGGTGTCGTCAAATTAAAAGTATATATACCAAAAATCACCAGTAGAATTGACAACCATGAAAATTTCTGAAATACGAAGCATTTAAATCTTAGACCGAATGCCCCAGTAACCTTCAACCTAATAAACTGAAAAGAATTTGTTTTAAAAGGAATATTCGTGTAGAGTCGAGGTATTTAAACCAAACTTAATGTGTATACGTGATTTAGAAATGTTTTTCATTTAAAAGATTTCATTCTGTATAGAAAGACTTTTGAATTTTAGATGTTGATATCACAATGTTATGATTACCAAATTGTAAAGATAGAAGAAATTGGAGATAAGTATTGGATATATGCCTCATATCAGACAGTTTGAGGCCCTTTATCTTGTAAGTTAACACCACCTCACCTTATCTCGCAAGTTACAGAACACAAAAGAAAATCATATACACATCAGTCTAACAAGCCATTTCTTTTGACAGACCATATAAAACAAGATTAAAAGGAGCTGTCTTGCAGCCCAAATACAAATAATAATAAGCTATTTAATGTGAAATTTCATGCCTATACTAGTCAAATTACTGTCAATTTAATACCAAGATGTAAAAATTTCATGATTTTTCAAAAAGTACCAATTGCAATGATTATGATTTCATGCTGCAATTAAGAAATCAATTTAATATTTGGTATAAGCTATTTTGTGAAAATCAATGGCTTTTCGAAGACAAATTATGTATAAACAAATTCCTCTTACTTGTGGATGGAGAATTTCGTAATGTTCTTACTTATATAAAATCAGTGTAAACTCAGATGACTTATTGCTATCAATTTTCGTCCGTCGTTCGTCGTGCATTAAAATTTGAACATTTTCAGCTTCTTCTCTGAAACCACTTAACCAATTTCAACCAAATTTGGCATAAAGCATCTATGTGTGAAGGGAAACAATAATTATGAATTTTATGGTCCCTGTCCCCCTGGGGCCTAAGGGTTGGGGCAAAATCTTCTAAAATTAGTGCAATCTTTAAAATCTTTTTATTTCTCCTGGACATCAATCAGCCAAACTGTTGCTATGATTGTCAGCATTGAGTCTTCTGCCACAATTGTGAAATTCATGGCCCTAGGGTCAGGGGTTCTGGTGTTAGGGCGGGGCTCTATTGACTATATAGTGAAAATGCATTAAATCTTTGAAAATCTTCTTCTCTTGTCCTAAGTATTAACTTAACTGACTAAGTAAATAGTTCTGATGAGCAAGAGTACCTCTACCAAAACTGTGAATTTTATGGTCCCAGGGTCAGGGGTTCTTGTGTTAAGGCGGGGCTCTATTGAATATTGGTTATATAGTAAAAAGGCATTTATTCTTTGAAAAGCTTCTTCTCTACTTCTAGGTATTAAATAAACTAACCAAGGACATGGTTATGATGAGCAAGAAAGCTTCTACGAAAATTGTGAATTTTATGATCCCATGGTTAGGGGTTATGATGTTAGGGCGTGGCTCAATGATGATTATATAGTGATAATATATTACATCTATGAAAATCTTTTTCTCTACTCTTGGGTAACAAGCAGATAAACTATTTATATAGCTATGATGTGCAAGGGCTCTTCTTTCAGAATTGTGAATTTCAAGGCCCCTGAGTTAGGGATACCAAAGGGTCAGGGATACCAAAGGGGGGTCCACTTATATACTGAAAATGAATTGTTTGAAATCTGCTCTTTGGTATTAATCAAACATATTTGATAAGCAAGTGTGCCTTTTCAAAAATTGTGCAATGTGTAGACCTAGAGTCAGGGGTTCATGTGTGATACGGGCACTCCTGATTATTACTGAATATTACTGATTAGTTGACATGCATTTTTGTTCCCTTAGTGGCCTACCCTGATTATGGGCATTACGTAAGCAAACTAAACAATTGTTAATGTATAGTTATGATTAGCAATGGTGCCCTTTTCAAAATTGTGAATGCCATAGCTTACAATATGAACCAATTTCAATCATTTGAATGTCGTTGCATGATGCTCAGGTGACTTATAAGGCCCAAGGGCCTCTTGTTAATTGCAACACTTTTTTCTATAATTTTTCAGGGTTATATAAATCTGGGAGCTTGGGAAAGAAACGTTATCATATATCAAAGTGTTGGACCGTGCAAGTTATACGTATATCTGTCTTCAGTACATACATATTACTTATAACATTATAATCCAAACAATAATACAAAAATCTTAATTTTTTATTGGCTAACACTGTTTCGAAAAATCAAACTGAGAGTTAAGAGGTATTAGAAGAGGTATCTAATGACCATTTTTTTAATTCCATCAGGAGGTTATCAGAATATTTTTGTATTTTCAGAGTTTATTTAACCAAAACAAGGCAGTCATCAAAATGTCTTGTATAATCTCAGTGATATGCCACCTCAGTGTCAAACATTCCTACGACAGAGAACTGTGTACATGCCAGTGGAAGACAACAGCTCTCAGCCGTCATATCTCAGATACCTCATACATCTCAGGTGAGATAAATACCCCATACAGGTGTGATAAATCTCAGATGCCTCATACATCTCAGGTGAGATAGGTACCCCATACAGGTGAGATAAATCTCAGATACCTCATACATCTCAGGTGAGATAAATCTCAGATACACCATAAATCTCTGGTGAGATAAATACCCCATACATTTCAGGTGAAATATAATTGAAATTTTTATTTGCATGCGAGAAATTTACGAGAGGCTCCCAAATATTTCCTGCTGAGAACATATTCTTAACGTTTATGTGTTACCAGCAAATCCAAAATAGATTTGATAATGAAAATTAATTGTTGGAAGCTAGTTTTCTCCTGGCAAATCGAGAAATAAAGCCGTTATGAATAAAAGTACCTTAAACCTACTAAATACCTCTGATTCTGAGGTGTTATATTTTTCATCCCAGGTGATTTTTAACTTAAAATATACATGTATTATATTTATCTCAGAATTATCTCACATATCATCTCATTGTTTGTTTTTCCTTCTGTTTTTAAGGTTTGCCAGTTCTAAATCTGGGAAAATATTTCTTCATACAGACATTCGTGTGGTGTTCGCCAGAGACCCAAATGTCGCCAAATACGAACTCCGATGCTTCACAGAAGCTCCTTCTAACCCGAAGTTCTCTCCATTGAGGTGATGATTGCCTTACCTAGGTCAAATTAGGATTCAAACTAAATCACATCTTGTGTAAACTATGTCACATCCAAGATAAACTAGGTGAAATCTGGTGTAAACTAGGTAAAATCTGATTTTAAACTAGTTTGAATCTGGATTTTACAAAACCATTTCATTGAGGTAATTTCATAAGCTTTTGTTAAGTCTGTTTATCTAGCTGAGATCTAGATATTTTGTTGTTGACAAAATTTTAATTGGTTAAGACTTAAAATAGGTCAGTGTATCTAAATGTATCCTGGACATGTATGAATGCTAACATCTATATGATATATATGTCATGTATGAATGTTAACGTCTGTATTGTATATATGTCTGTATGAATGTTAACATCTATCATTGCTTCCAAACTTTTCAATTACAAAAATACTTTACATGGCCTGGATATCGACTATCTGAAAAATAATCCCCTTTCGTGTTCATGTTCTTCTTCGCCCTATAACTATAGTCCTGCTGGACATGTTATTACAGGTGACGTAAATATAGTTCGTAATGAGGACCTTAGATCACTTATTTTAAAAGGTCCTAAATATAGGGAACCCCGATCCTTCAACTGGCGTCAGAATTTCATAAATATTATGAAAATTACGCCAGACGATGGGCTAGATATGAAAAAGAAGACATTGACACTTTGTCAGAATGGATTAAATGTATCAGATCCATGTTAAAGTCACGTATTAAAAGATTGAGGGGCAAAATGAAAACCATCTATCCTTCTGTGTTCAATAAACCAGAAGTGAAAAAAAGAATTAGGTAGATTACACGATAAGTACGTACTGGTTCCTGCCGACAAAGCAGGTAACAACATTGTCTTTGTTTGTAAGGCTCATTATATTAATTGCATTTTAGAAGAACTTGGATTTAATTCTACGAGTGGTAATCTTACTTATACATATACTACTCTTTCTAAGGAAGAAATTCTTCAAAATCACCTGTCAGTTTTGAATACTTTTAATATTCCACAGAGCCAAAATGAATTTGAACTACCTTATATATATTGGATTCCGAAACTTCATAAGAATCCTTACAAACAAAGATACATTGCAGGTTCCAGTAAATGTTCAACCAAGCCTCTTTCGTTACTTCTCACTAAAATATTGACAGTAGTGAAGGAAAAACTTCAAGAGTACTGTACAACTATATATTCAAGAAGTGGTGTAAATCAGATGTGGATACTTAAAAATTCTAAAGAACTTTTGGACAATTTGAAATCACAAGACTTTACAAAAATCAACAGCATAAAAACTTACGACTTTTCAACTTTATACACAACAATTCCGCACGACAAATTAAAATCCAGGCTTTTTGATATCATTGACAGCTGCTTCTTCAACAAAAATGGAACTTGTAAGTTTACCTACCTCGTCATTGGTAATTTGAAAAATGATTTTGTTAAAACAGATTCTGATTGTACACATAAGTACTCTGAAGTTGACATCAAGAAGATGCTTGAGTTTCTGATTGACAATATCTATGTGGTTTTTGGAGACCAAGTATTCCAACAATCTATTGGAATTCCCATGGGTACAAATTGCGCTCCGTTATTAGCAGACTTATTTTTATATTCATATGAAGCAGAATTTATGCAAAATCTTTTGCGTGAAAAGAAAAAAACACTTGCTGTGGCCTTCAACTCGACATTTAGATATATCGACGACGTATTGTCAATTAATAATGACAATTTCCATTCCTACGTCGACACGATATATCCTGGTGAGCTTGAGATAAAAGATACCACAGAGTCCAACACATCTGCTTCATATTTGGATATTTTACTTGAAAAAGACACAAATGGTAATCTAACAACCAAGCTATATGATAAACGTGATGACTTTAACTTTTCTATCGTCAACTTCCCTTACTTATGCAGCAATATACCTTCATCACCTGCATACGGAGTATTTATATCTCAGTTGATTCGATACGCAAGAGCATGCTCTACGTATGAACAATTTCTTAAACGAGGTAAATCACTGACAAGCAAGTTGATGAAACAAGAATATCAACAGTCTCGTTTAAAGTCATCATTTCGTAAATTCTATGGTCGATACAATGACCTTGTCAGCAAATACAATTTATCATTGAATGAAATGCTGACTGACGTTTTTCATACCAATTGTTAGTCCATTATTTATACACTGAATTGACTACGGATTTTTTTCCGTTATTTCCTGATTATGACAATGAGCACACGGCGGGTGTGACCGGTCAGCAGGGGATGCTCACTCCTCCATGGCACCTGATCCCACCTCTGATGTTTCGGAGGTCCGTGTTTGCTCTGCTCTTGTTTTGTATATTTGTTTAATGGACGTTGAGATTGAATACTGTTCGTTATTTCCATATCCTTATCTATATGGTATATATGTCATGTATGAATGCTAACGTCTATATGGTAAATATGTCATCTTTTTTGAAAAAAATCCTACATAATAATCTGTGTGTGTTGGGTTAATATTTATTTATGTATGAGAATCAGTGAGGGATTGATTTTTTTTGTTATGAATAGTTGGGTTTATTTTTTTTTTTACATCTGCCATCTCCCGAATACTAAGTAACAACATTATTGTAACATCCGAGATATACTGCATATTAACTTCGGTATTAGTGCTGAAAACCTATACCTGAATTCTATCAAAAACTGTGCCTATGTTAACTTAATTATAGTTACATGTATCAATTTAACGCTATGCATTGAAAAGAAAAGTGATGGATCCAAGTTTTTACCTATTTTTGAATAGTTCCAAAACAATGTATATACAAAAGTAACACAAGTACAAAAATGATATTCCCCTTCTCTCTCTCTCTCTCTCTCTCTCTCTCTCTCTCTCTCTCTCTGTACACAAAATGACAGTGTTTATATGTTAAATGATACCTTGTTTTATATGACGTCTATGGTGATTTTTGTTTGATTGTTATATGATTTTTGATTTGAGTTTGTAATTTTATTGATTATTATAATCTTAATATGTTTGATGACTGTGTAAACATTTTTTCTGATATAAACTTGTGTAGAAATACAATGTTCTTAGTTGTCATTCTGAGCACTTTGATTATTCAAGGTTTTGTAAAACACATCCATTATACTTTTGTGTGCCAATTTCAAGCTCATTTATCAAGAACAACTCCTTATAAAAAAATATTTTATACATTTTAATTGCTTCAAAACTCAATTAAATAATCTTGTATCTTCAATTTTGAATAATATGCCTATACAGTAACAAAAAAAAGTGTTATTCTTTTCAGTCTCACTTTGAAATATTTTATTTTAAACAAACATCCACAACTTTTACTAGAGTTAAAATTTTTATAAGAAATATCTGTGAGAACAGTCTGAACCATACGTTAAACATACGTGGCACAATTACCTGTGTATCAGAAAGAATTTAATCAAATGAGCTACATGTACAAGGTTATACAATGACCGCACATCAGATGCAAATCGGTGGCTCATTTCATTGTCCCAGAACGTGTCCTCTAATTTGAAAAAAAAAAAATTTTTGCACAAAATCAATTTAAAGAATGTAAGCAATAATTTGAAACACACTCTATATGAAAAATTTACGAGTCATATATCATATTATGTATCAAGCGTATATTTATCAAATGAAACATTTTATAGTTGTATTAGTCGATAACTAATTAAGATGTAAATTTTATTTAATAAGGCTTATTTCGACTCAACGATAGATGATTTTGATTCCTCTGTTTCCTGTAAATACTTATACACTGTTATTGTGTTACTATTCCATTCTCCCACATAGAGGTTGTGTTTGTCGTCCACACACAGAGCCGTGGGACGGCGTAGTCCGTGTTCTTTTGTCAGTAGGAAGCGCAGGAAGTGACCGTCCTGATCTAACAGATGGACATTGTCATTAAATGCATCACACACCAGTACCTGTCCCAGGATATTGGTACAAATCCCAAGGGGATAAAATTCAAACTGGTGCTGACCTCTGTAGTTAAACCGATATCCTCCATATTTATCCATCACAACCACTGCTAGTCCCTCTCCATCAGAGACCCAGATGTCTCCATTCTTGTTTTCTATGATAAATGTTGGATAATAAAACCTATATTCCAATTCTATGCGATGGTTTCCCCTCCAGTCACACCTGAACACTCCATCTCTATAACCAACCAGTATGTCGCCGTTAATGCGGGATGAGTGGATACAGAGTAGACGCTCACGTTCCTTGAGGAGTGTAGTGATGGTTCCACCTAACGTCATCGTCTGAACCTTATCTCCATTTATAAATATCAGGTCCCCGTCTTCTGTGACGGAGTGAGTTCCTGTGGGTAGATAACTTCTAACAATAATTTTCAATTCCTGTATCACGTGTCCGGTGGAGTCCACCTGTAGGAGACGTCTGTACTCACTGACCCACAGTCTGTCTGACGTCACACAGGAGATATGATAAACTTCGCCAACATCGGGTACCGTTATACTTGACGCACGTACCACGGACGGATCCAAGTGTTGTGATAATGATAAATCTATGAAGAATATATTCAATATACAACGATGATTGGTATAATCAATATACATTAATAACTATTTAACAATGAATGGTAAATGCATTATTTAAACAATAAAATGCTTTCTTTATTTGTTGTTACTGGAATGAACGGAAGCAGCTGTTGCAGAAAAAATACATAACCCGCGTAAGCGGGTTATGTAAATTTTTTCTGCAATAGCTGCGACCGTTCATTCCAGTAACAACAAACAAAGAAAGCCATTTTATTGTTTATATTTATATCTGTTTAAATTATCATTTTAAGTAGGATTAAAAATAGTAATTATTGAGTTAATGATGCGAACGTCTTTGTAAGTTTCATTGATAGAACGGCCACTGATCAAGAAATCTGTAAAGGTGATGTGCCTAATGTAGTTTATGCAGGGATGAACGCAATGGGTTTTCTTAAGAAATAAAGAAGAAAATATTCAGTGGATGTAAATATAAATTGATAAATGATTTATTTTACAATGTGAAATACAATCTGTAGGAAAAATACCTGAAATCAGTGAAAATATATACCACTATCGCTACGTACTGTTATGAGGTTGATATAAATACTTGTTCATCGAGTAAGATGTAGCTCACAATCTATCCCTGTTTTGTGATTTATTCCGTTTAAAGGCATTTACTTTTGTCACATTAAGAATTTATAAGTTTGGTTTTGCTGGTTCTGTTAGAGATTCAATTTTAATTTATTTTTTTTGTTAACTACCTTTATTTCCAAGCTAAACACTTTGAACTGCTCACTTTTTTGTGATGTTTAAAGTAATTATATAATAATTAACACTAGAAAAAGACAAGAGGCCCATGGGCCTTATAGGTCACCTGAGCATTATGCAACAACTTTCCCGTAATTGAATTTGATTCATGTTTTAATCCAGATGCTATGGCATTCACAATTTTGAAAGAGGCACCATTGAACATCATAACAATACACTTAGCAGTTGCTTAGTTTGTTTACTTAATACCCATAGGCAGGGTTGGGGAACAAAAAAAAATGCAATTCGAGTAATCAGTAATATTCAGCATGATCAGTAATGCCCCAATCACACATGAACCCCTGACCCTTAGGCCTACATCCACACATTGCACAATTTTTGAAAAGGCACCCTTGCTTTTCAAAAATATTTAATTAATACCAAGAAGCATATTTTGAACAATTCATCCAGTTTCTGACTTTCAGTATATAAGTACAGCCCCCCTCCTTTATGGTACCCCTGACCCTGGGACCTTGAAATTAACAATTCTGGAAGATAAGTACCCTTGCTAATCATATATAGGTAGTTTATCTGCTTAATACTAAGGAGCAGAGAAGAAAACTTTCAAAGATTCAATGTATTTTCACTATATAATCAATAGAGCCTGCCCTATCACTAGAACACCTGACCCTAGGACCATAAAATTCTGGAATTTTGGAAGAGGTATTCTTGCTCATCATAACTATATAATTAGTTTATTTCATTCCTAGGAGCAGATAAGAAGATTTTCAAAGAATTTATGTATTTTCACTATATAAACTATAGAGCCCTGCCCTTACACCAGAACCCCTGACCCTAGGGCCATAAAATTCACAAATTTGGTAGAGACACTCTTGCTCATCATAACTATATACTTAGTTTATTTAATACCCAGGAGCAGAGAAGAAGATTTTCAAAGAAATAATGCGTGTTCACTATATGCTTATTTGGCCCAGCCCTAGCACTAGAACCCATGACCCTGGGGCCATGAATTTCACAATTTTGGTAGAGGACTCATTGCTGATTACAATCATGCAAACAAATTGACTGCTTGATTTCCAGGAGTAAAGCAGAAGATTTTCAAAGAATTCATGTATTTTCACTATATAAACTATAGAGCCCTGTTCTAACACCAGAACCCCTGACCCTGAGGCCATAAAATTCACAATTTAAGTAGAGTCACGTTTGCTCATCACGACTATGCACTTAGTTAGATTACTATAGTATTTAATACCAAAGAGCAGAGAAGAAGATTTTCAAAGAATTCAAGTAATTTCACCATACAATCTAAAGAGCCCATCCCCCACCCCCCTACACCAGAACCCCTTAACTTAGGGCCATAAAATTCACAATTTTGGTAGAGGTATTTTTGCTCATCATGACTATGCACTTAGTTAGTTTATCTAATACCCAGGAGCAGGGAAGAAGATTTTCAAAGAATTCAAGTATTTTCACTATATAATCTATAGAGTCCTGCCCTAACACAAGAACCCCTGATCCTGGGGCCATAAAATTCACAATTTTGGTAGAAGCACTCTTGCTCATCATAACTATGCACTTAGTTAGTTTATTTAATACCCAGGAGCAGAGAAAAAGATTTTCAAAGAATTCACGTATTTTCACTATATAATCTATAGACCCCCCTCCCCCTTATACCACAAACCCCTTATCCTGGGTCCATAAGATTCACAATTTACTTAGAGGCACTCTTGCTCATCATGACTATGCACTTAGTTAGTTTATTTAATACCCAGGAGCAGAGAAGAAGATTTTCAAAGAATTCAAGTATTTTCACTATATAATCAATAGAGACCGCCCCCCCTAAACCAGAACCCCTTAACTTAGGGCCATAAAATTCACAATTTTCGTAGAGGCACTCTTGATCATCATGACTATGCACTTAGTTATTTTTTTAATACCCAGGAGCAGAGAAGAAGATTTTTAAAGAATTCATGTAATTTCACTATATAATCTATAGAGCCCCCCCCCCTCCTTACACCAGAACCCCTGACCCTGGGGCCATAAAATTTATAATTTTGGTAGAGGAAATCTTGCTCATCATAACTATGTACTAAGTAGCTTTATTTAATACCCAGTAGCAGAGAAGAAGATTTTCAAAGAAATAATGCATTTTCACTATATACTTATTTGGCCCCGCCCTAGCACTAGAACCCCTGACCCTGGGGCTATGAATTTCACAATTTTGGTAGAGGACTCAATGCTGATTACAATCATGCAAACAGTTTGACTGCTTGATGTCCAGGAGTAAAGAAGAAGATTTTTAAAGATTGCACTAATTTTATTGTTTTTTGCCCCACCCCCCAGGCCCCAGGGGGGCAGGGACTATGAAATTCACAATTTTTGTTCCCCTTTACCAATAGATACTATATGCCAAATTTTGTTGAAATTGGTTCAGTGGTTTCAGAGAAGAAGCTGAAAATGTTCAAATGTTAACGCACGACGAACGACGAACGCCGACGGACGAAAAGTGATAGCAATAGGTCACTTGAGTTTACTCAGGTGACCTAAAAAGAGGAAAAACAGGATAAAGGGCACTGAAAAATCCTTATGTATCAAAATGATGTTGGATCGAGATTGCCTAGTTAAAACATAAATAAGCTCAGAATTGAAAAAGTTACTTGTTGTGGAAAGGGAATTTGAATTTTTTATTACTTGAGAACGACACTTTATCAATAAAGAATACAAGTATAATTAGGCCATACTCGAAAAGACGAGTTTTAAAGATTTTTCATGTATATTTTTATGTAAAAATTTGATAGCCCATCATTGCCCCACCTTATCCCCAGGGCTCATGATATGAACAGACTTATATAAACTCTAACTGAGGATGTTTTCATATTAATACCATCAATCATAGCTTTGTTGAACTTGAGAAGCACCTTTTTAAAAGATTTTTCTTATGTATTCCTATGTAAAACTTTGATCAGCCATTATGGCCCCGCCCTTAACCCCGGGGGTCATAATTTGAACAAACTTGAAGAATTAACACTACCTGGGGATGATTCCACATGAGATTCATCTTTCCTGGCCCAATTGTTCTGGGGAAGATTTTAAAAAGGTTTTTCCTGTATTTTCCTATGTAAAACTTTCCGACCCCCGGGGTAATGATTTTTAATAAACTTGAATCTACACTTCCTGAGGATGCTTCCAAATGAGTTTCATCTTTCCTGGCCCAGTGGTTCGGTAGAAGATTTTAAAAAAGATATCCCATACATTCCTATGTCAACCTTTGATCAACCATTGTGGCACCGCCCTATCCCTGGGGGTCATGATTTGAACAAACTTCAATCTACACTACTTGATGATGCTTCCAAATGAGTTTCTGGAAAGCTTTTTTAAAACAAATTGCTTTGTGTTCCTATGTAAACATTTTATCAGCCATTGTGGCATTGCTTTAATTGGCACGCCGATTGGTTCAAAAATTTTTTTCTGCACGACCTTAAACAAAAATTACAAGAGTAAGTAAAAACTTACACAAAGTGAGGAAAGTATACACAAAGTTATTGAAATTTACACAAACTACAGAAAAACTAAACAATCAGCAAAATATTTAAACGATGTCGTGAGAAAATTACACAAACGTAAAAACGAAAACTGCACGAGTGAGAATACAACATCTACATAATATACGACGCATCCTCATTGCGCACATTTCATTAATATTCATTAGAGAACAGCTCAGGGTGGCTTGGATGCTTGAAACATATACCTATAAATTAGTAACGTGTTAGTTATATTTATTTAATCTTTTTAAAAAGGATTCAGTCTTTTGGAATTCCGCTAGACTCTCAAGAATATGTACAATGTGTTTTATACATGTATAAAATTACACACAATCTTAAGTATGGAATGTGAACACCCCCGATTAAAAACATTCTACAAAGTATAAATAACGTAAAAGGGATGCATATTATTTGTAGTTGTGTGTTTAATTGTTAGATTTTTAAATTGCGTCATTCCTCTATTATTGTCTATGTAGCAATTTCTTTTGAAAGTGTAAAATATTGATATAGTAAAGGTCTTCATAAAAATTAATAAAAACAGCATGCGATGTAATACAAGACAATTAACAACAAATCAAACTCCTCCACCACCCACTGTGTGTACGTCTGTAATAATTGAGGATGTGGATGCGTGACCTTTTCATTCAGAGAGAACCCTCCCTGCTGGTGAAGGAATGCAAGACACCTGTACGCTAATCGATTTATAGTTATCTGACACATCCATAATACCATTTGATTAAGGATTACATGTACTAGCAATTCATACAG